CAGGCCCACCCCTTACACTGGAAAAACCTAGGGCAGGAATACATACCGAGAGCCACAGAGCCTATGTGTACAATGTAAAGTTTATAGATACAACAAACCATCTCCTTGGAGCACCACACTAAATCATGGCAGCATGGTAAATGGGCCGCAGCCCTGACAACTCTGCTGTTCTTCCCTGATGGGGTACAACACTGGGCTGCACTAGATGGCCTCTCTTCCAAGCGTGGGAACACCACAGCTCACTGTCCAAGATCCCTTGACCCCAACCCCAAAACAGCTGCCCCTTTACCACCAAGGTATTAGCCAGCTTGGGACCACTTAGAAAAAAAAAAAAAGAAAGAAAAAGAAAGAAAGAAACAACTGGAGTCCCAGGACTAGCACTTCAGCTACAACGGATTGCATAGGATCTGGTGGGTCCATCCTTTTGGCCCTGAGACTCCCCATCCAAGGCATACGGTATAGATGGAAGAGGACAAGAGCAGAGCCATGCCAATGGCAGGCCCAGGCCTAGGAGAACTTTTGCTTCAGCTGAAGAGCAGTTCTGCTTTTCTCACTCACTCTTGGCTCTTTCTGTTCAGTTCCTTACCTTTGGCTGGTCTTCTCCACCTCAGCTGCTGGGTTCCCACATATTCTCTGGGACCTCCCAGGATTTTGGCCTTCTGTTCTAGATAGAGGTTCATGACTGGCTTCAGGAATATCTGTGAGCTCCAGGGAGGGCACAATCTAAGAATGTATATATTTTGAGAGGAGAAAAAAAAGTCATCAATTTCATTATCGCCTGGAAGGATCTTTGATCATAACGCTTCTCTCTGCCTTCCCCAAATGGATAAGAACCAATGTAATAAGAGCCATCTGACATAGATTTCATTTTAAGTACTTCTTGATGAACTCTTGTTGGGCCTCTACTTGTATTTTAAAGAAAAGCTAGACATCTTAGAACCCCAGATTGGAGATCAAGTTAGCTTCCAAGCCTTTCTCAATTAGTTTCTTTCATATTTCTCATTCTGAAACGGAAAGCTAAATTTCTCTTTTTCTTAGATCCACTCTGTTCTTTGTTCTCTGCTTAAATGCACTGCAAAAACAAAATAAAATAAAATAAAAATCCAGATGCTAAAACGAGGGGGGAAAACCACTAGCAACGAGTGTTAAAACCACTGTCTCCCCTCTCTCTTCCTAATATCCAGCACCCCCTCGATAGCTCCTGACCCTACTCTCCACATTAGTTCTCAAAGCCCCCACTTTCTTAAAATTGCCTTGATACAAATTTCAGTAAAACAATGTGAGGTTTAGATTGGCACTGCTTCCTGCTCCTTGTATGGCATTAGATGCAGATGACCTAGAAAATCAACAGGCAGGGGGAAATGATTTCATAATATCAGTCAGAACTGGTCAAGGTATTTTCCCCTAATTGCTCCTCCTCTGATTAACTTTCATAAGCAAATGTTGTGATACTTCTCAGGCTCCTTTCTTCAGTGCCATTGCTGTCCTTCCTTGAATACCATGAATCTTATAACCCTAGCATTTCTCAAAAGTTTGTCTTCCTGGGTCAATTTAGCAGACCCAATTAGTAGGGCTTGTGCTCTTTTTTTTTTTTTTTAAGATTTATTTTATTTTTTTATTGGAAAGGCAGATATACAGAGAGGAGAGACAGAGAGGAAGATCTTCCGTCCGATGATTCACTCCCTAAGTGAGCGCAACGGGCCGATGCTATGCCAGTTCAAAGCCAGGAGCCTCTTCCGGGTCTCCCACGCGGGTGCAGGGTCCCAAAGCTTTGGGCCGTCCTCCACTGCTTTCCCAGGCCACAGGCAGGGAGCTGGATGGACTGCTGGGGTTAGAATCGGCACCCATATGGGATCCCGGGCGTGCAAGGCGAGACCTTAACCACTTGCGTCACCGCGCCGGGGCTTGTGCTCTTAAATGGAGCATTCATGTTCCATTCAGGAAAAACAATCAGTATATATGTCACTAAGATTATATACTTTCCACTCATTCTAAAGTTGCTTTTAATTCTGAACATAGGAATACATGCAGTGGATTAGCCTTATACACCATGCAAGTATTTGTGAGAGAAAGCAGTTCCTAAATAATGCCTCAGGAAAAACAAACAAACAAACCTTTAAATGCCATAAAGTCATGCCACAACTCTTCTACTTCGGTGCTTTGAAACCATGCGGAAAGCCCGGTGCTGGCGCGGTAGCTTAGTAGCTAAAGTCCTCGCCTTGCACATACCAGAATCCCATATGGGCATCCATTCTAATCTCAGCGGCCCCGCTTCCCATCCAGCTCCCTGCTTGTGGCCTGGGAAAGCAGCCAAGGACAGTCCAAGCATTAGGACCCTGCACCAGTGTGGGAGTCCCAGAAGAAGCTCTGGGCTCCTGGCTATTTTAATCAGCTCAGCTCCAGCTGTTTCGGTGAGTGAGCCACCGGACAGAAAATCTTCCTCTCTGTTTCTCCTCCTCTCTATATATCTGCCTTTCCAATAAAAAATAGAAATCATGTAGGAACTAAATATAACCCTGAATTCTGAAACCACATGCTTTAGTATTAGGAAAAAATATTTTGACCAAAATAAATACATAAATAAATCAATATGATGAGTTCTCAGCGCCCAAAGCCAGTTACAATGAACAAAATAGAAGGCCCACGATTTATTATTCTACAATAGTCGTTTCGGGTCACCCAGCTTTCACCTCATTGTACAGAGGTGAAGCGGGCACCCACACGCACGGAATTTCCTCAGAGTAGAAGCAGACAATGTTGTTCTGTTTGTTCCTGAGTGGAAACATCTCCATTGCACACCAAGCTGCCACAGCTCAGCGGAACGGGCCGCGGCAGCCTCCTCCACCGCTCCCGCCTCGGCACGCCTGTGAGGGCAGCGGTACCGAGCGGACAGTGCCCCGCGGCTCAGGCGCAAACTTCTCCGCCTCACTCATTTCCCCTTCACCTCAGAGAGCTCAGGGTCCCAGAGGAAAAGTACCTACTTAACTTCCCCGGCGCTAGAAGGCGCCAGACGCCTCTTTTTCCTTTTTTCCCAAAAGACAAGCCTTGACCAACCGGAAGTTCTCTTGCCCTCAATAAAGAGGGCGCTCGGTGACGTGGTCCAATCAGATTGCTTTGCGATGCATTTTTGTCCAATGGGCGTCGCTCTGACGTAGCCAATCAGGATGGTCTGCCAGTCGTGTGCGTCTGACGACAGCGGTGGGGGGCGGAGTCCAGTTGGAATTTTGGCGGGTTCGCCTGTAGATCAGAAAGAGGAGCTGGCGCCGGGAGTAGGTGAGCTTGGGGCGCTCGGGGTCTGCAGTGATGCGCGCGCGGTCGCCTCGCGCGTCCGTGAGCGGGGCTGGGGGAGGCTGAGCGCGAGAGGTCGGGGTGGGCGAAATCTGAAAGCAGCCGGCGGCTGGGAAATGGCGGAGCCTTCTGCTTAAGGGGAAGTCAGGTGAGAGGGTCGGCAGTAACCTCCCGGGCGAGGGAAGCATGGACGTGTTCAGGAAGTGGAGAGCAGACCCGCTGGGCCGCAGCGCCATTTGAAAGGTGGATGTAACAGACGGAAGTTGGAATAGGCCGCAGAGGGCAATCACCCACTTTGTTCCGTAGGCTTTAAGTGTTTCGTTCTGAAACCTGGGGAGGATCACTAAGGAACTTCAGACACAAGATTAGTGCTGACTTACTCTAGACAGTGGGCAGTGAATTCGGACAGGGAGTGGAAAGGGTGAGGATGTTTTAGAGGTAGAACCTGTGCACTTTGTTGGCGGGCCCTGGGTATCAGGGCAAGCGGGTGCATGGGGCAGGGCAGGGTGCTTATAGACAGGAGCAAGACATCTCAAGAGCATCCAGTCCATCCGATTGTCTGGTAGATAACACGGGATGCAACACATGATGGAATCCATGGAAATAAAAGGAAAGCCTTGGGCTTGTCAAGGTCACGTATTTTCAAGAGCGCTTGTAGGCTTACAGATTTTCTGTATTTCATAGAGGCTCCCATCTGCTGGTTCATTCCCCAAATGCCTCCCTCAGTTGGGGCTGGGCTGACACTGGAGCCAGGAGCCAAGGACCCCTGGATCCAACTACTCGGAATGATCATCTGCTGCCTCTCAAGGCATACATTTGCAGGAAGTCGGAATTGGGAGCCAAAACTGGGAGTCAAGCCCGGGTGCTCTTGGGGGGGCTGAGAACTTTGGACTACTAGGTCAAATACAGTTTCAGAAATCGATTTCTTAGGTGTGAAAAATGGGGCAGTTCCCAGAGTCCCCCCATGGCTATTTTAATTAGCTTTGCAGACTACTACTCTGGGCTTTGCTAGCTGGTGTTCAATTAAATCTTAACAAAGGCAAGAGCTGAGTAAGATCAGATGCTAAGCTGGTGTGGAAAAATAAACATTAATGTGTTACAGTCGATAAAGGATACTATCCTCATATTCAGACCAGCCTCAGTTTGTTTGTTTGTTTTTAATTTTCAATTGGAAGGGCAGATTTACAGAGAAAAGGAGAAAAACAAATCTTCCATCCACTGACTCATGCCCTGAATGGCCTCAGTGGCCAGAGCCCAGCCAATCTGAAGCCAGGAACTTCCTTCCAGGTCTTCCACGTGGGTGCAGGGTCCCAAGGCTTTGGGCCGTTCTCAACTGCTTTCCCAGGTCACAAGCAGGGAGCTGGATGGGAAATGGAGCAGCCTGAACATAAACTGGTGCTCACATGGGGTGCCAGTGCTTGCAAGGAGAGGAATAGCCTGTTGAGTCATTGTGCCAGGCCCACCTCAGTGATTTTGGTTCATCTCGTTGGCGTTACCTAGTATAGCGTGAACTACTCTGTACCTCTGGTGAGTTCCATGACCCTAGTTTAAAGACAGGTCAGAGAGGACTGCTTACATATTAGAACGTGAGGAATTATCAGAGTCTGGTGACGCCTGTGGTTGGTGTGTGGAGTACTTGTGAGATGCTGGGTGGGTTACATATGTGCTGTGCATCGAGGGTAACCTTTCCAATGGTGATTCCCCACAGCCTGGATCCTACATTGCTCATCTCCTGGACCCCAATCTCCCTTGGAAGTTCCCTATGCATCCTTCTCTTGACCACATGGATGGTAAGGCCTGGTTCTTTTCCCAAGTTCTTTCTGCTTTATGGAAAACTAACCATGAACTTGTCTGTTCTCACAGATTGCTCCTCTACCCTCCGGCATTGTCTAGGTGGTTCATGAGAAATCTACCCTAGTCACTGAATGTTATTTGTTTTATTTAGGCTTCTCCTTCTAGCAACAGAGCTTTCCATCTCATAATGATAACTAATATGTACTTACAGTGACCCGATTACTGCTCCGGGGTCCTTACGTGTCTTAATGGATTGAAACCTCAAAAACAGCTTGGAGACAGGAAAACAGTGATGGTCATGTCCACCTATCAGGGCAAGTGTTTGAACCAGGCAGTCAGAAATCACATGTAATATTGGAGTCTTTTGAAGTAGCTTTAGCTTAAATAGTCCTGCCTTGTTCATTTTCTTCATTTTGCAGAGGTACGTGTAAAATGTTTGCCTGTTGAAGAGAATTACCAAGCTTAGCCTGAAGCAGCACAAGTGACTGCACTGGCCATGAAGAGACTCTGACAAATCCAATGTGTATTCTTTCTGGTTGCATAATTGAGTTCATTGTCTAAAACTGGATGTGTTTAAGATTTACTTTCGTGGCAAATTGTATCAAAAATTTAAATTTTACAACCTAAGTTAAGAAGAAATCAGACGGGGCCCAGTACGATGGCCTAGCGGTTTAAGTCCTCGCCTTGAATGCGCCGGGATCCCATATGGGTGCTGGTTCTAATCCCAGCAGCTCCACTTCCCATCCAGCTCCCTGCTTCTGGCCTGGCAAAAGCAGTCGAGGACAGCTCAATGCCTTGGGACCCTGCACCCATGTGGGAGACCTGGAGGAGGTTCCTGGCTTTGGATCAGCGCAGCACCAGCTTTGCGGTCACTTGGGTAGTGAATCTTGGGTAGTGAACGGAAGATCTTTCTCTCTGTCTCTCCTCTCTGTATATCTGACTTTGCAATAAAAATAAATAAATCTTTTAAAAAAACAAAAAAGGAGAAATCAGATGAGCCGATCAACAATCACAAAAATTTTTCTGTTATTGTTTACTTGAAAAACATAGTTAGATCTTCCATTTGCTGATTTAATTCACAAATTGCCGCAACACCCAGGGATGGGCCAGACCAAAGCCAGAAGCCAGGTAGAAGGCAGGGGCCCAAGCACTTTGGCCATCTTCCACTGCTTTCCCAGGCACATCAGCAGGGAGCCAGAGTGGAAGCGGAGCAGCCAGGACTCCAGCAGTGTTCAGCACTACAGTGCTGGCCCCAGCCAATAAATAGTCCTTTTTTTTTTTTTCTTAATTGCAAAGTCAGATACACAGAGAGGAGGAGATACAGAGAGGAGGATCTACCGACCACTGATTCACTCCCCAAGTGACCACAATGACTGGTGCTGCGCTGATCCAAAACCAGGAGCCAGGAACCTCCTCCAGGTCTCCCACGCAGGTGCAGGATCCCAAGGCTTTGGGCTGTCCTCAACTGCTTTCCCAGGCCACAAGCAGGGAGCTGGGGCTGCTGGGATTAGAACTGGTGCCCATATGGGATCCCGGCACTTTCAAGGCAAGGACTTTATCCACTAGGCCACCATGCCAGGCCCCAATAAATAGTTCTTCACTTTACTAATAGTCCAGGAAATGCAGGTCAAAGCAGTGAGAAACCTGTTTAAAGCATCCCATCAGACGGTCAGCGTTTTCTAAGTGACATCAGATACTGACAAGGTAGTAGGGAAAAGTGGTACCTGTATATATTGTGACAATTTGACATCTAGTAAAATTGGAAAATGTGTATGCCATAACCCAGCAATTCCATTCAAGAAGCATATATGTGCAAGAACAGATGTGATTTCAGCATAATTAGTGGAAAAATTGGAAATAGTCCATGTGTCCTTTATTGGAAAATGGATTAATACAATGTACTCTTTTTTTCCCCAGAAGTTTTTTGTAAGAGAAATAAAGATGCTTTTCTGTTCTCTGGTTCACTCCAACTGTCCACAACAAACTGAAATAGGCCAAATCAAAGCTAAGGGCCAGGAACTCCGTAGAGTTCTCCCATGTGGACGGCAGGAAGCCAAGCACTGAGCCATCTTGTACTGCTTCCTAAACACATTAGCACTGGGCCTGGGGCAATGGCCTGGTGGCTAAATTCTCGCCTTGCATGCCTCAGATTTCAGCTGCTTCACTCCCACACAGCTCCATGCTTATGACCTGGGAAAGCTGTAGAGTATGGCCCAAACCCTTGGGAACTTGCACCTGCATGGGTGACTCAGAAGAAACTCCTGGCCCCTGGCTTCAGATTGACCCAGCTCTGGCCATTGTGGCCACTTGTGGAGTAAATCAGCAGACTAAAGATCTTTCTCTGTATCTGCTTGTCTCTGTAAGTCTGCCTTTCCAGTAAAAAAAAAATAAAATCTCTAAAGCAAAGCAAAACACATTAGCAGGAAACATTAACATGAGATACTCAGACTCAAACCAGGTTCTCTTGTGGAATGCAAACATCACAGCTAAACCCACAAGCCTCAGTGCTTCCCTGTTGATAGACTGTGCAATACAGTATAGCAATACAAAAAAAGAATGAAAAATACATGTTTATTTGTTATTTTAAAAGGTGCGCTTACTTATTTGAAAGGCAGAGTGATGGAGAGTGAGAGAAATCTTCCACCTGCTGATTCACTCCCTAAACAGACACAACAGGTGAATCTGGGTCAAGCTGAAGCCAGGAGCCAGGAACTCTATTTTGGTCTCCCACATATGTAATCGGGGTCCAAGTTCTCAGACCATCTTCTGCTGTCCTCCCAGGCATGTTAACAGAAGCTAAGTCAGAAGCAGAGTTGCCAAGGCTGAAACCAGCGCTCTGATACGGAAGATTGATGTCCTAAGTGACAGCTCAATCCTCTGGTACAATACAGGCTCTCAGTTTAGGTTAATCTTACAGGCAATGTTAAATGACCACATTACACAGAATAATACAGAAGATCTGGAATGCATGTGTAAGAATTTTTAGAACAATCTAATATTCTGTACTGATTATGGCAGTCTATATATGTGAAAGCATGAAAAATGAACCAGGTACCTTAAGATTTGAAAGTGATGGCAGAGGACAACAGAAGCAATACTAAGGAGTTGGAGTGAAATGTGACATGATTGAGTGTATCGGTAAATTGAACAACATTAAAGGCAAGAAGTAGGTGTGATAAAATGTTAGTGATGGCTGATGATGTAGTCCTATTTTACATGCCCTTCTCTATATTAAAAAAAAATTCGGGCAATTAGAAAGTGAGGGAATATATGCATCTAAGGCCTGAATCTATGTCTAATGTGTTTTTTCAAGTATTCCCTTGCCTTTGTTAGTTAAATTTTTATGGAAGTTGTCTCACTAGTTAAAGTAGTCCAGGTAAAAAGTGCCTTTTAAGAAGCACCTGGGAAAGGGAGGTGAGGGAAGAGAGAGATCAGGCAAAGTAGCGACTCTGTACTCTGCAGTCATTTTAACTGCCCTGCCAATGTTTGAGTTAACTGTGCTTGTCATTAGCAGTTTTTCTTAATGTAGGTTTAATTTCTGTCGATTGTCTTCTCCTCTCCACCCCCAGGAGAAGATGATTTGTCAGTGCTGACCGCCCTGCTGGAAGAGAATGAATCAGCCTTGGATTATAACTTGGAGAACTCACGACCCCAAGAGGAGGGTAGACCCGACACGTTTGATGAGCTCTTTGATGCTGATGGTGACGGGGAGTCTTACACAGAGGAAGCTGATGATGGGGAAGTGGAAAGGACAGAGGACCAAAAAGACAATGTGGCCATGCTGTTTGGAGACGTAGGGGACTTAACAGATGAAGAAGAAATTCCTACACCACAATCAACTGAAAATAAAGTCCTCCCAGCTCCTGTACCCGGTCAGGAGAAAACTAACCAAGAACTACAAGGTATTCTCAATTAATCTCTTCTTTCTAGTTTATGATAATCTGGATGGAGACCACCAGTCTTGAATTTTCATCAGAATAGCTACTGGCTTAAGGTAGAGATAAATGACTTTGTAAAAACATAGAAAGTGTATAACTTGACAGGTGAAGTATGTAATGGCAGCATTCCAGTGTACATGGGCACCCTCATATCAGTGCCACCATCTGTAAGTGGTTCTCCACAGAATGGCCCTAACACTTTTCATCCTACTGTTTTGGGATTTATATGCCTGCAAAGCCAGGAAAAAATGGACAAAAACAAGGAAAGAGAGAGGTAGGACTCTTCTATCCATTGATTCACTCTTGGTTTTTGGCTTTGTTTTTGTTTTTTCTTTGTTTGCTGAGAGTCAGGTAGAGGGGGACAGAAAATTCCATCTGCTTCTTCACTTAACAAGTGGCACCGGACCAGGTCAAAACCAGAAGCTAGGAACTCATTATGGGTCTCCCAGATAGGTGGCAACGAACGAACTGTTGGAACCATCACCTGCTGGAATAAGTGGCAGAGCCAGGCACTGTGTCATGGGCATCTCAAGGATCACCTTAATTGCCAGGCCAAATCCTTAACTTTTAAGTTATTACATTCACTGGTTAGCTGTTTCTTGTAATTCAAGAACCAGCTTTTAGACATGAGAGTACTTCAAAAAGTTTGTGAACAATGAAGGTAAAAGACAATGCACATTTTTCATTAATTTTTTGAAAGCCCCTGTCTTGCATTATCTCAATTTATGAAATAAACATCATTCTTTGACTCCTAAAGATGTGCTGAACATATAATGTTTGTAACCTGCCAGTAGCACAGACTTTTATCTAGCTTGGGTAATAATAAAGCAGGTACGTCATTGTATTGTCACTATCAAAATTTGAGGGCAGAGGGTATACAACAAAAATATTGCTAGCATTTTTGTCATGTGAAACATTTTCCCTGGATAAATTCTTTTTTTATTATTTATATAAAATGAGTAAATTTCATGTTTTACATGATACACATTTAGAAGCACAGGGGCTCCTTCTCCCTCCACTGTCTCCCCTCCCTTATTTTTTTTTTACCCCAAGGTAGTACAGCGGCATATTCCTTCATTTTGAAATAGCAAGCTTAGCATTCCAATATGTAAAGATGTCATGACGTGGCAGGTAGAACAAAAAGAAATAAGTGGAAGTTCTACTGTTTGGGAGTATAGACACAGCTAGGAATGGCATTTAATTGCAAGTATGCTAATCTTACTTGAAGAGATTATTTTTTAAAACTCTGTATATTCGTTGTCATGAATCGGCACACGATATTTGTCTTTTGGCATTGGCTTATTTCACTAAACATAGTTGTTTCCAGCTGGATTCATTTTGCTGCAAAAGATAAGATTTCATTCTTTTTTTGTGGCTGGATATTTCATAGTATGTATGTACCACATTTTCTTCATCTAGTCATCAGCTGGTGGGCATCTGGGTTGGCTCTGTATCTTAGCTGTTGTGGATTGAGCTGCTATAAACATGGAGCTACAAATAGCTATCTAATATGTAAATTGCATTTTGTTTGGAAATATTCCCAGAAGTGGGGTGGCTGGGTCGTATGGTAGGTCTATTTTCAGAGAGCTGAGAAATTTCCATACTGTCTTACATAATGGTTGGACCAGCTTACATTCCCACCAATGGTAGGTAGATTAGCATACTATTTTTCCCCACAACCTCATCGGCATTTACAGAGAGAAGGAACAAAAAGTTCTTCCATCCACTGGTTCACTCCTCAAATGGCTGCAATGGCCAAAGATGAGCTGATTCGAAGCCTGGAGCCAGGAACTTCCTCAGGGTCTTCCACATGGGTCCAGAGGCCCAAGGATATGAGCCATCCTCCATTGCTTTCCCAGACTACATGCAGGGAGCTGGATGGGAAATAAAGCAGCCGGGACTAAAATTGACACCTATATGGAATGCTGGCACTTGCAAGTGCAGGATCAACTTGTTGAGCCACTATGACAGTCCTTGTCCCATTTCTTAACTGGATTGTTTGTTTTGCTGTTGTTGACATTCTGGAGTTCCTTATGAATCCTGGATATAGTGCTGAATCCGTTGAATAATGTGCAAATATTTTCTCACATGTTGTTGTCCTGGTCTAATTCTTACATCAAGTGCATTTTGCTTTCCTAGATGAACTAAGAAAGTTGCAAGAGCAAATGAAATCTTTACAAGAGCAGCTCAAAGTAGCAACAATTAAACAACCTTCAAGTCCAGTCCTGCATAAATCCACTGGTAATAAGACTTTGATTCTGGTAAAAGTATACATTCTTGTCACTACGAAATTGCAACATTGCTTTCTGTACCCAACTCCTTACAAAACAGCCTTCGATCCCCTTCCTCCATTGGCTTTTCCTAATCTCTTTTCCTTTAAATCAAGTAGGTAAGTCTCCACGCCCACCTCTTGAGAAGAAAATTCGGAGGATTCAAGAGTCAACATGCTTTTCTGCAGAGTTGGATGTCCCTGCTCTGCCAAGAACCCAGCGGGTGGCTCGGACCCCAAAGGCTTTGACAGGTGTGGTCTCAAGGCCTTCCCAATCCTGTTCCGTTTAAAATACTTTTTAGTGCTATTGTGCTGGGTGTGGGCGTGGGTGACTTTCATGCATTAGCTCTGTCTGGTGTTTACATTGAGAAAAGTATGTTTCTTTTTTTTATTTTATTTTTTTTTTAAAGATTTATTTTTATTATTTTTTTTCATTGGAAAGGCGGATATACAGAGAGGAGAGAAAAGTATGTTTCAAGGAAAGGAGAACCATATGATCTATTTTGTGACATTTCTCTTTAATTCAAAATACATAGTAATGTTTAGGTACATGGTAGATATTTACTACTTAGCTGGTCGAAATTCTTATCTATATAGTCTTAACAGTTTTACTTGAACTATACTAAGTGTAACCAGTGGCTTGGACTCTTGTTCTATAAATGTGGAGATTTAAACTTTAGACTTGTGAGATTAAGGCTTGTATATCCACTTTACAAAGTGCCTGAAGCCAGGTTGCGTTAAACCAGAGTCCATCCTGTAGAAGAAACTTCTTTACCAAAAGAAGAATGAAATCCTTTTTAAGCAAAAACTTACTTAAAACAACAATGAGGAAGGAAGAAGTCTTTGGAATTGGTTTTGTTGTGTTGCCTCAGTTTGTCCAGTGTGAATATTCCATCAAGACCTAAGGACAAAATGATCTAGAGATAACATAGCCTGAAGGAAGCAGTGCTTGGTGGACCACATGAATAGCCTTGGCCGATGATACAAAGTTGGGGAAACAACTGAAGCCTTGGGATGTTGATATTGACAAGAAACTATATTCAATGTTACCATTTAGGAATTGTGTCCCTCCCAAGTTGGGACCTTTGTCAGTCAGAGTTCTTATTATACAATGTCCAAAGTTTGCTGGAGTGAGTAGAGTGCAGACATGCTTTACAGGTTCCACAGGTCAAGGGTTGTCCCAGCCCCTGGTTGGGAAGCAGTGATCCAAAGCTGTTTATCCTTCACCTTTGAAGGGTAAACAACACAGACTCTATGTAAGAAAGCAATTTCCTTTTTTTTTTTTTTTTTTTTTTTTTTAAGAATGATTTATTTTTATTGCAAAGGCAGATATACAGAGAGAAGGAAAGACAGAGAGGAAGATCTTCCGTCCAATGATTCACTCCCCAAGTGACCGCAATGGCCGGTGCTGTGCTGATCCGAAGCCAGGAGCCAGGAACCTCCTCCAGGTCTCCAATATAGGTGCAGGGTCCAAAGACTTTGGGCCATCCTTGACTGCTTTCCCAGACCACAAGCAGGGAGCTGGATGGGAAGTGGGGCTGCTGGGATTAGAGCCAGTGCCCATATAGGATCCTGGCATGTTCAAGACAAGGACTTTAACTGCTAGGCCACCACGCTGGGCCCAAGAAAGCGATTTCATTAAGAAGGATGCCCAAGACATTCTGATCTTAGGAGCATTTTCAAGCACTTTTTTTTTTTCGAAGATTTATACATTTTTTATTTGAAAAGTAAAGACAAAAAACTTCCATCTACTGGTTCACTCCTCAAGTGGCCTCAATGACCAGAGTCAGCTGGGTTGATCTGAAGCCAGGAGCTTTCTCTGTATCTCACACATGGGTGCAGGAGCCTAAGGACTTGGGCCATCCTCCACTGATTTCCCAGGGAGCTACATCAGAACTGAAGGAGCCAGGATTCAAACCAGCCAGCGTATAAGATACTGGCTTAGCTTGTTACACCAATATGTTGGTCCCTAAACACTACTAAAATTCAAAAAAATTACTGCCTCAAGGATATTTAATGCTAACAATAGTTGGTAGAATACACTGGTGCCCCCACCCCAGAGATAAAGTATAATAGAATAAAATGAAAAAGAAAAGAAAGAGGAGCCAGCTTTGAATTTGCTGGAAGTAAGATTTGCTTTGTATGTAAAGGATTCTGTCCAAACTGTTTGTTATATCCATTGCAAAGAGTAACTGTTTTAACTGTGCTAATACAGTAGTCTTTAGCCACATGTGATTATGTATATCAGAAATATATTTCATTAGGAATGCTTGTTAGTTTTAGGTGACCAATGGCCACCTAAAATGTGATTGGCAGCTATTGCCATGTTGGATAGCACTGATGTAAAACATTTCTGTTTTCACAGAAATTTCTAATAGATCACACTGCAGCAGATCTTGAGTATAGGACAGAGATGTTTTGTGGAATTCCTTCATTTGCTCCAGATTTAATTATCACTAGTGTTGACTGAAAAAAAAATTCCATGAAAACAAATGCTGTTTTCTGTGTATGATTTTTCTATTTATTTAATTCTTATGCTTATTTTTTTTCTAATGTTAATTTTCTAGAGCCCAAAACCTTACCAACTTCTAGGATGCCCACTGCTCCCTCCCAGCCACTCCAAGCTATTCCTGGGAATAAGCCTAACGGGATGACAAGAGATCAGAGAACAGAGGCTCCAAGACGTCCCCAGGAGGCAACTCCACAGATGCCTGTCTCCACAGAAGCCTTCTCAGGCTTGCGGCTCAGGTCAGCAGCTTACCACCCTCTCACTCCACTGCGGTGCACCTCCAGGTGCACCTGAAGATCAACTCCTCTCTGAAGATCAACTCTTTCAGAAATGCTGAGTTTGTAAAGCATTTATGCACAGTACTAGCAGCCTTTGAGAACTAACATTACTAAACTGAACTTAACATTCAGGTAGGCTGTTGCATATTGCTATATATTAAATTTTGCTCAGTATAATTGCAAGTAAAATATTTAAGGGGGTCTTTTCCTTGTTTATATAATGACTAAACAGTGTGCTTCTGTTGAAAGGAAAAAGGCAACTAAAAAGATACTTCATCAAAAATTGACTGATCCAGGGCCTGGCTTGATAGCCTAAGTGACTAAGTCCTTGCTTTGCACATGACAGGATCCCATATGGGTGCCAGTTCATATTCTGGCTGTTCTACATCCCACCCAGCTCCCTGCTTGTGGCTTGGGAAAGCAGTCAAAGGCAACCCAAAGCCTTGGGACCTTGCACCTGCGTGGGAGACTTGAAAGAGGCTTCTGGCTCCAGACTTTGGATCGGCTAAGCTCCAGCCATTGCGGCCACTTGGGGAGTGAAACAGTGAACAGAAGAGCTTCCTCTCTGTCTCTCCTTCTCTCTGTAAATCTGACTTTTCAGTAAATAAACAAATCTTTAAAAAGAAAGAAAGAAAAAAGATGCAAAAAGTGACTGTTAACTCCTGGAAGTCAGGCAGAGAGAATTTCTACATCCAGCTCAACACTCACCTTTGAAGATCCTGTGTTCTTTCAACTCGGTGGTGGCCTTGCTCTTCAGAAGATGTTTGAGACAGTGAAGAAGCATGGTTTACTCAGGCTTCTTTCTGACTATGTAAAATTTTCAAAGGTGGCACAGAGAAAAGCAAAAGAAAATTCACCAGATTTTGGCCAGTCATTACGAATAAGAATGTAGTAATTGATGACTAGCTCCAAAATACCCCTATTGTCAGATTAAAATATTGGCTAAGGACATCCAATTAGAAATAGCAGGAACTATGAAATATCTGCAGTGCAGATAAAATTTAAGTGTCTTTTTATGGATGGATTTGTGATTTTGTAATGAAAGCAAAGAGATTATTTTAAAGATATTCTATGATGTGTAATTTCTAAGACCTTAAAGAACTTGTGTGATCTTTCTTATTTACTGTGTAAACTGTATATCTACATCCAAGGCAGAGTAAATCTAGTTTTTAAAATGATTAGTGACAGACAGTTAAGATACTGATTGGGATGCTTGCGTCCTGCATTGAAGTACCTGTGTTTGTGGCGGTGATGATGGCTCAAGCCGTTACCCTGGTGAGAGAGCGAGGCTGGGTTCCCAGATCCCGCCTGCTGGCTGCTGCAGATACTTGTGGAGCAGACTAGTAGTTAGGAACTCTCTCAGTTTCTCAAAATAAACTTTCTGTTCATCTGCTCTAAAAATCTGCCTGTCTGTACTCTATAACTAAGTTCTCTAAACTTGGTTAGAGGTTTCTGCCATAGTACTGCTCCTTACTACCTGGTAAAGTGCCATGTAATCTCAACTGGAAAAATAATCTACTAATTGCCGGTGTCTTGACCCAGGAAACCTCGAGTATCCTCCACAGAAATGACCAAGAAGATGACTGGCCGAAAACTGATCAGATTGTCCCAGATCAAGGAAAAGATGACAAGTGAGAAGCTGGAAGAAATAGACTGGGTGACATTTGGGGTGATATTGAAGAAAGTCACCCCACAAAGTGCTAACAGCGTAAGCCATTTTGTTCATTTCTTAGCTGTTTCATGGCAGTCCAACAGTAGGAACTCTTTCTTTAATTTGTTACCCACGACCTGTCAGTATTTCTTTTCTTTTTTCCTTTTTCGTTTTAAAAAGAGAGAAAGTTCTTCCATCTGCAAGAGCTGGGGCTGGGTGAGGTGGGAGTATCATCCAGCCCCTAGAACACCATTTGGGTCTCCACATGAGTGCAAGAAACCAAGACCAACCACTTTCCCACACACCTCTGCAGGGATCTAGATTGGAAGTAGAGCACCTAGAACTGACTGGTACCGGTGCTCATATGTGATGCTGGCATTGCCTGGCAGCAGCTTAAGCTGATGTGCCACAATGCTAGTCACAAGTATTTCTCTTCTGTTATAAAATTGCTGCATAGGGTTGGTATCCAAAGGCATCTGTGTAAAGAATGTGCTATTTAGAGAACATCTAGTTGTCCTGTAGGGGCTTTTTGTTGTCTAAATCACTCCGATCACGTTCCATTTGTCATTGTCTCTGGTGACACATGGTTATTTTAGAAACATAATAGTCCCCATTGCACAGGAAAGGAGCAGGTATTCAGACAGGCTGAGCTCATAGAGTCTCTGGAGAGTCCCATTGATGTGAAATGCTAATCACAAAAGTGCTGAACTCACTGGCCTGTGCCAACGGAGTATGTTTAGTGACTGTTGAAAAGGATCTAGTAAGTTTCAAAAGCACAGCTGACTGAGGCATACTGGGAATGTTTAGTTGCCTGACAAGTCAGAGAACCTGGATTTGAAGCATTATTGCCCACTTGAAACAGTATGTATTTTAAGTTGACCCTGCAAAGGGCTCATTTCCTTATCTGTAATATGAAGGAGCTGATTTTCATTATATTGGAAATGTCTCCCATCTCCAAGACACTATAATTAATCATAATCAGTACTGGTTTTATGCTCAAATTTAGATATCAGCTAGTCTTATGTTTTTTATGAGTTGAGAGAATTTATTATGATCAGCATCATCATTATATTTCAGAGACAGAGAACTCCCTTTGTTTGTTCATTTCCAAAACGCCGCATTGGCCTGGGACTGAGCTAACTCTAGGAGCCAGGAACTTAATCCTGGTTTCCCATGTGTCTGACAGGACGCTAAGTGATTGAGCCAGCCTCTGCCTTCCAGCATCCACATTAGCAGTCAGTTGGAGTCAGGTTATCAAACCCAGGCCCTCAGGTATGGGTTGGTGGCATCCTGACCACTAGACCAAATGCCCACTGCCAGGAAGTCAGTGCTAAATAACTAGGATCTACTCTAACTCTATTACCTTGGAAGTAAATGGTTGTATCACAAGAGATTATAATAACATTGAGATGATAGATATGAAATCTTATCCAAGAAAAACAACTACAAATTGATGAAAGAATAATTATAATACTTGAAGTCCAGGCAGTAGTTCATCAGAACCTATAGCCATGCCATCTTGGGATGCCCTTCTGAAATAGCTTGATTCAATATTGCTCACCTTGTCATTCTTTCAGGTCATTTTGGTTTTGTTTTTCAATTCCTGCAAAAGAAGTTGTGCATGATTTTTGTTTCGAGTTGTATTTCTTCGGATATTTAGTAGTACCTCTCTGACATGTTACAGTTAAGTAGTTTTCATTACATGATGTTTGTTGTCTTCGAAGCAAAGAGAAGGACAGTACTATTCCACTGACAGTTATTGTTAGCAGATCGTCCTTTCCTTTTGGTTGGCTAGAGGCTTGCCTCTCCTCTCTGAAATGGGGAGCCCAGAGGAAGAATTAATTTGTATATATTTTTTCATACTAAAAACCTTGCACCTTAAAGGGAGGTAGTGTAAACCATAGTTCAAAAACAATCAAGAGTAAATATTTGTTCTAGGGGAAAACATTTAGCATCTGGCGGCTGAATGATCTTCGTGACCTGACGCACTGCGTGTCGTTGTTCTTGTTTGGAGAAGTTCACAAACAACTCTGGAAAACGGAGCAAGGCACTGTCGTGGGGCTACTCAATGCTAACCCCATGAAGTCCAGAGATGGCTCAGAGGAGGTAAGAAGTGACTCCTGGGATTCGTTAAGTGTCTTTGCTAATTAGCTAAGTTTTTAAAAAGCATTTCTATTAGTCTGCCTCCGGAAAATTAGTTGTGCTGAAAGGAAAGTGAAGTGGCGAGGACATGACTCAGCACCCATATGGGATCCATATGTGTAAGGCAAGAATTTAGCCAATGTGCCATCATACCAAGCCCTCTGCACTCCCATTTCTGAAACCAGAGAGCACTGGCTTCAAATTAAGTTAGACAGTAACTTTCTTAGGTGACCACCAGCTATTCTTTATACATGGCCACAATTTTTTCTGCTCCTACTCATACCCTTCCTTCTTTTATTTCATTTTATTTTTTTCATTACAGGTGTGCTTATCTATTGATCATCCCCAGAAGGTCCTAATTATGGGTGAAGCTCTTGACCTGGGAACCTGTAAAGCAAAGAAGAAGAATGGAGAACCATGCACCCAGACTGTGAATTTGGTTAGTTTCAATCTTGTTAGGATTATTATAGAAGAAAACTACCAGGCATAGACAAACTGGTGGTACTTCAGCTATCATGACTGATTTGGAGCTATTCAAAGTGTGATTAATAACTACCAGCTTACAAAGCTGAGGCAGGGGATGGGCAGGGGGATTTTGAGCTCTCAGGAAGTTGATCTTTTGTTGCTTATTGACTGGGACATATTCAATCTAGTAATTTTTAGCAGATTCAAAGTTGCACAATAATTGTCACTATACATGATCTCAGAATATTTCACTACCTTCCAAACTCCATACCCAGGAACAGTCATCCCCCAGCCTCTTCTCTCCCTGCCCTCCCTCTACTTGGTGTGTCTGTTAACTAGCCTTCCTGAGTGTTTCATATATTGGATTCACAGTATGGGACATTTTGTGATTAAGTTCTTCTTAGCATAATATTTTCAAGGTTCATCGTTTAGATTGCATTTATCAAGTACTTGAGTCGTTCCAATGGCTAATTTCCCATTGCATTCATATGCTGTGTTTTCTTTATCCATTCATTGGTTGATAGACATTAGGATATTTGCCTGTTAGAAATAATGCTGCTAAAAGCATTCACAACACAAGTTTTTGTATAAATATATGTTCTCAATTCCCTTGAGCGGATACCTGAAAGTAAAATTGTTGGGTCATGTGGTAACTCGAGGTTTAGACTTTGGACGTGCTCCCAACTGGTTTCCAAAATGCTGCACCATTTTAAGTTCTCACCCTCAGTATGTCAGGGTTCCCATTTCTTCACATCGTTGTTAACACTTGTTACTGTCATATTTTTATGGTCATAGCTCCTCTTCACCTGTTTTTGAAAGGTTTTTCCCCCAGAGGATGAAAGGGCAGCTTTTAGTTTCGTTGTTTGGATTTCTCTCATTCCTTCCCAAAAGATACACCAGTAAACAGGAAATAGAAAAGGGGTAGGAAACAGATGGAATGTGGGTGGGAGTCCTATCTGCTGCACCAAACACCTGTTCCCAGTGTGTAATGTGTGCCATTCAGGGTTTCAGGTGTTCAACCACCAGTTCAGTCAGTTTCACAACTTTCCATCACCTCATTAAATACCCTGCACTCATTAGGCCGTCAGCGCCTTCCCCTTTGCCCGGTGTCCCTCTTACCTGCTTTACTCAGTGCTTTTGCCTGCTGTGGATATATCATACAAAAAGAATCATGCAGTGCAGGGTTCTGCCTCTGCTTCCTCAGCAAGGTTGCCCCATTCATTGTCGAAAGAAGCGAAGGGTATGTTCTTTTATCAGACCAGTGCTGTAAGAGGAAATGGCAGGAAGAGCTTCTGCCTCTCAGTATCTGCACAGCCTTTCCACTTGGGGCTGGTCTCGGAGGTGGGTGCAGAAGAGTGCGCTGTGAGGATGGCGGACAGGAAAGGCATGTGCACCATTGTCTGTTGTCCAGTGCCCATGTTCCAGTGCAGCCGCTCTTCCTTTTACAGAACGAATGCGAGTACTGCCAGTATCACGTCCAGGCGCAGTACAAGAAGCTCAGTGCAAAGCGAGCCGATTTGCAGTCCACTTTCTCCGGAGGGCGGATTCCAAAGAAGTTCGCCCGCAAAGGCTCCAGCCTCAAGGAACGGCTGTGTCAAGATGGCTTTTACTATGGAGGAGTTTCCTCTGCATCGTATGCAGCCTCGATGTAAGCTATTCTTGGTGTTTCTTAGGGAGCAGGGTTTTGTTTGGTTGTGATTTCCTGCAAGTATTGGATGCCATCCTACTGCCTATAACAGGGTAGATAAAAGACCTCTTTGATTCCCAGGCAGAGAGGAGAAAGAAAATACCAGAGAAGAAAGTCATGTCGTGATGGGAAGATTAATTCTCTCTCTCCTTTCTGTAACCCTACCTTTCAAATAAAAGTAAAATAAATCTTTGAAGAAAAGGGGCTATAGGAACCAGCATTGTGGCATAAGAGGTTAAACCACCAAGTGCAATGCAGATATCCCGTATGGGTACGAGTTTGTGTCCTGGCTGCTCCTCTTCCAATGCAGCTTCCTGCTAATGTACCTGGAACGTAGCGGCAGAACATAGCCCAAATCCCCGGGGCTCCGCACCCATATGTGAGACCCAGAGAAAGCTCCTGGCTCCTGACTATAGCTGGCCTCGCCCCAGCCATTGTGGCCATTTGGGGAGTGATTCAATGGATGGAAGACAGAATCTCTGTTTCTCTGTAACTCTGTCTTTCAAATAAAATAATTCCTGAAGAGAAGATACAGCCGAATCAAAAAGAGAAAGTTAAAACCACTTATATAATTCTTATACTTAGAAAACTGTTAGTTCCTTGTAATATATTCTTCCAGTTGTTTGGGTTGTTTCTGTTTGTTTTTGTTGGTTTTGGTTTTTACGTTTTTGGTGCTATGAAGTGAGCACAATGTGCCAATATTTTATCACCTTAAGTATTTTTGTGGGTTTTTTGGGGGGAGGAGTCATTTTGTTTTATTTTGTTTTTTATAACTTTGGGTTTTTATTCACATAATATGTATTTTTGTAGGGCCCAGGGCAGTAGCCTAGTGGCTGAAATGCTCGCCTTGCGTGCACCAGGATCCCATATGGGCACGGGTTCATGTCCCTGCAGCCCCCTTCCCATCCATCTCCCTGCTTTGTGGCCTGGGAAAGCCATTGAGGACGGCCCAAAGCCTTGGGCCCTCCACTCACATGGGAGACTCAGAGAAGGCCCTGACTTCAGATCAACTCAGCTCTGGCCATTGCAGCCACTTAGGGAGTAAATCAGTGGACAAAAGATCTTTCTCTCTGTCTCTCCTCCTCTCTGTATATCTGACTTTCCAATTTAGAAAAAAGTTTTCTTGTAAAACATTCACTTTTTTAGTGGCTACATAATAATTTTTTAAAGATTTATTTTTATTGGAAAGTCAGATATATGGAGAGGAAGACCTTTCATCCGCTGATTAACTCCCCAAGTAGCAGCAATGGTCAGAGCTAAGCTGATCCAAAAGCCAGGATCCAAGGAGCTTCTTCTGGGTCTCCCAATTGAGTGCAGGGTCTTAAGGCTTTGGGCCATTCTCCACTGCTTTCCCCAACCACAAGCAGGGAGCTGGATGGGAAGTGGGGCCACCAGGACACAAGCTGGCACCCATAATATTTCTTTTTAAAGATGTATTTATTTTGAAGGCAGAAAGACAGGGAAGGAGCAGTATACTGGCATCATAGGCAACAGTGTAACCCATAAGATGGGCCCTCGCAACATTCCATGTCATGACTTAAAACAGTTCTCTGTGGATATACATGAATAGAATTTCTAACTTATATGCTAAGCTTAATAAGTTTTTGCATGGTCTTGAATTGTTTTGAGAAAGATTCCTAGACTTCTAAATCAAGCATTATTGGTTTTTTTTTTTTTAATTCTTTTTTTTTTAAATTCTTTTTAAATATTTTTTTATTCTTTTGCCCTTTTAGGATAGCCTCACATTTATTCGTTGGCTCTCTTGTTTTTCTTCTGGGTCACAGTGCATAAAGCAGTTGTGCTACAGGGCCACAGCACTCGGGCTTTTGAGTATTTGACAGTTACTGAGCATTTGGGCCTCTGCAGAGCGCTGACATTGAGTGGGTGACCTTTGTCGTTTCAGGGCAGCTGCTGTGGCTCCCAAGAAGAAGATTCAGACCACGCTGACCAATCTGGTTGTGAAGGGCTCAGACTTGATCATTCAGGAAACACAACAAAAGCTTGGTAACTTTGTTCCTCCATACTAAATGTCTTCCTCTGTACAATTTTGTGGACTGAAAATATCAACAACTTATATTCCCAAAGTTTAATTTTCCTATCGTATCTTGGCTAAATATTTTTTATGGTTTATTTGAGAGATATAAATAGAAAGAGCTCCCATTTACCAGTTCATATACCAGAAGCCCACAACACCAAGGGCGAGGCCACGGTCCAAAGCTGATAGTAGGGAGCATAACCCAGGTCTCCCATGTGAATGACAAGAACTCAGTGTTTGAACCATCACTCTGTGTCCCAGAAAGCACATTTGCAGGAAGTTGGAGTGAGGAGCCAGGGCTGGGGATCAAACCTAGGTATTCTGATGTGAGATAAATTCATCCTCACTGGTACTCTAAATACTCCTGGGTCAGATTCTTAATGCCCAGCATTAGAAGAAGAGAAGGTCTCCCCCAACCATGTGTACTTGTGGTCAGTTTAGCATGTGCTCTCATCCATAGTGCATATTCTAGATCAGTGCCTGAAGTGACTCTGGTGGGTATTATAGCACAAAGAATTGAGCAGCAACTTGGAACTCCCACATCAGAGCACCCGGTAATTCCTGCTAAGGTGCCTGGGAAACACCAGATGATGACCCAAGTACTAAGGTTTCTTCTATCCGTGGAGAAGACTCAACTGGGATGCCTGGCTTCTGGCTTCAGCACAGCCCAGCCATGCCTACTATAGTCTTTTGGGGAGTAAAATCTTGAAAATAAATGACCCACATGAAAAAAATTCCCTCATATTTATGATATCTTTAATATCCTGCTGGTGTGATTTTTTTTTTTTTTTTGGTATCTTGATATTCCATGTCTTTCATTTACAGATGATTAAATTATGATGTCAGGCTCTCTGAGTCGAATCCTCTGAAGGTAATGTTTATGCATTTCAGGAATACCCCAGAAGAGCCTGTCTTGCTCTGAGGAGTTCAGGGAGTTGATGGACCTGCCAACGTTTGGCGCCAGGAACTTAAAACAGCGTTTTGCAAAAGCCACGACTTCAGGTATAGTCAGCTTGTGTGGCTGCCCTGTAGATGCCTGGCTTCCCTCGGCCTCTCGGGGGTCCCTGCAGATGTGGACTTGTGTTACAGGGATCATGGGGAGCCCCAAACCAGCCATCCAGTCGATTTCAGCCTCAGCTCTCTTAAAGCAACAGAAGCAGCACATGTTGGAAATGAGGAAAAGGAAATCAGAGGAAATACAAAAGCGGTAAGAATAATAAACTGATTATTCTCAGAAAACCTTTGTGGATTTTGAAAATAATTGCTTTGGATTTTTTTTTTTTTAATTTTTTGTCTTTTAAAGATGTATTTATTTATCCAGCAGACATTGAGTTCTCTGGTTCACTCCCCAAATGACTACAATAGGTAAGGCTGGGCCAGGCTAAAGCCAGGAATTTAGAACTCCATTTAAGTCTCCATGTGAATGGCAGGGGTCTAAGCACATGGGCCATGTTCTGTTGTTTTCCCAGGTACATCAGCAGAGAGCTGAATTGGAACTATGGTGGCCAGGACCTGAGCCAGCAATACCATTTTAGGTGTCAGCTGCAGCTTTACTTACTGCATTATGACACCAGCTCCATGGTTACTTTTTTTTTTTAATTTTAAATAATTGCTAAATAATTCTTTCATAACCCAAATAGCATTTAAGACTATATTGGAGCAAGCATTTGGACTAGCAAATAAGACACCTGTTTGAAGCCCTTTTTCCACATTATAAGTCCCTAGGTTCAATGCCTGGCACAAGCTCCTGACTCTAACTTTCTGTTAATGCAGGTCTCTACTTAGGCTAGTGACTGCTGAAACCAAATGATACAGGATAGAGTACTTGGCCCCATTATGGTAAAGGAAAAAGACTGAAATAGGAAGAGGCTTTTTGTAAAAGAGAAAAGCATTTATTGACCTTTGTCTCTTCTTAAGTTCATTTTTCCAATTCAGGTAAATATTTTTTAAAAATAAGGTAGGGGCCTGACATGATATCCTAGTGACTAAAGTCCTCACCTTACACACACTGGGATCCTATATGGGCACTGGTTCTAATCCTGGCAGCCCCACTTCCCATCCAGCTCCCTGCTTGTAGCCTGAGAAAGCAGTTGAGGACGGCTTAAGGCCTTAGGACCCTGCATCCGCATGGGAAACCTGGAAGAAGCTCCTGACTCCTGGCTTCAGATAGGCTCAACTCCATCCGTTGCAGCCACTTGGGGAGTGAATTAGCAGATGGAAAATCTTATTCTGTCTCTCCTCCTCTCTGTATATCTGATTTTCCAATAAAAATAATAAATAAATATTTTAAAACCAGAAAAATTAAAATAAGGTGATAAAAATTTGAAGTCATTTTAGAGACAGAGTCAAGTAGAAATGGATGCATAAGGTGACAAAGGTTCTTGCATTCAAGTTGAATACTGGTAAGAGCTGCTGCTTGCAGAAGCTCACTGTGTACTGTGAGCCATAATACAGCATCCTCTTGGGCCCTTACGAAAACACTTGTGAGTTTGTTACCTGTGTATATTCATAACACAACTGTGTCACCCAGGTTCAAGTTCATTCCAGTTTGACTCCAGTGTCTAACCCCCATGCTGTCCCAAGTCTCACCTCCTGAGAGGCAGGTGGTTCCAGGGAAGGGAAAGTCAACTGTAAGTCAAAGAGAGAATGAGTGTCCAGTAAGTTAGTGGAAAGTGCTGATAGGATATCTCTAGGTATCTAAGGTTTCTCATGTGCCTCCAGATGCCACAGATATATATAAGGACATAAAATGCATATGGGATGTGGGTATTGTGAGAAAAAGGGAGCCCTTTGTCAGAAAGAATTACAGTTTGAAATTTCTCATAATTTTCCTGATCAAAAAAATAGAGCTTGGGATATTAGTTTGTCTGTTATTGATGGGCAGTTGACATGCTCAATAGAGCATGTCAAGAATATTGGCTAGGGTCACCTGACACTGGGCCTTTGTCTGTCACTCAAGAATGTTGTAATTTTGGGCCTTGATTCTTCATCTATACTGAGAGGATTTCTGAAGGTTTGTTTTTAAGTAACCCTTAAAACTGCATAGAATAAAATGACCATGGTGCAGGTTACAGTGCTTCCCTGTTAAGGACTTCCAACTGGATCATATGTATGGTCTCTGCATAGAATGAATTGAAATGCAGAGAGATTTAGTGAATTCCTGAAGTCCTAGCACTGATTACACATCCCAGCCTCTGGCATGTGGGCTATAGATAGCTTCCACTGTAGAACTACTTGGTAAAGCAGTAATCAGTTCCAACGTGCTAGAACAGTTAGAGCTTAATCAGTGGAAAATTAAATGACCAGAGTTACTGATCTTATAGTGTGCTAATTTGAATTTGTATCTAAACAGCAGGAGCTAATTATTATTGGTCACCAACGTGTGGCCTACATTCTCCCGGTTCATTCTGAGTCCTGGAGAGGTGGTTTTCATATTTGTGAAGCGCTGTTTGCATATTTCGTCACTTCCTATTCCTTTGTAAAGCTTTCTCCAAAGCTCAAGTGAGGTCACGAGCCCAGCTGTGCCATCCTCGTCCCAACAGCCCCCTGCTCAGTCTCCACGGGTGGAGGCCAAATTCCCACGGCTGGAAGGAGTCCCGGCCACACAGACGCCGAGACTTGGGCGGGGCATCTCCGAAGGAGATGATGTTCTGTTTTTTGACGAGTCACCACCTCCAAAACCAAAACTAAGTGCTTTAGCAGAAGCCAAAAAGGTAAATGGCATGTGTTCTTTTTCTTTTGTGTGTATGTGTGTCTTTTAAGCTCTATTAATTTATTCTGAAAGAGTTACTGAGAGAGCAGTAGAGACAGAGATCTTCCAGCCGCTGGTTCACTTCAGATGACCACAACTGCCACTGCTAGACCAGGCCCAAACCAGGAGCCATCAGCTTCATTTGGTCTCCCATCTGGGAGGCAGGGGGACAGTCAGGCTATCCTCTGTTGCTTTTCCCAGTCCATTAGCAGGGAGCTGAATTGGAAGAGGAGTAGGTGAGATTCAAACTGGAGTCCAAATGGGATGCCATTATCAGAGACACCAGCTCTACGTGCCACCACAGTGCTGGTCCTAGCATCTGCTCTAACACTTTGCTTCTTGTGAGACATCCCTGAGTTTCAAACACAAGGTACTTATGGCTGGGAAAGGTGGTCACCTATTAACTATTTAGCAATCCATGGTCATTACAGTCAAAGCAATGTAGAATGACAATGGTGTTAAATACCACCATTACTCTAATCTGGGAAAGTTAGTGCTGTTGTTTCCACAGTTTCCTACCAGGCTGAAGGAAGCATCCTCAGGGAAGATGTTGATTTTCGGGTGGAAACACTGACATTAGGAAAAAGTTGTTGGGATTGTTGAGGTGAGACCATATAGTAGAAGTTTAACGTGTCCTTGAAAGAAGTCTCCTGGGTCATGCATGGTAGTGCAGCACACTAAACTGTGGCTTGTGATGCCCACACCCTACATTGTAGTGCTGGTTAGAGTTCTGGCGGCTTTACTTCTGATGCAGCTTGCTGCTAATGTGCCCAGGGAGGCAGCTGGTGGAGACTCAATCACTTAGGTTCCTGCCATTCAACAGAGGAGACAGATGGCTATCCTGAGTCCTGGCTTAAGCCTCATCCAGCTTGGCTATTTCAGGCATTTGGGGAGTAAATCAGCAGGTGGAAGATCCTCTCTCTCTCTCTCTCTCTCTCTGTCTCTCTCTCTCGCTGTTTTTCATTTGTTCTGCCTTTCAAGTATGTGAGGATAAATAAATGAACATTTAAGAAACAAATCTTACACAGAATTCCAGTGTTTTGACAGTTGGTAGCTCAGTAGTTCTGGCCAGTGTGGGGGCACGCAGCCTCATCTCTGCACGTCCTGTGGTCCCTGGCTTTTGGCTTGCTTCCCCTCCTCCAGATAGCAGCATAACCCAATTAAGACTCAGTCTAAGTTAAAACTCATCTATAACAATAATAGTAATAATAGTGTTATGAGTACTGACAATTGCACATATTGATTAATACTACTCTCCTTGGGATATATGTGTGCTAAGCTGTTTACTGTGTACAGGAACATACTTAGCATGCCCTGTATCATTTCATCCACACAGCCATGACCTTGGAAGAGAAGTCATTTGGAAATATCCCATTTGAGACTCAGAAGTGCAGTGGCTTCCCTGAGATCACAAACTAGTCACAGCAGAGCTAGAATTCTGTCCTAATTCAGTCTGTCTAAAGCTTCCACATGCTATTACTATTACTTTATTGATCTAGGAGCTTACAGTTCATCTGTTAAACTATTTCAATAAGCTGAGACTTTATTCGTCAGTTTATAGGAGTTGACCTATCTCCCATGCTATTAAGTATTAATAATTGTTTTAATGCTAGGTAAAATGAATGTGTGTGTGTGCATATTACATACCTACGTGTATATATAAAGAATTATTTGGGTATTTTAAAAGCAAAATGACAGATATCCTCCACTCCTACCTAATATGCCTGTAATACCCAAGTGAGGCCAGCTTGGGCCCCCATCTAGGTCTCAAACATGGATGGCAAGAATTCAAGTACTTGGACTGTCACATGCTGGGATCCAGGGTACCTTGGCAGCAAACTAAATCAGAAGACTGAGTAATCAGAACTTGAACTTGGCACCCAGTGTGGGTTTTGAGCATCCCAGGTGGAACCTTAACCCACTATACCACAACACCCATCCCAGAATGAAGACATGTTCCGCCTGTTTCTTTCCAAGAACAGCCAGTGTTCTCTTGTTCATAAATAGAATGAGGGATAGGGCTAAAGAATTTTATATTTCTAGTTTGTTTTGTATTTCTAACACTACTTTTTTTTTTTTTTTTTTTTTGCTAGTTAGCTGCTATTGCGAAGTTGAGGACAAAAGGCCAGGTTCTTACAAAAACAGATCCGAACAGCATTAAAAGGAAACAGAAAGACTGCCAGGACATCCAGGAGGTAAAGGAGCGTGTGGAAAGGAGCACCATGTTCTCTCCTGAAGGTACTGCCGTTCCAAGTGAGCCATGGGGAAGAGGGACTGTTGATGTGGGAAGTGTCCTGAACCACAGTCAGGGCCCGGAATCAAGCCATTATTTGACTGCCTTCTTCCTCTGCACACCTAAACAGAACTTCTGCAGCTGGAACTGATTGTCTCTGAAGTTGACAGTGTCATTTTAAAATCAGAATTATGTTGTTACTGTGTACTATAACTGCTCCCTATTTTAATGTCAGAGTTGCTAGTCCAATGCTAAGGATTGAGCCTATCACGCCATATTCTAGGCTCTACTTCCTGGCTCGCTTGAGAGCTTTCTCCTGCTGGTTCCAAGTTTTAAGGGCCTGGAAGGGAGAGAAAAGGAAAGGGGGAAAGGTTGAATTGATACAGACTGACTTTCCGAAAGTGCCTTATAAGCCTGGTGCAGTAGTTAAAGTCCTCACCTTGCATGCGCCGGGATACCATATGGGCGCCAGTTCTTGTGCTGGCTGCTCCACTTCCCATCCAGCTCCCTGCTTGAGGCCTGGGAAAGCAGTAGAGTGTGACCCCAAGTCCTTGGGACTCTGTACCCACATGGGACACCCAGAAGAGGCTCCTGGTTCCTGGTTTTGGATCATCTCTGCTGTGGCTGTTGTGGCCACTTGGGGAGTGAACCAACGAACAGAAGCTCTTTCTCTCTGTCTCTCCTTCTCTCTGCAAATCTGTCTTTCCATAAAAAAAAAATAAATCTTTTATATATATGTATACCCTTTGCAAATAAAGAGTGAATTTATTTTAAAAAAATATAAGTGCCTTATCAGCTAACATTATTCTTCTGTGTTGTAGCAGAGGATGAACTAGAGCCTGCCGTGAAAAAAAGGAGAGAGCAGCTTGCCTACTTGGAATCTGAGGAATTTCAGCAAATTTTCAAAGCTAAATCGAAGCACAGTGACATCATGAAAGAGGTAAGAGCCCAGAACACATAGGATGGTATCAACACCCTCAACCCCAGGGTACGTTATTAGGACCAAGAACCCATTTGTTTGACATAACCCAAGCAGTAGCACCCAGAAGTCACATGCAACAAGCAGTACCCCCTTGAAGGTCCACGGGATGGTCCATAAATGCAGATCCCACAGCATCCCTCGTCCCCACCAGCAGCCCAGGTAGTAGTGTTTCTGTAGGGGCAATAAGCGTCTCTTTTGTCACTTAGCAGATAACTGATGAGGGTGGCATATCGTATCATTTCACCAGACTTAAAAGGGAGGTAGGAGTGAGCCTCTTCCGTGCCTCTTGTAACCAAAGGCCCTGGGCCCTGTGTGGCTGTGCTAACTCACTTAGCTGCACCTGGGCTCTGCCCAAAGACTGTCTTCATATTTATTCCCTGTTGTTCCAAATGCCCAGGACGTGCTCCTGCCACATTTATGATCTGAGGACGAGTGAAAGACTGGGCAGTTGTCGCTGGGAAGGCCTTACAGTCCTTCCATGTGTATGAAAGTTCCATCTACTTCAAGCATCAGAAATAACTACCTGTGGTACTTACTGGGTGCCGTGACGCTGAACAATGCTGTGTAGTGTTCACCCAGTGCTTTTGTGTGTTCTTTGAGGGCCTTTTTTTCCCCACACTTACCATCCACCATCTTTGGTGACACTGAGGTACTGTCTGGAACCTTTTAGCTTGCCTCTTCAGTTTGGTTTTGGTTGTTACTGAATCATTTCTGTCACTGTATTACATTAGCCTTAATGAATGGCCTGTGGAAACCTCAGAATCAGGATGCGATCCCCTTTATGCCTTGTCATTCCAGGCAGAAGCTGAGCTGCAGGAGCGCTACTTCGAGCCACTGGTGAAAAAAGAACAAATGGAAGAAAAGATGAGAAGCATCAGGGAAGTGAAGTGCCGAGTCGTGACGTGCAAGACGGTGAGTGAGGCCACGCCCATTTCACACTGGGATGACTCAGCAGGACCCTGGGACTCCTGTTAGGCTGGAGGCCAGGCAGTGTGGCACAACCCTGCGTCTGTGTCTGGCTCCCTGCCTGGCTTGGCTGCCGAGTCCTGTTGGTGAAGTGTTGGTGAAGTGTTCGCTGCAGAGAGTACCTTCATTTGGCTACAACTCCCAGCTCCCCGCCTTGACTGCGGAATGCGCCTTGGTCGTGGCACTTTCTCAGCTTCCTTTGTGCTCCTCGCCCTCCTCCCATCTGCAAAGCCAGCCATGGTGTAGGTTGAGCTGTCACATCAAACCCCTGCCAGCCAACCCCATCCTGTCTTCTTTCCACCACAGAGGACTCTTAAAGTTGCACTGGGCCCCTACCCAGAGAACTCAGAGTAATTCCCCTGTCTTAAGTTCAACTGATAAGCATTCTTGATTCTATTCTGCTACACACATTCCTTCCCCTGTACCACGTAACGCTAAGATAGAGGTTCCGGGGAATAGAATGTTGGACTCTTCCTTATCAAGATGGGAACCTTGTTTTTGCCAAGGACCTTTTGGATATTTAGAAATCATTCACATGACATAGAAGACTATCCATTTAAAAATTAACTTGCTGTAGACTTGCAAGTCCCATCTGTAATTGCCTTGGCAAGACCAGACCTGATCTTTGTGCCACCCACAGGCCACATGACCCTGTTCCTGGGTCATTGACTTTACCAAGATCTATAGTAACTTACCTAGACTCACCATAATTAGCAGAGATCACTTGGCAGTCTCCTGGCACCTGGTACAGCCTACCCCCACCTCTTTCTGTTGTCTTTAAAAGTTAATTACAGAGTATGTCTGTTTTGGTTTATAACCTTTTCGAAGATCTTGTAAGAGAAAGAGCTACTATGTAATCACCGAATGCCCTTAATGGACCAACCTCAGCTTTTTTCAAGATTTCTAATACTTCTATTCCTCTGTCTTTACTGTGTGTCTCCAGACCTGGCCTGAAATTGAGACAAACATGAGATAAAGTGTTACAGTATCAGGAAAAGTTGAGGAAGGCCCTGAGGTCACTGCAGCTAGAAGACAAAGTGGTCAAATCCACAGCAAGGTTCTGGCCAGGAGCAAAAGGAACAGATTGTCCCAGAGTAGATTTGTGACAGAGCCAGGTAATGGTGCTTCTGGAAGGTTCCTCACAGATGTGTGTGTATGTGCAGTGCTCTTACACCCATTTCAAGCCTCTGGACACCTGCGTCAGCGAGCAGCACGACTACCACTGGCATGATGGTCTGAAGAGGTTTTTCAAGTGTCCCTGTGGAAACAGAAGCATCTCCCTCGACAGACTCCCCAAGAAGCACTGCAGGTATGAGGACCACCGGGGGTGCTTCGTGCCCCTCTTTTGCAAGTGTCTGTTGTACAAGGCTGTGCCCTCATAACACTGGACAGTCATGCCATGGTGATTTCCTCTTTCAATGTGCAAATTCCTTGAATTAATGCATTGGGAAGAGGGGAGCAGCACTGTGGTACAAGCACAGCCTGTAATGCCAGCATCCCATTTGGGTACTGGTTCGGGTCCTGGCCACTCCACTTCTAATCCAGCTGCCCACTGATGCATCTAGGAAAACAGTGGAAGATGACCCAAGTCCTTGGGCCCCTGCACCCACTTGGGAGACCCAGAAGAAGCTCCTGGCGTTTGGTCTGGCTCAGTGCCAGCTACTGCAGCCATTTGAGGAGTGAACCAGTTGATGGAAGCGCAATCTCTCTCCCTCCACCCCCTTCTCACTCTACTCCCATCTCTGTACGTAGGTAACTCTGCCTTGCAAATAAGTAAATCTTAAAAAGAAAGATAAATAGGGTTTTCGTTTGTATATTCTCACATGTTAGACTTGTTATTTTCCTTCCTTGCATTGGCCTCACCTGGTTTTTAGAACCAGGTTTATTTGAGCCTCATAGAGTGAATTGGACAGCTTCCAGAAACAATTCATATTAAATACTTTTTAAAAGATTTATTTATTTGAAATGCAGAATGACAGAGAGAAAGAAATCTGAAAGAGAGAGCTCTATCTACTCTTTCAGCCCCAATATTGACAATAGCCAGGGCTATCATCCTGATTTCCCAGTCGTATACCAAGGCCCAGGCACTGGGGAGGTCCTCCGCTGCTTTCCCAGGTGCATTAACAGGGAGCTGGACCAGAGGTGGAGCAGATGAGACTAACCAGCACCCATTTGAGATGCCCGCGTCACAGGCAGCAACTTCACCACTTCAGTGAACATACTTCACTACTACAGTGACTCCAACAGTTATTTCTTAGAAGTTAGAAAATCTGAGGACCAGCACAGTGGCAAAGATTACTGATCCTTCACCAACAGTGTTGGCATCCCATATGAGTCCTGGTTGGAGTCTTATCTGCTTCACCTGATCCAGCTCCCTGTTTATGGCCTAAGAAAGTAGTCCAGGTTGGCTCAAGTCCTACCCACATGGAGAAGGAAGCAAGGTGCCTTTCAGTCAGCAGGGTGCAGTGTTGTTTTTGTTACAGCATCTCCTAGGGACTTTCCCTTGCCAGTTTTTGGTTTGGTTTTTCGTGGGTTTGTGGGGTTTTGTGTGTATAATTGTATGTTTTAAGATTTACTTATCTTAAGGCAGAATTACAGAAAGAGATCTTCCATCTAAATACCCAAGTTGGCCCATTGGCTTTGCCCAGGCCAAGCTGAAGCCAGACACTTCACTCAGATCTCAGTGTCAAGGACTTGGGCCATCTGTAGAATACCAGATAATAACTGCAATGGGCTTTGAGGACCAGGAGATCGATCACTACTGCTCAGCTAGTAGGAGAGCAGCCATAGCTAATGCACAAACAAATGAGCATGGCTGTGTTCAAACTCCATCTTATTTGCAGTAGTAGGTGTTTGACCTCGCAGTTAAGATGCTGACTGGGGGCCCAATGGGATAGCCTAGTGGCTAAATCCTCACCTTGCATATGCTGGGATCCCATATGGTTGCTAGTTTATGTCCTGGCTGTTCCACTTCCCATCCAGTTTCCTACTTGTGGCCTGAGAAAACAGTGGAGGATGGCCCAAAAACCTGGGGACTTGACACACACATGGGAGAGCCAGAAAAGGCTCCTACCCCTGGCTTCAGATCAACTTGGCTGCAGCTGTTGCAGCCACATGGGGAGTAAATCAGCAGATGGAAAATCTTTTATCTCCTCTTTGTAAATCTGACTTTCCAAGAAAAATAAATAAATACATCTTAAGAAAGAAACAAAGAGAGAAAAGATGCTGACTAGGACACCCACATTTGATCTCTGACTGCGGCTTCTGCTCGTGTGCACCATGGGACAAGAAGACGATACATTCACACAATTTTGGTCCCTGCCTCCCACTCCAGGATGGAGTTCCTGGCTTTGGCCTTAGTCCTGGCTGCTGTAAGCATTCAGGGGGTAAACCAGCAGCTGGAAACGCAGTCTCTCTGCCTTTCAAATAATTGAAAATAGTAAATAAAAGTATTTTTCAAACTTTATTTACAAAAGCATATAGCAGGCTGCATTTGGGTCCTGGTTGGCTGACTCCTGACTAGAGAAGGTTCTTTTCTCCCTATTACACCCCCACCCCCAGTAATGCTGTCATTGACCTTCAGGTGAGCTACTCAAGCCTGGAAGGTTATGAGACAGTCAGCAGCAGGGGAAAGTGGTTACAGAGAGGACCAGGGCCAAAGTCACTGGATGCTGATGTTCAGAACAGACACAGCATCCTAGCAAAACAGAGAAGAGAACCCTGGCTCCTGCCCAAATGCTGTAAAATCCAGGGGTGCCAAAAGGCATTCTGGGTTGTCTTCTTCCTTTCTTCCCGCTCAGAGTGAATAGACCTTGTAGATGGGCAGCTTCCCTGGCAATATCCACATCCTTTCTCAGGGACAAAGTTGCCCACTGCTTTGAAAATGCAAGCTAGAGTCTTTAGGCCCTTTGAATAGTAAAAGTAAAATCTGGTTATGGAGAAAAAGGGAGAAGGAAGCTCCAGACCAGAGACTTTCTTATCGCTGCCTTTTAGCTCCAAATACGAAGCCATGAACCACCTTGCATCAGAGGCTGGCTCCCTCTGTCTGTTTCATCTCAGCATCACTAATGAAAACATCACTTGTAGTGCTCACAGCCCTGTTGAACCATCATTTGACACTCCATGTTTCTGGTCTCTTAGGAGTTTGAAAGTAGTGTCTCAAGTCAATGAAGAGTTAGAGCATAACCTCCTATCTGGCCCATGATGTCAGGATTTGTGTGAACCCCAGAGGATTCTGTCCCAAGCACAGTAAGCACCATTGTCCATGTGTATGGGCTCACACTTTCCCACTGAATAAAACCATCTCTTCTTTTTCAGTAACTGTGGCCTCTACAAATGGGAACGGGATGGAATGCTAAAGGTATGTCCTTTGCATACCATTTTATAACTAATGTTAGTTACACATGCCAATAATATTGAGCTGTTTCTCATTTATGTTTCCATTCTGCTAGGAAAAGACTGGTCCAAAGATAGGAGGAGAAACCCTGTTACCCAGAGGAGAAGAGCATGCCAAATTTCTGAACAGCCTGAAGTAACCCAGCCAGCTTCCTATGTTCTGGATTGCTCAAAGAAGAGATTCCAGTTAAGCCCTCGGGTTTTGCCTCTTTGCTTCCCTCCATTATGTTGGCTTGGTATGAAATGTGACATTGACATTTAAAGGGGTGGGGATTAAGAGTCTATCATCTTTGCTGGTTTAATTAGAGATGATGAAATTACTGCATTCACACAAATTTTTTTTTCTCCAAACACTGGGAGATGAGCTGAGAGCTGGGCCTCTGGATCTCTTGGTTTTAAAGCATACACTCAATAAAGAGCTAGTGTTTATGTGGATACCCAAAAGCAAAAGAATTAAGGTGTTGCTTTTGAACTTCAGTGTCCTTATCTGTGAATTGAAGACAATTGGTCCGAGTGATTTTGCAGTGTATCTTTCAACCCTCAGGGTCTACGAACAGTATACTGGTTTCCCACCTGCACATGGTCTTGATGAACTGAAATTAAAAGCCAGGTTTCCTTTCTGGTATAAAGATTGAACTACTTTGCACTTCCATTTAGTTATGTTTATAAAGGGTGAGACAGTTCTCTAGTCTTACAATATTCGGAGGGTTGCCATGGAGATACTGAAAATCTCATCATTTTAAGTGGTTTATCTAAAGGAGCTAGTGTACTTCTAAATGAAGCAGATACAAAATCTAAAGTGCTGTGATGCATGGCTGACAAGCAGAAATGCTCTGTAGGCAAGGACAGAATCCCATGGTTTGAGTGTGCATTTTATTAATTCATCATACATTAAAGACCAAGTCCTATGTAAATGACCAGCAGTGAATCCTCTGCTAACCTGACTACAAACAGACTCAGGTGGATGCTGGCAGCACCCAAGTGTTGGGCAGAGGATTTTGTGTTCTGAAATTTGATTTCCCCCAATTTGGTAAAATATTAAAGGAAGTAGTTGTGAGAGATGACTGACTTGAGTTTTCAACAGCCAAAAATAAAGTGTCCATTCCTTCTCTCCTGCAACTCCACTCTGCACAGGTCAGTGATTCTGTGGCTGACTCCTGTGTTTACTGTGAGATTTTGTGCTAATTAAACTTTAGAGAACTCTCCAGAAGATTCTTGCTTTTTAAAGAAGTTTTCCTAACAAAGAAAAAAGTGTTTATTATTAAGACCCAAAAAGTACTTAAAACTCATGTTTTAATGGCTCACTTAGAGTAGATGTGTTAGTCCCATAAAGTTAAAAGAGAGCAATATATATAAAATATGTCACATAGAACTTGAACTGGCAAATAGCCCTCTGTTGGTCAGACCCCTTCTATATGAAAATATGTTCTTTAAGTGGAGGGCGTTGGTGGATAGTGTATAATAAAATTGTGTGATATATTTGTAAAGATTGGTGGTGAATTGAATCTGGATGCCCTTGATTGTGAAATTCCTAAATATAAAATATAATTGAGTCATTTCTTAGTTGTAATAAGTCTAAGAGGGCTATTTGAGATATCAAGATGAAAAAGGCAAGTAGATTGGGGTTAGAGAACTTATCTGTTTACATTGAAAACATTGAAAAATGAGTGTTTAATCTTACCTTCTTTATCATTTATCAGTGTTTATTAAATTGAGTCACACGAATTCATTATGTGTGTTTATTTTTTCTTAACCTCTATTAGGTAATGTGGGATTTGTGTGGTCATGGGCCATCAGAACAGGGTAAGCACTCGGTGACCTAAATTAGCAAATACTGGTCATGGCCTTTGTTGAGGATCTCTGAAATGTCATAATCTTCATTAAGATTTACTGATTTGCCTAAAAGGCAGAGTGACAGCCATATAGATGCAGAGAAAAGTGTTCTATCCACTAACTAGTTCACTGGCAAAATACCCATGATAGCCAAGGCTGGGCCAGGCCAAAGCCACGAGCCTAGAACTCAATCCACGTCTCCCACTTGGGTGTCAGATACCCACATATTTGACCCCTATCTGTTACCTTTCCAGGTGAGTTAGCAGGAAGCTGGATTGGAAACAAAGCAGTCAGTACTTCAGTAGGGATGTGGGTATCCCAAATGGCAGTTTAACCACAAAATTTGTGCCACACAGCACTCACCTGAAACTATTTTTCTGTGTCCAGGAGATAAGTGGCTACCCGCCTGTGTGGTAAGTGCCAGGTCCGTGAGCCCTGGGGGCAGGGGATCTACCAGGTCCTATGTTGCATGGGCCCACCTATGAGAACTGGTCCTCCTCTAAGTGTAAAGGATGGAGTGCTGGATGGCAGACCATGGTGCACATGGAGGTAGTCCATTGGGCCTGCAAAGGACGTCTGGTACCATAGCAGAGAATGAGAACAAAACATGGACAGCTACCCCATCCAAACGATGACAGCAAATATCTGAGCAAATGGAGACTCTAAGGTCTACTGTGTCAACCAGTGAACATTGAAAGGGGTTCCTCATTCTTAGATTGGTAGATTGGCGAAATCGACAGTATTTCTGAACTATCACATCCACCTGGGCAGAACCCTTGGAACATGCACTGCATTGTGACCCTGGGTTAATAGCAGGTGGCCGTTCCCCATCCTCGGGTACTGGGATGATTGGAAGACTGGGTATGGCTATCCCTTTATCTCCTCCCGCCCCCTAGAAGTGGGAGAAGAAACAGAAAGTTTGGAAACAATAATCACACACACTTCTCACTAACCCTAGATCCTTCCCACCCTGATCAACTATGTAAACATCCAATATGATTTTTTTTTAAGTTTTTAAGAAAAAAAAAAAAAAGACCAGTTGGGCCTGGTGCAAGGCTGGTGGTTGAAATCTTCGCCTTGAATGTGTTGGGATCCCATATGGGCACCAGTTCTAATCCCAGTAGCCCCGCTTCCCATCCAGCTCTCTGCTTGTGGTCTGGGAAAGCAGTAGAGGATGGTCCAAAGCCTCGGGACCCTCCACCAGCATGGGAGACCGTGAAGGAGCTCCTGTCTACTGGCTTCAGATCAGCTCAACCTCAGTGTTGCAGCCATTTGGGGAGTAAACCAGTGGATGGAAGATGTTTCTTTGTCTCCTCTGTGTAAACCTGCCTTTCCAATCAAATAAATGTTTAAGGGGGGCAGGTTAGAGTGTCAATTAATGAAAAGTTATCTAAAGAAATATTGTTTTCATACTGAATAAGAGCTCTTTTGCAGATGTGTCTCCTTACCTCCCAAACATTGCCACTTCAATAAGAGACTTCCTCTTTCAGAATGCTTTACGTAAACTGCTTAACTGTGAACTAACTACACAGGTTCCAAGCAGTAGAAAGTTGGTTTCATAAACAATAGGTGTCACTCAGGGCATCAGGAATAATGGTTTCCTTTGAGTCTTCATCCACTCTCCACTGCTCTTAACAGTAGATTTGAAGCTGTCTGATTTACCAAGAGTTGATGTCCTCACAGTCTAGAGACTGGCAAGTTCAAGGTCAGTGAGCCCACCTCCCAGCAACAACCCATGACAACAAGCAGAAGTTCAAGCCCACAGTGCAAGAGAGAGGAGGGGTTATTGGAAGTGAACCAGAGGGTGGAAGATTTATTCTCTCTCACCCTCTCCCTTTCCCTCCTCTGTTTTCTGCCTAAAAACAAAGTGCCAACATAGGCAACACTGGCAACTAAAAATGAAGCACAAATATGTCCTTTGACAAATTTGCTACTTACTGGAACCACTTAAGAATCAGAAAATAATAATGACAGAAGAGAGGAGAGAGACCAGGAAGGTACCTAAGGCCAAACTTCTGACAAGGCCCAACTCCAAAAATACACATTGCTCTGTCACAAGCTTCCTATTAAAGGACGCTGCCCAGATTCTGGGGCCTGTTCCCTTTGGCATGCTTGTCCCTGCTGAGTAAATGCCTGCAACTGGCTTTTAGTGAAGGAATTCTGGACCGTACTTGAAAACCCTGAAGGACAATGGAGCCCTTGTGATGGCTGAGGTAGAACGAGGTGAGGGTATTCTTATCCAGTCCCTTCTTCCAGAATCCTGGCCAGTGAGCAGGCAAGGACAGGCTCTTGTTTTTGCTTTCTCAAACCGGCCACGCAACCACACTGTTTTTGGTTGTTGACATCTGTGCAGTCCCGGCATTCCTTTCTGTGGACACACAGCAGGCAGCTGGCCATGTGGTATGACCATGAGTCAGAGTCCAACTGCTGCCGTTCACCTGATTGCTAAGCCCAGTTCCTTAACTTTCCTGCAAAGCTGGGCATAAAATTCAGGATCCAGAGTACTAGCACAGCAAGTCATGCTGCTGCTTCTGACACATTCCATGTCCAGACCTGAGTCCTGGATACCTTGCTTCTTTTCCAACTCCCTGTTAATGCACCTGGGAAGGCAGTGGGCCCCAGACATTCACATGAGAAACCTAGATGAATCCCCATAGGAGATGTGATTTCCCAAGCACTTTAATTCTGTCATCCATGTGAGAGAATCAGAGTTGTAGGCTTCTGGCTTTGGCTTGGCCCCGCCCCTAGCTTTGGGGGATCCACTGGACAGAAGGTAAAACCTGTGCTTGCTCTCTCTCACACCTCCTCACTTCACTCTCTTTTAAGTAGACAGAGGGAAGGAGTCAAGAGACCTTGCTCCTCTGCAGGAGATTCCTATATTGCTCTAATTTACTACCATGAGCATGGGTTGTAAGTAAAATGATAATTTTACAGTGGAAGTGTCATATTTGGAGAAAGACTGAGTAAGGATGCACAAAGAAGAACCTGCTGAAGGTGTTCTGGGTTTGCCTGCAGTTTTGTGTGGGATTCCTCAAGGTCAGAGAAGAGCAAGGGTGGAAAAAGAACAGCTGGTGGACCAGAAGGCCAAGTGGGTGGGAAGGAAAAGGGAGCATCATGATGGGTGGGATTGTGTACCCCCCAGCCCAGGACAATGTGAAGAGAGGAATCTTGTCAGATATTACCAATTTAGGATGAGGTTAGAAGGGTGGGTTCCTAATTCAACATTCTTGGTGTTCTGACAAGGAAAGAACATATACAAAAGGGAAAATGTGAAGATAAACAAGTAGCCAAAACATTGATGCTGTCACAAGCTGAGAAGTGTCCAGAGTGAGCAGGAACCAGAGGAACAGAGACAGAGGCTCCCCTAGGGCATGCGGAGGGAGCGTGGGCCTCCCAGCACCTGAATCCAGACCTGTGGCCTCCAGAATGGAGAGGGAATGGATCTCCACTGTTTTGAGCCCGCTGCTCTGTGGGACTGTGTGGCTACAGCCCTGAGGAATGAACACGAGCACTAGGAAGAGAAGCGAAGATGGCACCGAAACTTCAATGTCCCCACTTCTAGTTGTGTCTCTGCAGCTGGCCTGGCTTATCACACTGGCCAGCAATTCAGAGATCACGGTTGAGCTCTCTTGCTTGCCAGAACCAGTGGAAAGGAAGCACTTGGCTCAGTCACCAAATTAGTAGTATTTGCTTTCATTTTCCTCCCTCTGTCCAGCTCCTGAAACACTGAGCAGGAGCAAACAGGAAGGACTCCTTGGACGCAAGGTGTGTCACACCCCCAAGCAGGAAAGGGGAATGTGATCGCTCAGTGGGGTACTTGGGCCTTGGCTCAGTCTGAGGCTTGGGAGGCTAAGACGCTTGGCACACATCATCTTTATTGGTAGGCTGGAAGCAAGCATGTACCCATGTTGTTCTCCTTCAGCTGGCACAGGTACTGTCTATGGGACAGGAATTCTGCTTTGGGAACAATGGCTAAGCCGGTGGAAACTGTAAGTTTGGTGCTCAGGAGGCATCGCAGGGAGGGGCACGCCCAGAAAATCACAACAAAAGAAGCAGAAACTTGGGCCATTTGAGGCATCGAGGGAGAGACAAATGTGTTTCCCAGGGCTGGGAGGTGTGCGCTGGAGGAGGTGGGATGCTTATCTTGTGGTTCCTTCCCAGCTTGCCTTAGTAGGATGTCAGATGTGGTGGCGGTTGTAGAGGTAGGGAGGATACAACCCGTCATAATGCCACTGCCGCCACTGCTCCACAGCCTCCCGCCTCTGTTCTTCCTGCTCTGTGGAGGAAAGACAGTCATCTGTAAGGATGAAGAGGACTCTGGCATGAGTCCAGCTGCCCAGAGCCCACACTGCCCAGTGGCCTTGTAGTGACAGGAGCCACGCATGCTTGTGAGCTCCTGGATGAGACATAGAAAGTCAGAGCAGCATAGAACCTTGGCATGAGTCTAAAGGGTTTTTGTAGATCAACCACACAGGTTGCAGAACCAGCTGTAAGTAAAACTGAGACCATGGTTAGAAATCTTACATGTTTTGTCCATGCCTAGCTAGAGTGGGGAAGAAACCTTAGACAGTGGCCAGCTTACAGAGATAGCACCTAGGACAATCAGTCTCAAAGCAACAGCATCATGCAACAAAGAGCACAAAGCATGCACACAGAGTGCAGCGAACCCTTGATGTTGTGCAGTAATAGAGAATGAGCAGTTTTTTCCCCTGGACTAGTCCATATCCTGTAAGCTTTCAACACAAAGCTCTGATCCTAAAACTAACTGATGGAGGTCTGTGTTGTGGTACAGCAGGTTGAGATACTGCTGGTGACACCGGTATTCCATATTGACATTGGTTCAAGTCCCAGCTGTTCCACTTCTAATATAGCTCCCTGGGAAAGCAATAAAAGATGACCCAGGCACTTGGGTTCCTGCCAGTCATGTGGGAAACCCAGATGGAGTTCCTGGCTCCTGGCTTTGACCTACCCCAACCTGAGCCATTGATGATGTGTGGGAAGTAAATCAGTAAATGAAAGATCTCTTTCTGTCTGTCTCTAGGTGTGTGTGTGTGTGTGTGTGTGTGTGTATGAGAGAGACTCTGTCTCTCAAACAGATGGATTTTTAGAAAAAGAGAAAGAAGAAAACCATGACAGTAATCATCACATTAAAAAAAATGAAAAGAAAGAAAGCATTGGGAGAATGTGGTACCTAACAGAAGATAACAATGTTGAGGACTAAACCACATCTTTCCCTGTGTTTTTTCAAATTTGAACTCCACCAAAAACCCTGTGCAGCCTGATTTAGTGGTAGTGCTGAAGAACCTAGGCGTTTTCTGCCTTTTGTGATTCTGCCTTAATGGCTTGGCTGGGGGCTGTGTGAACCTCAGGCCTGATAGTCTACGTGACACCCGGCAGGACACCTGGCAGGTTACGTAAGCAGACCACTCCTCAGGAAGGAGGTACCTGGTGTTTGATAAGATTCACAGCCCAATAGCTTATCAATTTGTACTTTTTGAAAGTTGCTTGTTTCAAATCCACCAATAGAAGCCTGCTAAGTCATGACTGTATAATTAATAGCCTAAAATGTATAAGAACTGGGGGGCTTGGGCTCTCGGGCCCCTTCCCTTGGCTCTTCTGGCTCGCGCTTCTTTTGTCCTCCTTGTGGATCCTTGCAGCCTTGGCTGCGGCTGCCCCTCCCCCGCCCAGCCATGCTGGGCTGGGGGAGGTCGCTGGGTTACCTAGGCTAACCTGAATAAACCACCTTTTTGCCTTAGCACCGACTTCAGACTTGATGATTATCTGGGGGTTTCAAAAAACCGGCACAACAGTGCAATTAATACCATCTGTGACCTTGTTTTAGATGCTGGTGGCTTTAGGGTGTAGGGAAACAGATGTCCCCCATGCTCCTTTCCACCTGTGAGAGCCAGATATTTGGGCAGAGTCTACCACTGCCTACAGATGCCCTGGCTGCTGGCAGCATTTCCTTTGAAAGAGAGCATGGAGTTGGCGCTCCCCTTGGTGCTGAAAATTCCCTGAGATGCTTGGCTCCCAGGTACTGCCTGGAGCTTTAGGTGTTGGCCGTGAGCCATTATAGATATTCCTCTGGCAGAGTAGGCCAACTGCTATTTGCCACCCTTGGCAGAGCAATTTGAGACGTTAATGTCTAACCAAGTGCCTTTGGAGAGGTTCGTTAAATAGCTGAGATCACAGTCCTGGTTGAACTCCGAGCCTCAGAGAAGAGCCCAATACTACAATCTTAGGCACCTGGCCCACTGTACCACTGAAGTTCTAGGATTACAAGCAAGTTTAAAAAGATAGGGTCAGGGTCCAGCACAGTGCCTTAGTAGCTAAAGTCCTTGCCTTTCATGCGCTGGGATCCCATATTGGTTCTAGGGCACTGGTTCTAATCCCAGCAGCCCTACTTCCTATGCAGCTCCCTGCTTGTGGCCTGGGAAAGCAGTTGAGGACAGATTCCTGCATCTATGCAGGAAATTTGCATGAAGCTCCAGGTTCCTGGCTTTGGATTGACTCAGCTGCAGCCATTGTGGGGAGTGAATCAACAGATGAAGATCTATGTCTCTCCTCCTCTGCCTTTCCAGTAAAAATAAATAAATCTAAAAAAAAAAAAAAGAGGGACACAAAAATGATTTGCACCTGTTTAAAGTGGAGTCTCCCTGCTTTAGCACCTTTGTCAAACTCCAGGGAGGCCACCCTTTACCTGCAGTGCTTTATCTTACTCACTTCATCCATCATGCATACCAGTTCCTGCACCAAAGATCTCCAAGACCTCCACAACACTTGGTCATCTATGATGTTCAAGAGCTGAAGCTCTGCTGGCAAACAATCTCAGGCATGTTCCATTAGTAGGGCACCTTCTGGGTTTGTGTATGCTTGCTATGCTTCAGTTTTTGCTTCTACCACTCAGACAAGATGATGGTGAAAGCGAAGGTAAGTGGAGGTCTTGATTGTGCAGAATGAAGTGGTTCCGAGAGTTCTCACACTCTTTAAATCCAATGCACTTGAATTTGAGTTTGAATTCTGCTTAGCACAGCCTAGCAGGACTAAGCCTAAAAGTAAGTTTTGTTGCTTGGGCAGAAAACCCAGACCACTGCAGTGATCCCTTAGCAGGAGGAGGGAGGTACAAGGTTGTGCATCCACTCAGTCCACTAACAGTTCCCATCTCCACTTCTCCCAAGGCAGTGCTAACACAGGCATCCTAGCCTCTCCCATGTCTTCCCAAGTTCTGTATAGCCATTCCTCTGGCTTTCTCATTGCTTTTCAAGACTCCCAAGAATATAAATTGAAAGTAGGTCTGCCCATGCCCCCCTCTTCCAGTTAATTTTGCAGAAGTGAGAGGATATTTGGCCTAATAGTTAAAATGGCCACATCCCATATCCATGCCTGAGGTTCAATTCTTGGCTCCAGCTCCTGAATCCAGTTTCCAGGTAACCCAGAAAGGAAGCAGATATGGCTCAGGAGGTTGGATTCCTGCCACCCACATGGGAGACTTGGCTTGTGTTCTTAGCTCCTGATAAAGGTTTTAATCCAGTCCCAGCGATTGTGCACATTTGGAAGGGGGGAGGGAGAGTGAACAAGAGGACGAGAGGTGCGAGAGAGTGTGTGTGTCGTGTGAGAGAGAGAGAGAGACCACTGCTAATCAATTTCTTTATAAAACAACTTAAATAAAAATTAGGAAGAAGTGGAGACAAGTCATATGATTTTCCCACAAATCCTCTCCCTGAAGAGGCTAATGAAGAGCTCTTACCATCATTTTGTTCCTCCACAAAGTTCTCAAATTCATTCCTTTGTTCCTCATAATATTCTCTCCGCAGCTCATCAGCCCGTAGCTTCTGCCTGTTTTCCGCTGTGAAAAGAGTCAGAGTTGCCCCCACGAAGGAGGGCACTGAGGTTACAGACTTAACACCCAAAGGACCTGAGAGATTATCTCAGAAGCCAGAAGTATGGCACAGTGGGTTAGGCAACCACCCACAACACTAGCATCCCATGCAGGTGCCAGTTTGAGACCACTCCTGATTTAGCTACCTACTAAAGCCATGGAAAAGCAGCAGGAGATGGCCCAAATCCTTGCACCCATACACCCACATGGAGACCCGAATGAAGTTCCTGGCTCCCTGCTTCAGGCAAGCTCAGCTCTGACCACACAGTCACCTAGGGGATGAATCAGCAGATGGAATATCTCTCTCTCTCTCTTTCTCTGTAACTCTTTCAAGCAAAATAAATAAATCTTTAAAAAGAGTCTCTGAGGAACCTAGCACAGTAGCCTAATGGCTAAAGTCCTCACCTTGCATATGCCAGGATCCCATATGGTTTGTATCCTGTTTCATATCCCAACTACTCCACTCCCATCCAGCTCCCTCTTTGTACCCTGGGAAAGAGGCAGAGGATGGCCTAAAGCCTTGGGAACCTGCACTCTCATGAAAGACCCAGATGAGGTTCTTGGCTCCAGGCTTCGAATCAGCTCAGCTCTGCCCATTGCAGCCACTTGGGTAGTGAACCAGTAGATGGAAGATCTTTCTCTTTGTCTCTTCTCTCTGTAGATCTACTTTTTGATGAAAATGAAATAAATCTTTAAAAAGAAATAATCTTCTGAAGAAACTATTTTAAGTGCTCTACTTTTAAGGGATATTTCTTTTTTAAGATGATTCCTTTATTCATTTGAATAGCAGAGTAACGGGTAGGGGAAGAGGAGAGAGATTGATTTTCAATTTGCTGGTTCATTCCCCAAATGGCCTTAATCTCCAGGGCTGGACAAGGCATAGCCAGGAACCAAGACCCTATCCAGGTCTTCCATGGGGATGGTAAGGACACTAGTGGGAAGAAGGGTAAGAAGTGGAATAGCAGACTCGGACTAGTTCTCCCATATGGGACTCGGGTGTCACAGGCAGCTCAGCCTGCAGGCCACAGTACTAGCCCTTCCGCTTTTAAGATACTTCATCTGCCATGAGCCTCTGGAGCAAGCTGTGAAAGCAGGTAGGTGATGTTCAGTTCAGGAGGAACAAGCCCCACGGATCACTTGGCATTCTCATGACAGGAGCCTCCTTCCAAAAGCACGAGACGGGGGCCAAGGCCCTGGTGTTGTCCAGGTACCAGACAGCTACTGTGAAAGGAGGGAGGCTGAGGGTTTATGAAGCAGGTGCCAGTGAGCCCACATGGAATCCTAAGGAGGTATTTTGTATCTTCTCTACTCTCAGGGGAAAAAAAAAAATAAACAGCAGTAAAGACAAGTTGCCTTTTCAGAGTGCCATAAATGGAATCTTAATCAGAGCAGTAACAGTGATTAGACTCTCAGAGCAAGAAGGCCTCTTTGTCACATGTATCATTGCCATGCACTAAATACATCACTTCTCTGACATGTGAGCATTCCATCCATTTTCTTCCTCCCACCCAAACAGCACCTGTGCCTCTCCCCCAGAAGCTTAGAGGTGTCAGATGCCAGCACCCTGGTTCCAAGTCCAAGTTACCTGCAGTGTCACCCAGCCCTGTCCTGAGCAATCCCTGGGCTCTGCTCCACCTGCACATCCACAGGACATGGCTACAATCTTTGTGGTCACCAGGCTGTCCAGGGCCTCTCACAACTCCTGTCACTCCCCACTCCTCTCCAATATGAGGGACCTCATTGTTCTGAGTCAGCTCACGAGGATGGAAAGTATTTGCCTGTCCTGAAATTGCACCTGACCCCCCCCCCCTCTACCCCCAGGATGTCTGCCAGAATGTTGCTGCTCTGATTTCAATCACAAACGACCCAGCTCCTTCCACCCACAGCTTTTTCAGTGTTTCTTTGACACTGGCCAACTTTCCGATGCCAAATTGTGGGAGACCTGGACATTTTCCTAGTACTGTTATTCATCTCCGAGTCAATTGCAATAATAAAAGGGAATCTCACGGACACACATTTCCATCTCTGCTCTTATTCCATCATTTGGAAATAGCCCTGTTATTTTTTACTGAGTTGAGTGCTGATGGGCACAACGATTTCATACACACACGCACACGCACACGCACACACACCCAGGGAAAGGATCAAGGTCCAGCTTCGGCTGTCTGAGTCTTGGAAAAATCAAGAGCAGGGGAAGAACACTGAAATACCTTCCCGGGTCACAGGTCAGGAACCCAAGTGCCCTGCAAGCCATGGGACTGCAGGAAATAACAGCAGGCTGAGCGGGAGACAGGCTCACCCAAATAGGCTGGAAATGAAAACTTGAAAACTCCGCTGACCAAACACAGCTCTTGCAGAGGTTTGTAAATAAGGCCTGAGGGCCAGAGGGACAGGAAGCGTCTGGAGTCATTTAACAGCAGGGCAGTCACTCAAGCCGCATTTCTCTTTCTCACATGCAAAGCCACTGCCCTTGACTAGAGGGGGCACTATGCACTATTCTAAAAAAAACATACACTACAGCTTTGTACCCTCTCACTTCTCTTTCTGCTTCCATGCTTGTCTCTGAAATCAGGATACAGCTTACAGCTGCTTTGTACATTTGCTATCTGCTCCTTAGAGCAACCAGGCATTTGCTCCAACATTTGACCCACAACTGTAGAAACCGGGTGTGTTGTTTTCACTCAGAGCCCCGGTCACTGGGATAGCCCAAGGCCCAGGCTTATCCCCCTGGGACCCGCTGTGTCCTCCTGCCCACTGTAGGTCAAGGGAGAGGCAGGCTGACCGCGACCTTACCGTTGGCCTCCTCGCGGGATTTGGAGGACCGTTTGGTGCGCTTCTTGAGGAAATTGGAGGCGTCTGCTTCCTGCATAAAAATCTTCTGCTTCACACCTGAAGCCCGAGAGAGGGGCTGTCACCCGCAAACACAGGGACCGGAGCATGCAATGGGCATGGTCTTCACCTCCCCCCCGCCCTGCCCCCGCCCTGCCCCCACTCACCTCTCTGAGCCTCTTCTGGGGCCGCCTGCCGGCTGCCCACGGATGCGCCGGAGCCCTCCTGCAGCGCTGCAGGATGAAGGTGCGGATGAAGGCTCAGGGCAGCAGACCCCCGAGAGGGGCTGCCACGGCCCTCTCTAGGCTCAGGGACGCACCAGGGACGGTCTGGCCCTCGCATATCAGTTGCAGACTTGAACCCACCAGACCAGCTGGGAAGGGATTTTTTGTTTCTTTTTTCTTTCTATTGTAACTTACGCGCGTGCACACACACATACAAACACACACACACACACACACACACACACACACACACACACACACACACACCAAGCAAAGCTTCATAACAATGTGTGTTCCCTTTCCATCTGTAATTGTGCCCACCTAAGCGGACTGACCTGCGCAAGTCCTGTGATGTAGCCAGGGCCCGCCACCCTTGCCCCTCCCTTACTCACCGGACAGAAGCAAAACAGCCCAGAGGCAACACAGGAGGAGGACCCGTCTGTGAGTCATCTTGAGTTCCCTCCGAGCACCCCAAGTCAGATGGTGTAGCCTGCACCCCACCCCACCCCACAGCTGCTGTCTGACCAAGGTCCTCACTTCTAAGTCAGACAAGCCAAGAAGTGAGAGAGAGAGAGAGAGAGAGAGAGAGAGAGAGAGAGAGAGAGAGAGAGACTAGTGAGCAGCATGGGAAACTGGGATACCCATGAAGCCAGAGTGGGAGGGGTCCTGACTGTGGTTTCTATTGGCTGCTCCTGGCTAGAGCACTGGAGGTGTTTTTGACACCTGTAAAACCTCAGAGCCCCTGCGTGGAACAGGGTGGCAGTGACTTTCCCGACACCTGTGTCTGGTGAGTTGCTATTGAGAATTGCTCAGCCTGAGTTAGGCTTTAGAGACACAGGGTGTGTCTCTAAGAGCCCTTTGCAGCTGCTCCAGGCACATTAAGCTGTCCTCAGAGGGAGTAACGGAGGAGGGGATTTCGATTCAAGGGTCAGGCAAAGAGGGGCTGTGATGACCAGAATCCCACCCTAGTGATGCTCACGGGGACACTTTCGCCTATCCCATGGGTGGCCTGCACACCCCCTCCCATGAAACATGGCTCCAAGCCTCTTTTTTTCTTTCCTTTTTTTTTTTTTTAAGATTTACTTGTTTAGGGCCTAGCACAATAGCCTAGTGGCTGAAGTCTTCACCTTGAACGCACCAGGATTCTATATGGGTGGCGGTTCTAATCCTGGCAGCTCCACTTTCCATCCAGCTCCCTGCTTGTGACCTGGAAAAGCAGTCAAGGTTGGCCCAAAGCCTTGGGACCCTCTACCCACATGGGAGACCTGGAGGAGGCTCCTGGCTCCTGGCTTCGGATTGGCTTAGCACTGGCCATTGCTATCACTTAGGAAGTGAATCATCAGACGGAGGATCTTCCTCTCTGTCTCTCCTCCTCTCTGTATTATCTGACTTTGCAATAAAAAAAAAAACAAATCTTTGAAAAACTGAACTGACACCACCTGACACTCATTAGGATGAGTATCAAACAAGTAATCCCAAGAAGTTGACAAGAATATGGAAGGATTAAATCCTTGTGCTTTGTGAGTATGAATATATAATTGTGTTACTACTATGAAAAACAGCACAGCAGTTCCTCCAAAATTTGATAACGAACTCCCATATGATCCAGCAATTTAGCTTCTGGAATTGAAATCCAAAGATACCCAAAGAATTGCATGCAAGTTCTTCAAGAGATAATTGTACACCCACATCAGATTCAAAGCATTACTCAGCATAACTCAAAGGGTGAAAACCAGCACAATATGGGGGGCTGGCCAAGTCATGTGATCCATCCATACCATGGAATACTGCTCAGCTCCCAAAAGGAAGTTTGTGACATGTGCCTCATCACAGACCAACACTAAGGACATTGTGCTAAGTGAAATCAGCCAAACACAGAGGGACAAATATGGCATGATTCCATTTGCATGAGGTTTCTAGAGGAGTGTAATTCATAGAAACAGAAAGTGAACGAGTTGCCTTGTGGTACCGTGGATTATCACTGCTTGGAATGCCTCTATCCCACGATGGAGCGTCTGTGATCACATCCCACCTCTGCTCCCGATTCAGCTTTCTGCTGATGTACCTGAGAGGTGGCAGATAATCACCCAGGCAATTGGATTCCTGCCAGCCACATGAAGACCTGGATGGAGCTCCTGACACCTGGCTTTAGCCCAACCCAGCCCTGAATGTAAGAGACATTTAGAGAGTAATCTGGCAAATGAAAGCTCTCTCCCTTTGTGTCACTATGCCTTCTGAAGAAATAAATAAAACTTTATTTGGTTGGTTAAGGCCAAATTTGCGTTAACTATACCAGTATGCCAGCATAGCTGCTTTTTCCTTTCTTTCTCCTCTCTCTCTCATTCTGTGTCTGTTGGTGTGTTTTAAAGAGAGTGGGGATGGCAGGGAACTCTGGGGGCATTTTAAAAACTCTGGAGATGGGTGGTGCTAATGGCTGTACAACAAAGTGAAAGCATTGAATGCCACTATACGGTGCACCTAAAAATGGTGGATGTGGTAGATTTTATATTCTGTATATTTAACCACAACCACCACTACCACAACAACAAAACAGAACACAATAGGTGAGTGGGGGGTGGTGGCAGTGTACACAGTGAGCAAAGGCTCTGGTTTTCCTAAGCTATGAGTTCCCAAGGTCACAGAAGCAGAGGTGTATCATTTGTATTGTGCTTTGAGCATCAGCTCCTTCTAGTCTTGTGTAATGTGAACAAGAGCTCGGCCCCTTCAGCTGCTGAGAAACCAGGCGTCCCTCCATTCCGCTGAGCATCAGGGCCACCCCCTGCCCAGTTCCCCCTTTCTTCTGCTACTCTCTTTAAAAAAAAAAAAGATTTATTTATTCTTATTTGAAAGGCAAATCTTACAGAAGAGAGACAGAAAATAGAGGTCTTCCACCCACTACCCCATACCAACAATGGCCAGAGTTGAGTTGATTCAAATCCAGGAACTCATCTGGGTCTGCTGTTTAGAGTCAAGTGCCCAAAGACTTGATTCATTCTGTGCTGCTTTCTCAGGCCATAAGCACGGAGTTGGATGGGATTTAGAGCAACTGGACTTGAACTGGAGCATCCTTTCTGTGTGACAGTGCTTGGAGGTGGAAGATTAGCTAGGTGAGCCACTGCTCCAGCCCTGATCCAATCACTCTATAATCCAATTTGTTGAGATGCTCCCAGGGAATGTCCAGTTTCCATCAGGAAGAGAGCCTAATGGGGCATGCTTACAAAGGACCCAGTGAACAAGGTGAGGCTAGGTGAACTGTGCTTAGCAGAGTGGCGCGTAAGCAATCCTTTGTTATTACTTTCTCACCAGAGCTCTAACTAGAATTTCAACAACGCAACAATGCCTCCTTGTGGCCCTCTGCGGGTACAAAAATACTGGCTGTGTTGGAATTCCCTCTATTCCATTAATGCTACAAATCCAGGCAAAAGTGCCAAACCATTTCTCTGAACCCTAAAGAAAGTTGGACATCACTCACGAAATTCAAGGCCTTTGACTGCCCTGCCCAGTAGGAAATACCAGAACAAAGAAAAGGATTAGAACTACCAGGTCCGTTCTGTGTGGAGGATGGTTGGGTTGAGAAGGTCGTGGAAGGAGGCCTATGTCAGAGCATGGATGTTACCTTTACTTTGACCCCATGTCGCCTGTTTATGCCTTCCAGGAATAATCAATGCATTTTCCATGATTCTCAATCAGAGAAGAAAACCTCATGACATGAAATTGGATGGCTTTGGGTTATCAGAAAAGGAACACAGAGCTATGTCAAACCCAAGTTTCAAAGTATTCACTTCTGCTATGGCAAAGAGCCAATCCAATGAAACCAACACCCCAGCTATAGGCAATTAACTATGTTGCCTTGTAACTATGCAATTGTCACACTGCTGGGAGAAATGCAGCCAGTAGCTGGCAGGCATGCTAGGCATGGTTAATGCCAAATTTGTGTTAGCTATGCCAGTATGCCAGCATAGCTGCTTATTCTTCTTCTTCTTTTTATTTCTTCTTTCTCTCTCTCTCTCTCCTTCCCTCCCTGTGTGTGTGTGTGTGTGTGTGTGTGTGTGTGTGTGTGTGTGTGTGTTTTAAAGATAGTGGCGAAAGCAGGGGCAAGGAACTCTAGGCAGGGACATGCCACCCCTGCCCCAGGTGGTAGGGGTTGGGGGCTACATATTGCCTGGGGAAAGGCGCCAGGATGTATTGGTGTGGGAGTGGCTGAGGGCATGTTTGATAAGGAATGAATGATTTCTGGGGTCTTCCCTTGATCACCACACTTACAAGTAGGCAAAGCACTAAGTCAGAGTTATTTACAGAAGGGAAACTGGAGGGCAGAGCTGGGTAGGGCCAAGGCACTTACCCACATGGGAAATCTGGGCTGGGATAAATATCATCACCTGCTATCCACTGACACTCAAAAAAGCTGGGCCTAGGGGTCATGCCTGGCTCTGCTGGGCCACAGTACCTACCCACGAGTGTCAGAGCAGGAAGTGGGCTACATCAGGCTGGGCCACAGCACCCACCAGAATGTGAGAGAAATGGACTTGGGGAAAGATTCTGTAAGGGAATTATGGGTTTGCTTCATTGAGGACTGCAGCAACAGATCATTTACAAGGCAAGCTTGGACAGTGACTAGTTGAGCCAGGCTGGACCACTGAATTCACCTGACACTTGGCACGGACTGTAGCTGGGAGAAGGCAGGGGAGGGCCAGGCTTCAGCACCTGTGGGTGCATGTAAGGGCTGGTACTGATGACAGACCATACCAAGCAGCGTCACTGTCCCCAGTGGCATGTGTAAGATCCAGGGATAGGATTAGACCTGGTGGGGGAACTTGGGGGAACTCCCTAACTAGTCCACAGCTCCCAATAGGAGCACAGGAGCTAGGGCTGGGGTGGGCCAAGCCAGGCAAGGCTGCAGCACTTATTAGCATTTGTGTGGGCCAGGTCTGTACCCCAGGCAGGTTGGGCCAGGATTTAGCACCCACTGGCATGCATGACAGGATGTGGGTCATGCCTGGATGGGCTAGATTCTGACACCCACAAGTAAGAACTGAGACTGCAACTGGGCCATGCCAGGTTAGGTTGAGGCACCCAACAACATAAATAAGACCCTGGTATGGGAACGCATGGGACTCCCCTGCTGGGCTGCAGCTCCCACTGGTGATTGTGAGAGCCAGGGCTGTGGGCAGGACAGGCCAGGTAAGGATGCAGCACCCTTTGGCATGCGTGTGGGCTTAGTCTGGGGGTAGGCCAGAGTGGAATAGGCTCCAGCACCTACTGGTGCTTACACGAGCCAGAACATGTGTGAGATAGGCCAGAACATGTGTGAGACAGATCCACAGGTCACAAAAGAACCAGGTCAAGGAGTGAGCCAGGCTGGGCTAGGCTGTAGCACCCACTCATCAGTGAAAGCTAGAATGGGTATGGGCCAGTTGTGCTAGATTGTAGTACCCACCAATTAGTGCCATGACATGTCAGCCTGGGCAGCAGTACCCACCTGCACCTGTGAGATCCATTGCTAGGGACAGGCCTAGGAGGGGAACTGAGAGAAATGCCCTGCTAGGGGCAGCTCCCACTGGTAAACCTGAGGGCTGGTGATGGGAGCAGGCTAGATGAGGCTAGGCAGCACCCATTGGCACATGTGTGAGCTGGTTCTGGGGGCAGACCAAGCAGGGTCAGTCCACAGCATACACACTGGCATGAATAAGAGCAATGACAGGAGGCACGCAAGGTTGGGTTGGATCTGAACATCCACCAGTTCACATGAGGACTTGCAGTGGCAAGGCTGGGAGAGGCTGCTGCACCCAACTGCGTGAGTTAGGATCAGGGTGGGCCAGGCTAAGCCAGGCTGTAGCCCTTGCTGGCAAGTGCCAAGACAGGGAATGGACCACCTCAAACTGAGCCACAGCATGAACTCACACACACACAAGAACCAGGGCTAGAAGTGGGCCAGGTAGGGGAACATGGGCACTTCCTTTCTGGAATATTGCTTCTTCCATGGGTGACTGCAAGAGCTGGGACTGGGGGTGGGCTGGTCTTGGGGGTGAGCCATGCTACCTAGGTGCTGCATCTGTTGGCATGCGTGAAAGCCAGAATGGGTGCCGGCCAGCCAAGTTAGGTCATGGTGCCAGCTGGCATGTGCTAAGACTGCGTGTGAGTCATGTCAGGCTGGATCATGGTATCCCGTCACAGGTGCAAGATTCAGCACTGAGGGGAACATGTGGTAGAGGAACACTTGACATTCTCCTGCTAGGTTATACCCACCACTGGTGAACATAGGAACCAGGGCTAGAACAAGGCCAGGCTGGACAAGGCAGTCATACCTTTTGGTACAAGTCAGGTTGAGCTAAGCCACAGCACCACAGCCAGATGGTATTTAGTATGGCTCCATGCTAGGTTGCAGTAAATGCTGGTACACACAAAAGCAGCACTAAGGGTGGGCTTGGTGGGAGTTTTAGAGGTCACCCCAATTAGGCTATAGGACCCACTGGCATACATGATGAATGGGTCTGTGGTGGGCTGGCTGGGCTGGATCATGCTGCATCATCCATTGGTTTGAGTGAGATAAGGGGCTGAAGCAGAATGTACCAAGCTGCACTCGCTGGTATGTGTATTGGCTGCTGCATGTGATAGATCACACATGACCTTGCACTGGCTGGTGCACATAAAAGTCAAGTCTGAGGTCACTCCAGGTGATGTTTCTTGAGAGACTCTGTGACTGAACCACTGAATTCTGATCCTGGTCACAGGGAAAATCTCAAGATATGACCTTGGAGCGCATGTATTGGGACTGGACCTCCTCAGTTGCTGATGCCTGGGTAGTGTGGACAATGTGTCCAGATGCACACAGGGGCACTTGATGGCCAGATCATCTAGACCAGCAGGGAACATCAGCTGCCTCGTCAAAGTACAGAAAGCAAAACGCAATAGGGCCCGGCGCGGCGGCCTAGTGGCTAAAGTCCTCGCCTTGAACATGCCGGCATCTCATATGGGCACAGGTTCTAATCCTGGCAGCTCCACTTCCCAGCCAGCTCCCTTCTTGTGGCATAGGAGGGCAGTTGGAGATGGCCCGAAGCCTTGGGATCCTGCACCCGTGTGGGAGACCAAGAGGAGGTTCCTGGCTCCTGGCTCTGGATTGGCACAGCTCCAGCCATTGTGCTCACTTAGGGAGTGAATCATCGAATGAAAGATCTTCCTCTCTCTCTCTCCTCCTCCTCTTTATATATCTGACTTTGTAATAAAAATAAATAAATCTTAAAAAAAAAAGACACACACAATGGACAGTTCCCCCTGGCCGAGCTTTGCAGCATGTTCCTGGGTCTGTGGATACACTAAGGTGGAATTTGTCAACCAGTAAACCTTGGAAGGATTTTCTCAACTCTGGAGCAACAAAAATCAACAATTTCTCAGAACTATCAAAATCACTCACGCGTCACATCACGGTCTCAAGGGCATCATCAAAGGACTGTCTCTGTTCCTCCCCTATGGACATAGGAGAAAGAAAGACTGAAACATGTGTCCCAGCCGCCTTCCTCTGTGCCTGACCCTCCACACTGGAGTGTGCAGCATGACCCAGCCCAGCCAGCCCACCGCAGACACATTCATCCGCATGTGTGCACATGGGCGTGCATCCCTCTCAGCTGTGTGAACAATATTAAAAGTGAAATTAAAGGAAAAAGAATTAAGAAAGAGAAATAAACTAACATAACACACTGGGTTATACACCAATCAGCTTTATTATCTAGTTGTAACTCTGGGAGTTTTCCTTAAGACCATACTAATTAGTTTTAATATTTTACTTCCATTACAACACCATCACGGCTTTGTAGAATTAACTGCCTGAAATTGAGTTCCTGCTACTTGATTTTTGATTTTGTTAACAAGAAATGATTGAATCTCACAGAAAAGATTTTCCTTTGATTCCTGGTTTTGGTTTGGCTTCCTTCCTTCTAGTTGTGAGTAGTTGTTTCAGAGGTTGATGCGTTCTCCTTTCACAAGTCGACTTCGAAACATCCAAATATCCTAGAAACAATGTGGAGCAGAATGAGTCTAAAGAACATGTCTATTCACCTAGGCATCATCTAGGAAGGGTTAAATAGGGCAGGAAATTCCCACAAGAGCTATACTGGTTAGTAAGTAAAATAAAGCATATTCTGAGCCTCCAATTAGTCTAACATGTAAAATACTGCTCGTGATATGAAGCCAGTGGGGCCCCAAATCGTCAGCCCTGGTTGATCTGATGCACCTGCTGATTGCAGATAATGTCTCCTGGTCCCAAGACAGTTTACTTTGCACCTTCCTGCTGACCTTTCTGCCACTTACTGGAACCACTTAGAATGTTCTACTCCTGAATAGATCATAAAAGAGAGAACTAGTATCTAGGGTTATTGAGTTACCTGTTGTTTCTTTTCATTTTCTTTTCCTTGATTATAACAATTTAGACATCCTTGTAAATTGTTTATTTTTGGGCAACTAGCAAGCTGTGTGTGATGGAAGGGATGAGTTTAGGATTAGGTCTGACTCTGAAATTTTACCTTATAATTTATAAATCTTGGGGTAACCGTTGGGACTTGGATGTCTTTCACAGCATGTTGTGAAAGGCATGCTCCCTTGGGTTTCGGAGAATTAAACAGGAGAAGGAACATGAAAGTGCTTCTATCCTTGACAGAGAATCATATTGTAGATCATAACAATGAGTACTGCTCTGCGTGATGCCATGGCTCAACTGGCTAATCCTTCAACTTGAAGTGCTGACATCCCACATGGGTGCCAGTTTGGGTCCTGGCTGCTCCACTTCCCATCCAGCTCCCTGCTTGTGACCTGGGAAAGCAGGAGAGGGCGGCCCAAAGCCTTGGGACCCTGCACCCATGTGGGAGACCCGGAGAAAGCTCCTAGCTCCTGGCTTAGGATTGGCTCAGCTCAGGCTGTTGTATCCACTTGGGGAGTGAACCAGCAGATGGAAGATTCTTCCCTCTCTGTCTCTACTTCTTCCTGTAAATCTTCCTTTCCAGTAAAAATAAATAAATTTTTAAAAAATGAATTATTTTTTTCCAACTAAGCCCAAACACCAGTGTTTACTAGGTAACTAAATTAATAGATAGCTTTGCCAAACCTTAAACAGAACATCCAACAGCTGTACCTTGGTCTCTCTGGCTCCCTAGGGGGCACCAAATCCTAAGGATGCCCCAGTCCCTTCTACAAGAATCAAGCAGCATATAAAATTTGAATCTAATCAGTGCAGTGCTTGAATTACTTTTAATCACCTTTACATTATTCACAATCATTACAATGACAATACAGTGTAAACCGTTGTTCTGCTGTATCGGTTAGAGACTATGGATAGTTTGCTGCTTATTGGTAACACTGAATATTCATTAATATGCAAAATGTTATACATGTTCAGGACACATGAATTTTTTTTATGTTTCCAATTTTTTAAAAAATATATTTTGGATGGCTGAATCTATAGATGCAGGACCTACAGTTAAGGAAGACTGAATGTATTCTTGCTATTATCCTGTCTTAAAATTCAAGGTGTTAGAGGTTCCAGCTGACAGACTGTGTTGTTCCTGTGAGGCATTTCATCTACCAGAAAAGAAGGAAAAGGAGATTTTGAGGGGAGCAAATGCAAAAACAGGCCATCATGCCTGCACATTCTGAAGGAAGAAGCAGGGGGCTATTTCAGGAGCCAACTAGCAATGGTTTGTGGGATGCCATTGACATGCAGTGACCTACAATGTACTCAGCAGCCCAAAGATGCCATCATACCCTGTATCCTTCAGGGCCAGACTTGCATTTGGGATGATACAATAGAAATTAAAAAATAAGGTCAGCTAAAATGTGTGAATGTATGAAATACAGATGTTGGGGTCTTTGCCTTGACCTATAATTTGTCTATTGCTCTTCAGTGGCCGTGTGCATGCAATAGATGAAAACATTAATTTACATGTAATATGTGTCAACAAAGAAAGTATATGAACTATTGTTTCATGGCCCTTATCAATAAATAGGGATCCCTAAATCCCTGCTGTATGCAAATTCAGCCTCTCATAAAACCCACAGAGGCAAGTTGGCCAAAAGAAAAACTCGCCTGGGAGTTGTTCTCTGGCAGTCTTCTTGGACTTGCTGATGCACAGATGCTGATTCTGGGGTCACACAGCAGGAGGTGGTGTTTTGTCCTTCATTTTGTCCTAAAACTGTTCCTTATGTTTGTTTTTGCCTGTCCTATATGGAACAGGGTTATCTACAGACTGTAGGATCTCCCAGAGGCATTGAAACAGCAGGTGGATGTGCCCAAGTGGGTTGCCAACTCTAAGTCCATTGTCATGGGCAGCAAGGCTCTGAAGTGCTTATGAAATGAGCTCTGAATCCAAGCATGCTGTACTTCCCAGGTAGCCGGGGGAGGGGGGGCGTGGATGAGGAGGATAAAGAGTCTGGGGGAAAACCTTAACATCTTCACCTGATCATTTTTACAAGCTTACCTTTAAGTTTAGGTCACCCTTTACTCCCAGAAATCTCTTCACTATTTCTACAACCTCCTTCTCGATATTTTCCTGACTGGTGCCTTTCACATCAATGTAGTGGCAGTTGGAGCTGGCAAAATGGCAGGAAATGGACTGCGCAGAGAGAAAAAATTGAGACAAACAATCCCATTCATGTCAGCAGCCAACCAACCCAGGAGTCCTTTTACATGGCTAGTCACTTTGTTCCAGATTTGACTTCCACAGTGAAAGCTTGCTCCATGGGATACAATATAAAATCAGTCTCTTTGTAGCTCAGCTTCTTCTCACCCCTAGGACCTCAGTCAAAGGCTGATTGAAAATTTACGAAAGATTTTTAGCAGCTGTGATCATGCTTTTTAAAAAGGTATAAATGCAGGAGAGGAGAGTGTCGCACCCATACCCATATGGGAGTGCAGTTTCAAGTGAGGCTGCTCTGCATTCAACCCATCTCCCTGCACATGAACCTCAGAGAGCATGTGGGCTCTTGCCACACTCCAGACTTCCAAGCTTCTGGTCTTCACCTGACTTAGCCCTGGCTGATGTGTCCATTTGGGGAATGAACCAGTAGATGAAAGATCTGTGTATGTGTGTCTCAAATAATAAGTTTTTTTTAAAATATTCATTTATTTGAAAGGAAGATTCACAGAGAGAGAGAGATATCTTTCATTTGCTGGTTTATTCCCCAAATGGATGCAACAGTCAGTGCTGAGCTCATCCAAAGCCAGTAATCTAGAGCTTCTTTCTGGATCTTTCACATGAGTGTAAGGACCCAAGGCTTTGGGCTATCCTTTCCTGTTTTCCCAGGGCATAAACAGGGTGCTGGATGGGAAGGAGCAGCTGAAATATAAACTGTTGTCCATATAAGATGCCAGGGCAACAGGTGGAGGATATCCTGTTCTGTCACTCTGTCAGCCCCAAATAAAATAAATCTTTAAGAAAGTAAAATACAGGGCCTGGCATGGTAGCCTCGCCTTGCAACCCCGGGATCCCATATCGTCATTGGTTTTAATCCCGGCTGTTGCACTTCCCACCCAGCGCCCTGTTTATTACCTGGGAAAACAGCAAAGGATGGCCCAAAGCCTTGGAACCCTGCACCTGAGTGGGAGACCCGGAAGAAGCTTCAGGCTCCTAGCTTCAGATCAGCTCAGCTCTGGCTGTTACAGCCGTTTGGGAAGTGAACCGGCAGATGGAAGATCTTTCTTTCTGTATCTCCTTCTCTCTGTATACCTGCTTTCCAATAAAAATACATAAATCTTTAAAAACAAAGGAAAGAAAATTTTAAAAAAAACAAGATGGAAACAGAACAGAATCTTAAGTGAGAGAACTTCTTCCATGTGATTTTCCTAAACTGTGGCTGTCTCAAAGTCCTATTAAGCAATGTATTTCCCTGTGTTCCAACACCTTCTCAGACATTACTATTTCAATGGCAATAGAACACAAAAGCTGAGGGCAATTTGAAAAGAAAAATCAGGCAGACCACCTCTCAAACCAAAGGGAATGCTCAAGGCCAAGTCCACTGAAACTATTGTCCACTGTTGCATTCGAGGTCAAGGTTAGAGTTACATGGTTCTTCCCAGTTAGAAAAACTTATCAACAGGGGCAAAGCAACATGACAACTCACTTTCTCCACCACAAGTCAGTTATCTTAAGGTGACCATATCTTTAAAGAGGACTTTCTACTTTGCTCTATGCAGTCAGCTTCTAGAGAGAGGCGTTTCCACCTCTAGTCTCTTAGGTTAAGCTCCAGTGTGTCACACACAGTCCTGACAGAGCCCCAGGGGAAAACAGACAAGTGCATTCCTGTATCCATATTGCTATGTCATGACATTTTCCAGGGCATTAAAGTCACTGAAAATATTGTGGAAGAACAATGCACAGTTCACGTGATGAAATCAACAGAACGCTTTTCTACTGCTGCATAAAAGTAGGCCCCCAATGAAACTTCTAAATATACCTAGACAACAAAATATTCAATGTTCTACCACTGCCTATGCCAGACAGTGTCATGATCCACATAAAACAGCAGAATGGTGGAGTCAAGACTACACCTGATAGATTATTTTACTACAAAACACAGGGGAGAATGTGGGAAGAGAGGGGCATGGAGGCAGGGAGAGGGCAAAAGCCCTATGCCGCAAAATTTTAAGATGGAAAAGAAGAATTAAAAAGATTCACAGCATTCCGCACCACTGTTGTCATCCCTCCTCACTCAAGTGACTCTAAGAGTCGTGCTAGGGCAGGGGCCAAGCCTTCTCCTATTTCAGCTTTGGCTTGTTACACGATCGGCTATCTGCATTCACTGGGACTAGAGGAAAATGTTAGGGACCCTGATTTGATGAGAGATTTTATTATTTTCCACAATATTTTCAGATTTTATTATTTTTTTTCTTACGCACCCCCTTAAATTAGGCCCCAGTGAAAGACTGCCTCACTTGCCTCAGCCTAATCTGGACCCTGCTAAGTGGAAGATGAAATCTGACCCCTGAACCCTTGACATCAGAAAAGCAACAAGGATTGGTGGAAACTTTGTGATGAACTGAAAGGATCCATTGGACCGAAGGAGCCACAGAACTGAGTGTGTACTGAGTGTGTACTGTGTAACTGAGTGTGTACCTCTGCTATCATGGGAAAATGCGTACCCACAGGACTGACAGGGTTGCTGGATTAAGAAGTGCAAGAACAGTGATGGAATATCACTCAATTTTAAATACAAGAAGGAAATGTTTAAATTTAAAATGTTCTAACGCTAAGCTAAACAGTAGAAAAAATAAATACGGTTTCTGCTCAGTCTGACTTCAGAACATTTGATTCAGAATTGCTAAATTTGTTCTAGATCGATACTGTTTTTCCCAACAGTACAATAATATTAAGTTCACTCTTGTTACTATTTGAACATCGATACAAATTCCAAACTCCACTGCATCATACTCCTTGTCCTTGCCTGGTAAATCATGGGCTGTGTACTCCAGAGTAAGCAAGCCTTTCCAAGATCATGTGACACTGATATATGATTAGGATCCTGAGGTCGTCTGGAGTACAAGTGAGAACAGCCAAAAAGGCACAAAGGTCACAAATTTATTTCCTGGTTAACTCACTTACTGGACTAAAGTTCAGGCTGGTGAAATTGTAACATATCTTAACATTTTTGTTTCTAAATCATTCATCTCTGGGGTAGGCAGCAATGTGAATGAGTACCTTCCGGAAGCCTGGAGTTCTGTTCTGCCCCGATCCATGGACCAGCAAAGGATGGAAGAAGACCGTGTCCCCCTTCTCCATGACAAGGTGCACACGGTCGTTGTTCTCGTCGTAGTCCTGAATCCCATGGTACATCTTGTTAACTCCCCCCTGCAACACACAAGAGAGGCAGGGTCTGCACCTGAGGAAGCAGTGGCATTGGTGATAACGGCCAAGCTCACCAAGGAAGCTTCGGCCCTCTGCATTCTTCCAGGAAAAAGCCACATCGAATTGGAGCCTTCAAGACGCTTTCAACATGCAAACGCCTCTTGGTTGTCAGGTTTGAAGGGTCCACAAGTTGTTGTTAAAAATCACTGAGCTCTGGGCCCGGCATAGTAGCCTAGCGGCTAAAGTCCTTGCCTTGAATGCACCGGCATCCCATATGGGTGTCAATTCAAATCTCAATAGCCCCACTTCCCATCCACCTCCCTGCTTGTGGCCTGGGAAAGCAGTGGAAGACAGCCCAAAGCCTTGGGACACTGTACCCTTATGGGAGACCCGGAAGAGGCTCTTGGCTCCTGGCTTCAGCTCAGCTCGGCTCAGCTCAGCCCTGGCTGTTGTGGCAGCTTAGAGAGTGAGTCAACAGATGGAAGATCTTCCTCTCTGTCTTTTCTCCTCTCTGTATATCTGACTTACCAATAAAAATAAAACAAATCTTTTTTAAAAATCACTAAGTGAAAAAGGAAGCTCCAGATCAATCAGCTCTGCCTTTCTCCACCCTGCCAGGCATCCGCAGCTGACTGTGCTAACAAGCTCTGCAAGCACAGCTTCTCTTCCACAACTCCTCAGTCATTTCTTCATTACTCAGGAGTGTCTCTGAGAAACTAATTTGTCTCTCCAAATATGGGGACAGAAAGAAAAAACTCATTTTCTGTTTTTGTTGATCAAAAGCATTTATGGCTAAAAAAGGCAGCAAATTCAAAGATTGTGTTTGTTTAAAACTATTTTCAAAGTTAGTTACTGTTTTTACTAAAGGAACTCGGGCGAGAAGTGTTTGAAAGTCTTGGTGTGGGAGTTTGACCTAGTATTTAGGATGCACGCACACCCTACTCGAGGACCTGAATTTGATACCCACCTCCAGCTTTCTACCGAGGCAGACCCTGGAAGGCAGCAGTGATGGCTCAGATAAATGGGTCCCTGCCACCCGTGTGGGAGACCTGGACTAAGGTCCCAGTTCCTTCTTGTCTGCCATTTCAGGTATTTGTGAGTTAAACAGCAGTTGGGAGCTCATGCATGGGTTCTGCATGGGTCAATGAAAGGGACGAAGGAATCAATGAAGGAGGAAGGAAGGGAGAAAAGAAAGAAGGAAATGAGGAAAGAAGGAACGAAGCAATGAAAACCATAATCTACAATTTGGAAGTCTTCATGGGTCAGGGGTGGGTGGCTAGAGCATGCCAACCCCTTCCCAAGGGTGCTCCAAATGCCCTGCTGCCTACTGGAGGGTGGTGAGCCTGTGACTCGATGCCCTTCTTTCTTGGTCCAGGTAGATATGTGACCCAGGCTGAACAAGTGAGACCCTCCTCCCCTTCCAACAGCTGCCACCTCTAGGAAGCCCCACACTGGCGTATACCCCAGCTGGGCCCCAGAAACATGGCAGATTGTCTCCTCTGGCCTAAGGCATCCAGAGCCTGCTCTGTTTCTTCCTTGCATTAGGCAACCGAATTCTGAGCTCTGATGCTTTCATAATGCCAAGCTTTTATAACAAGATCCAGGCTGTAATATCCTCACTGAGCACTCATCCCCAGAGCAAGAAGAGCTCTGACTAACAGGGCCAGTCACAGTAGTCCTCCACTTTGGAAAGACCATACATCTCCCACCTACTCAGCAACAGGTGCCCAGCTCAGCCACCTTCTGAGGCTTCAAAGTCTTCATCTTGTGTCTAAAGTGCCAATGGTCCCTGTTCTGCCTGTTGGGCCTCTGAATGTCCACACCTCCAGCGCTTCCTGCGTCAGATGATCAGACTACTGTCCCTAACGGACCTCTCTGATGTCCTTGGGCATGGCTTAAAGGACTCCACAGTTCCCTCAGCATCTATAGCATGGGACACAAACAGCCACATAATAGAAGACCTTTCAGTCGCAGGAAGGCTTCCCCAAACAACCATGCCAGGAGAACAGGATCAGACCAAGGGCAGAAAATGCATATCGTTCAGGATTACATTTCTATTATGTTTAGAAAGTGCTAACTATGGTACACTAACAGAAAGAAAGCCACTGTTTAACTGGAGCAAGGAGGGGCGGAGGAAATGGTTGACTTGATTGTGGCAGTGACTACACAGGTGTGTGTGTGTGTGTGTTGTGTGAGAGAGAAACTGATCAGGTTTTATATGCTCAAAATATGCAGATTTGGGGGCAGCCATTTGGAACAATAGTCAAGATGATTGGGAAAGCCATATTCCATGTCAGAGAGCCTGGATCGAGTTCTGGCTACTCTGCTTCTGGTCCAGCTTCTTTCTGACACACCTCTTGGAAAGCAGTGGAGGATGGCTGAAGTCATTGGGCCCTTATTACACACATGGGAGCCCCAGACAAAACTCCTGGCTGCAGCCTGGTCCAGGCCCACCTGTTGTGTGGTCGTTTGGGGTGTGAACCCACAAACAGAAGATCTGTCTCTTTCTGTCTCCCTTCTTTTCAAACAAATTTTAATAATTAAAGCGCTCACTGTATGTCTAAACAAATACGACCACTTTTGACCTTATATTTGCATATTAATAAAACAATATTTCTAAAAAACTTAAGTTTTTTTCAGACTGGCACTGTGGTATAGCATCTTTAGGTTCTGCCTGCACTGCCAGAATCCCATATGAGAAGTTGTTCCAGTCCTGGCTGCTCCACTTCCAATCCAGCTTCCTGTTGATATGCCTGGGAAAGCAGTGGTCCAAGTACTTGTGCCCTTGTACACATGTGTGAGAAACCTGGGAAAGCAACTGGCTTCTGGTTTCAGCCTAGTCCAGCCCCAGGCTTTGTGGCCATTTGGGAAGTAAAATCAGCAGATGGAAGACCTCTCTCTCTAACAATGCTTCTTATATAAATAAATCTTTAAAAAAATCTTTAAAAAGATATTAAAGCTTCTTCAGTTTTATAAAAAAAAAAAGGTTCTTCATTCTTTCCCATAAACTAGAGACTAACAACAGTCTGTCAACATCAAAATAAAGAACCCAGCCTTGGTGGGTCTGTTGGGCTCATTTCCTCACCTGGTCAGCAATTGCATCCCTTGGCCCAAAGTAGCATGAGTGTGAGTTCCCATGGAGCTTCTTAGCTCCCTAGCCCTATGTATGCTCACACAGTCACCCAGGCCTCCTTGTTATGGGACATTATGCTTCATCAGCCCTCCCCAGAACCTTTGTTTGCACTCTAACCAAAGGGTGAGCAACAATCTCACCCTCTTCCAGTCATCCATCAGCGAGAAAGACTTGCAGGACCTGGATCACACATATCCAAGACTGATGGTTTATATCTTCCTGTACAACTAGGCCTTCCCTTCTAAGACGCTGAGCAGCACCTGCTCATTTTCCACTCTGGTTGGTTTGCCAACATGTGTTCAAGGGGCAAATATGATAGGTGTTTGCTCTGACATCTTTTCACTCTCCCTGGTCCCACCTGCCAAGCTCAGGGCAACTTGAAGAAAGGTAATATCCCTTCATTTGTATGCCCCTCATTATGCATGCTTAGGGAAACAGAAACAATGAGGGAGATCCCGCTCCAGGACAGACCTACCTCCCACTTTGGGTAGTCATGTGCCTTCAGGGAGCCTTTATGGCTGCCTGGGAGCACAACCAGGCAGCCGTTGTTCCGGTCAATGTGTTGCATCGCGGTCCAAGCACACACAATGAGATTGCTGGGCCGGAAGGAGAAATAATGCAGATCCTGATGCAGGGGGTGACGGCTTGTCCTCTTTCCTGAAACAAAACCTGCTGGTAAAAGATGCTTGAAGGGCTGACATTTGGCCTGGTGGTCTAGACACAGGTGAGAACTTCTGCGGCCCCCATCAAAGAGCCTTGGTTCAACAGCTGGCCCTGGCTCCTGACTCCACTTCCCAGCTAGTCTGTGCCCTGGAAGGCAGTGGCTGATGATGGTTTAAGTCTCTGAGTTCCTGCCAGCTTCATGGGCATCTGCACTTAGTGCCCTGCCTCAGCCTCTCAAGCCCAGGCAGGGCAAGCATTTGGGGAGAGAAACAGAACACAGAGTTTTTCCTGGATCGCTCATGCTCATACTCACCCTCACTCTCTCAAATTAACAAAATGTTTGAGTAAATAATCCAATAAAATCAACTGTTTTTTAAAAACACACAGATGTCCAATCTCAGAATTCCTTCTCCTTTGCCTGAAAAATACACAAAAATGACCTAATCCTGCAGAAACCCAGTAAATGAAATGACACTATAGAGAATCAGCGTCAAGAGAGAAGCAAGAAACTGAAGGTCAGATCTACATGAGTTTCGAACCTTACACTACCTTGTGCATTACTCTTAGGTGGGCCTTTCCGCACACTGGCTAGTCACACTTACACCTTTGTCTCTGTCACACTCTGTTTGACACTCCAAAGTGGACACATAGAACAGCATTCTCTGGGATTCTTGAAAAGCTGAATTGGGGTTGGCACTGAGGCACAGTGCATAAAGCCACTGACTGTGTTGCCAGCATCCTATGTGGGCGTTGATTCAATTCCCAACTGCTCCAATTCCCAGCCAGCTCCCTGCTAATACTCCTGGGAAAGCAGCAGAGGATGACCCAAATGCTTGGGCCCCTGAACCCATGTGGGGCACCCAGAGGAGCCTCTTGTCTCCTGACTTCAGATCAGCCCATCTTTAGACATTGTGGCCATTTGAGGAGTGAACCAGAAGATAGAAGTTCTTCCTCTCTATTACTCTTATTTCAAATAACTAAATAATTCTACAACAACAACAAGAATTGTTCCTTACCGGTATCTGGAGGTTTGTTTATCAGCATTGTGTGCATAGCCATAATATTGGGTCCAGTGAAGCACTCCACGTATTTCAGAATCTAAGGCAAAGGGAAAAAAGAAAAGACAAATATATTCTCATGGCAAATCATAAGTATGGACAAGGGCAATAAATCCTACTGCTTAGTAGGGTTTAGTTAGTATTTCACAATGAATCAAGAATGGAAAGATCCAGAAACTGGAAGTCTCTGGATCTACAACCTCTTGAACTAAGCAGGCTTTTTTGAGCTTCAGGGAATGTACCCTGTTTCTATGTTACAGGAAGTAACATAGTAAAACATTTGTGAAGCTCCCAGCAGGAAGATAGGAACAGCCTCTGGTCACTGAGAGGGCTTTCTTACATGGAGGACTGCTCAGTGAGAAAGTCTTCTTTTTCTTCTTGGAAATCCTGCACAAGAAAGACCCTGCAAAACTGGGCTTAAGGTGGGCATTTGGTTGTCATGCCCAAATCCCAAACCAAGGTCTAGGTTTCATCCCTGGCTTGACTTCCAGTTCTAACCTCCTGATAATGCACACCCTAGGAGGCAAAAATTGGTGGCTCAAATAGTTGGGTCCCCGTGCTGCACTTCTGACCCTGTTCCTTTCTCTGGCCTGAAAAGCAGGGCAGGATGGCCCAGGTCCTTGGTCCCCTGCAACTATGTAGGAGACATGGAAGAAACTCCTGGTGCCTTGCTTCAGATTTGCTCAGCTCCAGTCTCTGAGGCCATCTGTAGAGTAAACCAGCCATGGAAGATCTCTCTATATATATCAATCTGTCTTTCTAGTAAAAAATAAATAAATCTTAAAACAACAGCAACAAAAGAATGTCTCAAGCAAAGTAATTCAAGTCTGAAAGGTTATCCAATATGACTCAGAAGTCACCCAAGGTGGCAAAGCCAGCTAGGACTCAGTCTGATGCCAACCAATGAAGCATGTTCCATAGCCTTCCATACAGCCTGTTCTCTCATGCCTAACAGACACAAGCAATTCAAGTGTGAGATACTCACAATGCTATAAGAAGCTTAAGAGGCAGGCCTCACACTTCTGATTCCTATATGAAGCCTGGTATTAAGGGCACTCACCTGGACCTGTATTTTAGAAAGCCCTGTTACTGTACTGTTACTGCACTATGCTTTAGCCAACCAGTTCCTTCAACTCAGCTTGCTTCTCAACTGCATGCCAAATGACAGCATTCTTCAGACCGTGGGCAGGATGTGCTGGTGATGGTTCTCAGCACATCCAAGAAGCAGCAACTACCATCACAGGTGTAACATGTGCCTCCTCATGACAGTGCAAGGTTGTCCAGGCACTGGCTCCCCACTTTAGAAAGATGGAGGATCTTGAAAGGCATGGGGAATGCTTCATGGACCAGGGACTGCTTCCGATTTTAAGCTTTTCAGCCACAGTCCAGCAGCAAAACCTCCATTTTCATCACAGGACAGCATGGATGGTCCAGGGGGTCACTTCCCTGATCCTCTGTCCTGGAAGCTGGACATGACATGACAGGTGGAGGGTGACATGACTGCACAGTCCTTCTCTGTGAACCGAGCTTTCTCACAGACCCTAGCTCTAAAGTCCAAACTCTATGAAAAGTCTCCTTCCTGATCATCCCAAACAAATAGCTTGCAAATCAGGACACATTTATATGTTAGTTTAAGTCCATCCCTGCATGGGATGGATATGGAGAGATGTTGGGGGCCCACTGTGCTTGCAAAACACACAAGGTGACAGCTAAATGTTTCTGTACTATGAAACAGGTCATAGGCTACACAAGGTCACTCCACACAGACAAGGTCACCCTGACACACACACACCAAAAGCTACTGAGTGACAGGGCACTTGAGGATGCAGCCATTCAATTTATGTCTTTCTGTACTGCTTAGATATTTTTTTCATAAATATGGGCTCATTCTTAAGAATAATATTTTAAAAATGAAATGAATGTTAAAAACTCACTCTTCTGTCTATGGATCAGACCTCCCAAAACAAAGAAAAAAAGGATCCACTGGGTCAGTGCTGGGTTCAATAGCCTAATCTTCCACCTTGCAGCCTCAGTGACCCGTATGGTCACCAGTTCTAGTCCTGGCTACTTTTGAACCAGTTCCTGCCTGTAGCCTGGGAAAGCAGCAGAGGATGGCCCGAGTCCTTGGGACTCTGCACCCATGTTGAGAGACCTCAAAGAGGCTCCTGGCTCCTGGTTTTAGACTGGCCCAGCTCCCCCTGTTCTTGCCATTTGGGGAGTGAATTAGCAGATGGAAGATCTGTCTTACTTTCTCTCCGTAAAAAAAAAAAAAAAAAAAAAAAAAAGTCTTTCCCATAAAAATAAGTCAGTCCAAAAAAATAATTCAGATTTACACATTGTCCAAATCACTGCCTCAAGAATGGACCCCCGCCCAGGCCCAGAAGGGGTTTCCTTTGTTTGCACAGAATTCTGGTCCTTCTCTGATCAAAGATCAATGGCGTTGGGACCCCTGGCATTGCAGGTGTGATAATGCTGTGTGGGGAGGGCACTGCTTTGGGTTTCATTCCTGCAGTGACCTAGCCCCCACCCAGGACTGTGTGACAACCATGAAAATCCAGAGAGCCACTAAACCCTGAAAGAGAGCTGCACACAGAAGAGGGTGGAGGCAGTAAAGCCTGCACCTCCTGGCCATGTGCTTGTTAGCGACTCAGATCACACAAAACACAGCGTGCAGGCGCAGGGTGGTCTCTGACCTCTGGCAGGGTGCAGTACCGGAAGAGCTCCTCATCCTCCTGGAAGTCCTGGATCTTTGAAATCGTTTTCTCCCCCACACCGTGTTCTGATTTCACAGTGGCCACATCTCTCATTATCCGTAAGCCCACTGGTTCCACCTCCTTCCTGCAGATTCTTTCAAACTCCATCCTAGAAAAAGAATGTCAGCAAATACCCTCAGGACCGCTGCCTCCCGACACCTGCCAGGTCTGGCCTGGCAGGGATCTGTGGATCTCAGGGTGCCCCACCCCTATTCTGTGTTGGCCTCAGTCCTCCAGCAGGATAGTGCTGATGATGGCCAGGGGCCATGACCAACTCAGAAGTCCTAGCCTCCTCATTGCCACTAGAGTGAAAACATTCCTCATCTGAGCAAAACCATATAAGACAATTCTGCACTGCTGGTGGCACAGCCAGCATTAGGGCAGCACTTCCCGTGGGCCAGGCCCTGGTTAGAGCACTCCCTGGTGCACTACCTTACCCCTTCCTTACCGCCATGCTAGGACATCAGCTGATTATGATCGCCACTCTTCAGATGGAAGCTGGCAGTAACAGCAAATGGAGTCACCAGGGGCAGTGGGTATGAAGGCTGAGAACCAAGCCACCAGTCTGGGCCCAGCACCTCTTCCTACTTCCTAACACACCCACTCATTCACCAACATTGGTTGTGTGGAAGCTGGCCATCACTCGGTTCCCAGGACACGGCACATATTTTGTCAAGGAACAAACAACAGTACTGTACCGAAAACGTTCAATATCAGCCTCTGACACCAGATTTTTAATGACAAGGAAACCATTTTCTTCATAAAATTTCCTCTGTTCCAGGCTTAGGACATCATTATCCAGAGTATACCTGAAGGAGAAAAGATCATCAAGTCTGATGTAATGGTTATAAACAAACATAGTATATCAGGAACCCAAGAAATGTACACACTCTCCAATCTAATATTTCTATTCCCAAGGTTTTAAGGAAATAACCTATAAAAGTTTAGATTTAAACTAAATCTTTAAAAATTGTCTGGGAAAGGGTAATAAATAAAAGCATTTAGACACAAAAAATGTTTTGGAATGTGTATATAGTGTTTTTTTTAAAAGATTTATTTATTTTGGGCCCGGTGCGGTGGTACAAGTGGTTAAGGTCCTCACCTTGCACGCCCGGGATCCCATATGGGCGCTGGTTCTATCCCAGCAGCCCCGCTTCCCTTCCAGCTCCCTGCCTGTGGCCTGGGAAAGCAGCAGAGGACGGCCCAAAGCCTTGGGACCCTGCACCCGCGTGGGAGACCCGGAAGAGGCTCCTGGCTCCTGGCATAGTATCGGCCATTGCGTTCACTTGGGGAGTGAATCATCGGACGGAAGATCTTCCTCTCTGTCTCTCCTCTCTGTATATCTGCCTTTTCAATAAAAAAATAATAATAAGAAAAATAAATCTTTAAAAAAAAAGATTTATTTATTTTTATTGCAAAGTCAGATATACAGAGAAGAGGAGAGACAGAAAGATCTTCTCTCTGATGATTCACTCCCCAGGCGGCTGCAATGGCCAGAGCTGAGCTGATCCGAAGCCAAGATGTGGAGGATGGCCCAAACCCTTGAGATTCTGTATCCTCCTGAGAGACCCAGAGGAAGCTCTGGCTCCTGTCTTCAAATAGACCCAGCTCTGGTCATTTTGGCCACTTGGAGCATGAATCAGTGGATGGATTCCTAAAAGACAGATAGGTATCTGTCTGTCTCGCCCTCTCTTCGTAAATGTGATTTTTCAATAAAAACAACAAATTAATTTAAAAAATTCTTCTACTTCTTTAAAGGTTAAAAGTTTTGTGAGGTGTTCAGCCGCAGGGCTTGGGTGAAAGGAGCCCTCAGCTGCTGAGAGTACCTGAGCCAGATCAGACCCAATGCTTGGGACTTAGGCCATGGCCACTGCTGCCATGCAGTGAGCGAGTCCTGGGCTTTGGGAGGCCAGAGTGCCAAGTGGTGCCAGGTTCCACCTGCTGGCCATGCTGTGGTGAGCTCTAGGGTTTTTAGGGTGTGTAATTGCTGCCAAGGTACATCCATGGATAAGGCCAATGTGAGTGCAGGTGAGGGAAGAATCCTGTGTGACTCCCAGAGACAGGGTCACTAAACTTGCTGGCAAGCGTGGGGACTGATACCTGGTGGTTTAGAGGGGAGAGTCCATAATATCTGTGTCAGACCGATTCACCAGCCCATATGGGAGTCCTGAGATGGGCTGTTAGCATAGAACATTATTGACTGCCACATGCTAGTCCACACAAAAGCTATGGCTGGGAGCCTGTCTGGCAGGGCTAGATCCTAGTACCTGACTGACTGTTGGAACAGGGGATGGGTCACATTGGGAAGGGTCATGACACCAACCAGCATGTGAGGGAACCAGGTCTAGGGGTAGATTCTGGAGGGGATGAATGGGCCCAACCCTGTGGAAATGCAAGTCCCGCTGATTAGCTTAAGGGTTGGGGTGGTGATGGGCTGAGCTAGGAGTAACTTTGGAATCCACCCACACTCATGGGTGCTGGAGTTGGAAACAGGCTGGGCAGGTCCAAACTGCAGCACCCGCACGTGCATCCTACCACAGGGTATGAGGTGGGCCAGGTTGCACCATCCTCCAGCTCATAGAAAGGCCAAGATGGAGTGGCAGGCTATGTTGGGCAAGCACCTAACACCTGTTGAAGCATAAGAGCTCTGGGTCAGGAAGTAGGCTGACTGGGGGAGCCTGGGAACTTGGGGAACCTATTAGGGGGTCACAGCTCCTCCTTGTGAACATGTGTTTCATGCCTGGGTGTTGGGCAGCCAGAGGAAGGCATCTCCAACTATTGGCTAATGTGTGGGCTGGTTTTGGAGGGGGGTGACTGGGCAGGGCGGAGTCAACCTTACCTCACTGTCAAGAGCAGAAACCAGGCTGGAGAACAGGTCAAGCTCAGCTAGGTTGCCACACCTACCAGGATGCATGATCCTTGGAGGGGAACAGATGGAGCAAGGCCAGGTTCTAGCACTCATCAGTGAGTGGTGGGACTTGGAATAGGTTGGGTCAGGCCAGGCTATAGCATCCAAAGGCAAAGGTCATGACAGGTGAGCTGGGTTGGAGCAACCACTGATACATGAAAGATCTATAGCTGGAAACAGACCTGGTTGGGGAGCTAAGGAGACACCCTGGCTGGGTTGTGGTTCCCACTGGTAAGCACAGGGATGGAATGGGAGACACATTCTTGTCTGGCTATGGCTGTAGTGTACCTTGGCACAAGTGTGAGTTGGGGCTGGGTGCACTGGACTGGGCAAGACCCCAGCACCACCTGGTACTCTGGAGGACCAGAGTAGGTGCAGGACAGGCTAGGCTAGGCTTTTGCTCCTAATGAGTCGGGTATGAGCTGTGTCTCCATGTGGACTAGGCTAGACTGGGCTGTAACACTTAATAATAATAACTGGAATGGTTTGAAGGCCGATCAGGAAAGGTCATTGTTCCTCCTAGGTAAGCAAGTAGACTGAGTAGGGCTGATCCATGGACCCACTCATGTGTGCGAGATCTGGCATTGGGAGAGGTTCTGATGGAGGAGATTGGGAAACTCCTCCGTTGGGACACAGTCCATGCAGGTTGGCGCAAGAACCACAATAAGGAGCAGCCCAGACTAGGCCAGGGAACGGTACCCAGCAGCATACATTTGGCGCAGGTCGGGGGCAAATCAGGCAGGGCTAGTTCACATCATCCAATGGCAAATCCGAGCATCAGAACAAAGTGTGGGTTGGGCCAGGTTTGTTGACTGGGTGCAGGCTGGGCTGGGATAGGCTTTAGCCCCCACCAACCTGAGCTGGATTTAGGGGTGGGCCAGGCCAGGCCAGGCTACAGCAACCCCTGGCAAAAGCTGAGGTGAGGAAGGCCATGCCAGACCGGGCTGTGGTACCCAATTAGTATATACAAGACCCGGTGGGGAGGGGCAAAGCTGGTATGGGGAATGTGGAAGGGTCCTCTGCTGGATTACCACTCCCACTGGAGAGCTTGAGTTGGGAAAGAGGCATACAAACTAGGCAGAGCTACAAAACCTGTTGGCCTCATGTGAGCTGGACCAGGAAAAACGCAGGCTGGGTTGACTGTTGGTGCTGGTACAAGTATAGGTCAGAGTGGGTGTGGGTTGGTTGGGCTCTGCCACAGGATCAGCAGGCAGATGCTGGCATGGGGGGCTAATTTTATTAAACCAAACTGTAGAACCATCTGGAGAGTGCATGATCTGGGAGTGGAAGTGGGCCCAGGAGGAAAACAGTGGGCACCTCTCTCTTGGAAGGGAGAAACGTTATACAGAAAACAGTGCAGCCTCAGCACAGTATCATAGGAGGTGAAGACTGGTGAGCCAGGAGCTGGGGCTACGGAGATCATGGTGGAAATCTAACATAGGAACCCAGACCTGGAACTCACCAGAGGGAGTGGCACAAGTGACTGCAAACAGAGAGCCGTGTACCGACTGTGAAAAGTTGACCTGTGTCAACTGTAGATCTGTGGGTGAAACAGCTTGGAAATCTGCCAGTCTGGTTTCTGATAACCAGAATCTGATAACCAGAAGAAGAGAAGAAGCTGATAACCACAAGTACAATGACCAAGAGCAAAAAAAGAGACAAAAGCACAATGAATATTACTGAAGATTCCCCTGCAAAGGAGTAAAACCCTTCGCCAACTTCAAAGTTTACTAAGGAAGACATCAAGAAATGGGGGATACAGAATTCAAAACACTTGTTACAAAACCTCTTACCAACAACAAGAAGCACGTAAAGCAGACACTGAAGGAATTCAAGGAATATGTCACACTGGAAATGAATTAAATGAAAGCTGATATATCAGAAATGAAGAATACAGTGGAGCAAATTAAAAGTACAATGGAGAATCTCAAAAATAGAATGAAGGAGGCAGAAGAAAGAATCTCAAAATTAGAAAATATTTCCTGTCACCAGGGGAAAAAAACAAAAAGCTAGAAGCAGAGCTGGATCAGGCCAAAAAAAAAGTATTCAAGAATTGAAAGACACTATCAAAAGATCAAATATAAGAGATATGGGAGTCCCAGAAGGTACAGAAAGAGAAGCTGGGTTTACAAATGTATTTAATGAAATAATAAGGGATAATGCCCCTAATCTAGAGAAAGAATTGGGAAACAACATCCAGGAGGGTCACAGAATTCCCAACAGGCTTGACCAAAAGTGATCTTCCCTATGACATATGACAATTAAGCTCTCTTTAATCGAACATAAGGAAAAGATCCTTAAATGTACATGTGAAAAAAATCAATTGACAATATAAAGGGATGCCAACTAAACTCAAAGGAGACCTCTCACAGGAAACTCTACAGGCCAGAAGAGAATGGAGTGACATATTCCAGATTCTAAAAGCAAAAAGTTGTTGGTCCAGAATAACATACCCAGCAATGCTGTCCTTTGTCTTTGAAAATGAAATAAAATTCTTCCACAGTCAAGAAAAGTTAAAGAAAAATGCCTCTTCCAAACCTGTCCTACAAAGGATACTTCAAGATGTTCTCCTGACAAGATGTTCTCAAGGAATAGCGCCCACCAAAACCAAAGGCAAATGTGAAAAACATCCTAGTAAAATGAGAACGGAAGACTAAATCAATGAACAATCCATTGCTAAAATGACAGGACCAAATTGCCACCCATTCACATTAACCCTGTATGTAAATGGCTTAAGCTCATCTATAAAATGTCATAGATTAGTAGCCTGGGTTACAAAACAAAATCCATTTATTTGTTGCCTACAGGAGACATATTTCACCAGCAAAGATCAACGGAAACTATATCTCATGGATTTTGATTTTTTGTTAGTTTCATCTCTTCAAAACACTTTCCTCTGATTAAATTCTTCAATGACTCAGATCATACAGTAGCATCATTTTCTTCAAGAAAGTTCTTGATTTTTTTTTTATTTCTTCAGTGACACATTAGTCATTCAGTAGCATGTTATTTAACTTCATCATGTTGTTAATTTCTTTTTTTTCCCCCTTCTGTTGTTGATTTTGTTTTGTGGCTTTTCTTTTAAGGGGATGTATAGTAACTGTGCAATAGAGACTATCATATCCAGATGTGAGGATACAATGCAGTATGCATCTCTACTTTCAGATGAACTCCCAATGAAACTGTTTACTATATCTTGACAATAGGATGCTGGAGTCTTTGCCATTGTCCATGCCTGCAATGATGGACATACGACTGTGTATGAAGAACTACACTATCTTAATGATATAGGGGAACTCAGTGAGGGGGGAGGTAACTGTCGAGGGCATAAGGAAAATCCCAGGGCCTATTGAACTGTATCATAAAATGATAATAAAAAGAATTAAAATTTTATATATATACATATATATGCATAAAACTACACAGGGAAAAGTTTCAGTTTTCCAACACACGCCAATTGTTGTCTGGGGGCCAGTGTTGTGGTGCGGTAAGTTGAGCTACTGCTGCAACAGTGGCATCCCACATCAGAGCATTCAAGAGTCTTGACTGCTCCACTCATGATCCAGCTCCCTGCTAATGCAACTGGGAGAGTGGAAGAAGATGGCCCGGGTGCATGGGCCCCTACATCCATGTGGGAGACCCTGAAGAAGCTCCTGGCTCCTGCCTGGTCCAACAGTACTAGTGTAGCCTTTTGGGGAGTGAATTAGAGGATGGAAGAACTTCTCTGTGTAATTCTGCTTTTGAATAAATAAAAATAAATGATTTTTAAAAGGGAGAGGACATGTGAGGAGGTAGAAAAGCGGACTCCCCTGGTTTGATTATTTAACATTGCATACATGTACAGAATTATAATACTATAGACCATAAATAAGCACAAATCTTAAACAGCAACTTAAAATTGGAATTATTTCTGTGTATTTATGAAAAATATTTATGGGGCCCGGCGCGATGGCGCAGTGGTTAAGGTCCTCGCCTTGCACGCCTGGGATCCCATATGGGTGCCGGTTCTAATCCCAGCAGCCCCACTTCCCGTCCAGCTCCCTGGCTGTGGCCTGGGAAAGCAGTTGAGGATGGCCCAAAGCCTTGGGACCCTGCACCCGCGTAGGAGACCAGGAAGAGGCTCCTGGCTTCGGATCGGCATAGTATCAGCCCGTTGCGTTCACTTGGGGAGTGAATCATCGGACGGAAGATCTTCCTCTCTGTCTCTCCTCTCTGTATATCCGCCTTTGCAATAAAAATAAAATAAATCTTAAAAAAAAGAAAAATATTTATGAAGAACAAAGCTTTCCTTATTTAGGGTGACTTATGGCATGCCAGAGATGTTAGCTAATATGTTAAAAGAGCTACAAGCTAATTGAAATGTAATACAGATTATACTTGGATTTTTATCATTCAGATCATGCAGTTTCTGAGACCACTTCTTTCTTAATTCTAAAATACATAGCAAAAATTAAAGTCAAGATGTGAACAACTGTCCCAACTTGTACTAATAACAAGTAGTCCTTAGAAACAGGATTTGCGTAACACATTCTAATCAGGAAAAGTTACATTGCATATTATATCATGATGCCCATGTGAAACATTTCTGGTATACAATTCAAAACTATAGTTAGTTAGCTCTACTTACTGGAACTGCTGAGGATGTAAACTGGTGGAGGAAACTACTCCTGAAGTGGGGTGAGGCACCTGGGATGCAAATTAAGGCAAGTAAAACTGAGGAGGTGGTCTAATTGGGAAAGAAGCAGTTGAGTTCATTCGGCTTATCTAAGTCGATATTCCATGAACTTTTGCAAGGACTGCCTGTGCAAGCTCTGTGTGAGAGCAATGCCACGGGGGCAAGGCAACTCACGAAGGCAATTTGCCTCGGGAGTCATCAAGAGGCATTTGTAGGGGTAAACAACTACCCAAGGACACCAGCGGCACATATGGGTGTCGCCGGGAGACAGGTTAAAGTACTGTCCCTTTGCAGGACATGGTGTCACACTTGTGCCCAGCCCTGGAGCTCCCTGCGCGGGGGAAAGGTGGCAGCGCCCGGCCCCGGGCAGCTCCCAGTGTCCTTCCCCGCGGAGGACTGGAGGGTGCGGGTCAGACGCCTGTCAGCCCCGCTGCCGGCTGTGCTTTAGCAGTGGTTTGTTTCTAGGTAGCGGATGTGCAGGACACCAAAATCACTCTCGGAGATCATCTGCCAAACCCCCTCCCTCTTCCTAAAGCAAGAAATCCTCGTGAGTGAGGGCGCCCACACAGCCACAGTCGCCAGGACCTGGCCGAATGTCCTTCCCGAGCGCTCGAGGTCCCCGGCATGACGGGTCGCAGCCCAGCCTCCTCCCCTCGTGCGCCAAGGATAGGCGGGGAAGACGTGACTGCGCCATCACCCCCGCCAGCGTCGACACCAGCCCCGCTCAGGCCCAGGAGGCGACGCAGGGGCGAATAAAGGATACAAGGGCCGCGGCCGAAGGCCGGCCGAGGTGTCCCAGCACGATCCGCAGGCGGGAGCCGGCGCGGCACTGCTCCATGGCGGCGGCGTGGGTCTCCGCGGGTCCGGCCTGCACCCTGACTTATCTCCGCCCGCGGCCCCGGGAGGCGGACCCACACCGCCCCGCGCGGGGCGTGGACGCCGCCCGGACCCGGCAGCGCCCCCTCGCGGCGCCCCCGGACGGCTGCACGCGCAGGCGCCGTTGCTGAGTCTCCGTGGGGCCGGCCACGCGCCGAGGCTGAGGTGAGGTCTGGAAGGAGTCACGCGGGGAGCCACGGGCGGCCGGACCTCTGAGCCCACGCTGGCCCTTCCCCTCACTGCGGAGCCAGAGTTGTCAGGTTCAGTCTCGGAAAGCCACCTGGGCTGTGTGTCCTGATGGCGGGGCCGCGGTAGTGCGACTGAGGCAAAAGATCCCAGAAAAGTGTGACCGCGCTCTTCACGACTTTTTTTTTTTTCTCTTAATGGGGGATGATGGGTAAGATACAGATTGACCTGTCACCATGTCTTTAGCTTAGGGAGTCAAGAATGTGGCCCCTCACAAACACATCACTGCTTCAGTGAGATGCCAACGACCAGAGGACCTGCCGCCTCCTCTTTCCCCTGGGCACTGAGAAGGGAAAGGCAGCGAGGGACCTGAGCTTTGGCCTTGGATTCCTTCCCCCTCTCACAGCCTTCAGAAGTAACAGAGACCCGGGAGCTGCTGCCTCGTCTCGGGGCGCTTCAGCTTCCCCGCGGCCGCCGCTCGCTCGCACGCAGGGTCCCGACCCGGGGCTGGGAATCCCGGAATCGCTGGAAGCACCTGCCTTTCGGCAAAGGACGGAGTCTGCGGCCGCCAGGGTGCTGGGAGCCGGCGAGCAGGTGTTGTCCCCTCCTACCCTCGCCCGGTGCGCGGGGGACTGCTGGGAGGGCGGGGTCAGGAAACACCGTGGGAATGCAGTTCACCTGTCCTCTGCTTCAGGAGCGGGCCTCGGCCCTGGAGGCCCCGGAGGTCCTGGAGGTCCCGGAGGCCCTGGAGGCCCCGGAGGTCCCGGAGGCCCTGGAGGCCCCGGAGGCCCTGGAGGCCCCGGAGGCTCTGGAGGTCCTGGAGGTCCTGGAGGCCCTGGAGGCCGTGGAGGTCCTGGAGGCTCTGGAGGTCCCGGAGGTCCTGGAGGCCCCAGAGGCCCTGGAGGTCCTGGAGGTCCCGGAGGTCCTGGAGGTCCTGGAGGCCCTGGAGGTCCTGGAGGCTCTGGAGGTCCCGGAGGCTCTGGAGGTCCTGGAGGTCCCGGAGGCCCTGGAGTTCCTGGAGGTCCTGGAGGCTCTGGAGGTCCTGGAGGTCCCGGAGGCCCCGGAGGCCCTGGAGGTCCCGGAGGCCCTGGAGGTCCTGGAGGCCCCGGAGGCTCTGGAGGTCCTGGAGGTCCTGGAGGCCCCGGAGGCTCTGGAGGTCCTGGAGGCCCTGGAGGCCCTGGAGGCCCCGGAGGCTCTGGAGGTCCTGGAGGTCCTGGAGGTCCCTGGAGGCTCTGGAGGTCCTGGAGGCCCTGGAGGCCCCGTAAGCGGGGGAGGGATGTGCATGGGAGGGAGTCGCTTAGACCTTCCTCGTTAGCTCCTTCAAAATCCTCTCCCTGAGAATGGAGACCCCTGCTCCTTTTACGGAGCTTAGCAGCATTGTCATTGAGGCCTGAAGGAAATCCTTGAATGCTTTCCATTGTTTTTTGCCTGCTTAAAATAAGAGGGATGCTCAGTTGAGACTGTTTTCATTTAGAGACAGGTGTTACTTGCCTTGCAGGTAAGGAATTCATGTGCCTTAAAGAAAATGTCATATCAATGAGAAATTGCTTGTGTTCAGTTCCAAATTTAAAAACCTGCAGGCGATTTTTTAAAATAGATTTTTATTTTGAATTTTGAATGATGTGGTACAATTTCGTATAGGCTGGGATTCTCCCCCTAACTCCCACCAGGTAATTTTTTGACAAGTTTTTATTGAGGTCACGCCTGCACCTGCTGTGTGTGCAGCTCTGTGCAGCCTTCAGTGCTCCGAGTCAGAGCCAGCTCTCTCCGAGCTCACTACTTCCCACCCCCTTCCTGCCTTCCTGCCAGACCACATTCCCCTTCTCCATCTCTTCTGGATCTTTCCTTCCCCTCATCAAACAAGCACAGTTTATTTTTCCTACCTTGTAAAAGCCCCATCTGATCCTCTTCCCTCCCTGTTGGCACCGGCAGCTTTCTATGCCCTCAAACAAACCTTCAAAGAATCATATACAGTCAATAGCCTCCCATTTCTTACTCTTCATTTTCTTTGGAACCCGGTTGATCTGTTTTTGTATTGAAATTTATTGACTTACTTGAAAGGCAGAGTGACAGAAAGGGAAATAATTTCTTTATCTGTTGGTTCACTCCCTGGTTGACCACACCACTAAGGCTAGCCAAGCCACAGCCAGGAGCCAAAAACTCCTACACAAGCAGCAGGGGCCCAGGAACCTGGGCCATCTGCTGCTGCTATCCCAAGTGCATTAGCAGGGAGCTTGGAAACAGAGCAATAGTCATTCTAATACGGGCTGATGGTGTCTTACAGCGGAGGTTAACTTGATGTGCTACAAGGCTGGCTCCACCTGCTGGCCTTTTTTTTTTTTTTTTAAAAGATTTATTTTTTATGGGCACGGCACGATAGCATAGTGGTTAAAGTCCTCACCTTGAACCACAGGGATCCCCTGTGGGCACCAGTTCTAATCCTGGTGGCCCCATTTCCCATCCAGCTCCCTGCTTGTGCTCTGGGAAAGCAGTCGAGACGGCCCAAAGCCTTGGGACCCTGCACCGAGACTCGGAAGAGCTCCTGGCTCCTGGCCTCGGATTGGTTCAGCTCCAGCAGTTGTGGCCACTTGAGGAGTGAACCATCGGATGGAAGATATTCCTCTCTGTCTCTCCTCCTTTCTGTATATCCACCTTTCCAGTAAAAAAACAAATACATCTTAAAAAAAGAATGTGCACGTGAAAAAAAATCAACTGGAATGTTACCTTGTTTAGAAAAGGCATCTTTTTTTCCATAAAGGTTAAGGCCTTGAGATAAGCTCACTCTGGGCCCACTGAGTTTAGGGCAAGAAGGGGCCTCAACCTAACCACAAGAATCTCTGCAGGCGATTAACCGACCGCTGTGGGACCACTCCCGTGCTGTTGAGAGTGGCAGGTTTATGGTGTTTGGTGGTGAAAACGGGGTCGAGGGAAAATCACACAAGAGACCGGAGATGTGAATTACAATTTCAGAATCTGCCCTGTAAGAATTGTGGTCTTTTCCTTATAATACTAATTTAAAAACAGGATAAAGATAATTCTAAGAGCACAAACATATTAAGCTGTGTTGTGGTTCTAAGACAAATTTCCTCTAAATCTTTTCCAAAGAGCTGGAAACTTCTCCAGCCTGTTTTTGATGTCAGTCACGCAGACTAAGCCCGAAGAGCTGAGACGATGGGTGGTGCAGAGATGTTTCATCTTTCAGCATAAAACAGAAACTGAAATACACCTGCATATAAATCCAGATGAAAACATGAAGTTCTCATTTACAGAATTATATGGAGGGAGGAATACTGAGGAGTGTACATCACCTAGCATGGGCTGACGAGGAATCAACACCCAGAACCTCACTTGGGTTGCTGAGTGCCCGCTCTCCACAGGGGGAGAAACAGAGGCACAAACCACCATCTCTGGGCACAGGGCTCAGTCCCTATCAGAAAGGGCAGCAGTCCCCAGCAAGCCTGACAGAGCAGTCCCAGGAACTCCTGTCTGGCATCAGCCACCACATGGGAGCAGGGAGGGGGCGGGTTAAGAGGCACCACTGCCCTGACTGCAAACTGCCCACAAAAGCAGGAGGAAAAACTTACTTTCCTGCCCGACGTCCTTTATACTCGTCTTAGTAATCTGTATTTAATTATTTTTTTTAAAAAAAGTCTTTTTACTTTCTTGAAAGGCATAGAGCCAAGACAGATTTTTTTTTTTTTGTGCTGTTTCTTTCCCCTCTGTGTTCCCAGAGGATCCCAAGAGGAACAGCTGGGATTCAAATCAACACTCCTAAGGGATTTCCAACATCACAGGTGGCAGCTTAACCCACCTGGCAACACACTGGCCTCTTCATATGTTCTTTTCTACTTTACATTATAGCACAAGCATTCTACCAACAAGTAGTCCCTGATAACAACTTCATGGGATATAGAATTACAGCTTAATTCTGTATTGTTTTTAACAATTTGACAGCAATCATGAATTGTCCCTAACAATTTGTCAATCTAAAAAGAAATCACCCCCAAATTAAATCATTCATAATTTCACTACCTATAGATAATTGATATTCTCATTTTCCTGCATATACCATGTACATTTAAAAAATTATCACAGTACACACATATTGTGCCATGTCCCTATTATTAAATGCCAAAGACTTGATTTTTAAAAATAATTTCAACTGCAGAGAGAAAAAGGTAGACATCTACCTGTTCACTCAGCAAATGCCTAAAACAGCCAGGGCTGGTGCAGGACCAAACCAGGGGCCTGGAAATCAGTCTCCTACATGTAGGGCAGGGGCCCATGTACTTGAGCCATCACTTTCATTAGCAGGAAACTAGAATTTACAGTAAAACTGTGACTGGAGCCCAGGCACTAGGAAACAGCAGGCGGACAACCCAACCAATACATCAAACCTGAATTTTGATGGTCTCAGTGTTGTACAAATCTGTATCAAAAAACTCAATGTGGTTCTATGCATTCATGGATGTTTTATATTTTGATTACTTCCCTATTCTTAACAGAACTTTACAAATTTCCTTGATTGTGACAAAAATGTAGTGACAGTTGAATATCTTTATTACTGAAATTTTCTGTGTTTTTTTTTGTTTGTTTGTTTTTGATTGAATAATTCACATTTCCATTCCAACACTCTGCAGCCAGATTTGGGCCAAATCAAAGGCAGGAGCCAGGCACTCCACCCAGGTCTCCCACGTGGGTTACAAGGGCCCTGGCACCTGGGCCATCTTTAGGGCAGGAGTATGCCTTTGGACAAACACCTCAGATGATTCTGATACCTGGGAGGCTGGACCTACCAATAGGGATCACTTGAAAGGCCAGTTCTTCCTGCTGGGATCACACATTCCGAGTACCCAAACAGTCCTCTTTATCAAGAGAAATCCTCATAAAGCCGATTTTCTCAAGTGCAGAATCCACTTAGCTCACTTCCTCTCCACAGACCCACCACCAGGGAAATACACTACAATGAATGTGGCTCACACTCACTCAACCAATGCCAAAACAACGAAACAAAGCTGCACAGTGGATGTTTCTCACTCAGAAGTTTCCAGCACATTTTATTTTGCGTGCCACTGGCTTGTGGCTCTCAAGGACCAGCATTTGTATCCATCCCTACAAAACGTCCAGGCAACTTGAGCTTTTGCAGCAGCCTCTCATGCACCTCAGGCGCAGTTCTGTGTTCATGTAGGGAAGCTGCTTCAGTTCCTGCAGCAGGGCGCAGCCACCTGACGCCTCTTCCAGTGAGCGTCCTCTCTCCCTTGCTGGATCCTCTGGCAGGAAGCAGACAGGTCCACAGGTACAGCGGCTCTTGTGCTGTGAGCAGGAAGCATTCAGGGCCTGGGCGGAGGGCATGAGACCTTTGCTGATGGGGAATGACCCCGGAGGGCTCAACGTCCCTGTGCTCCACACCACAGGAGTTTCCTCCTGGGTACCAGGTGACAATGTAAGGAAGCCTCTGATTTTTAGCAACACAGTAACACCTGTTTAGATAGCCTGTTTGTTCTAGAACTACAAAATTCAATTCAAGAAAATATAGGTCCCATGAAAGACTTCGAAGTTTTATAAAACTAAAATCTAGTTTTCCCCTGATAAATTGTATTTCAGGCAAAACCCTCCCAAGGCTTCTAAAATAATATCAAAAGGAGTATCTGATTATACAAGAGCAATTTAAAAAATTAAATATTTATTTGAATAACAAGTTTTCGTTTGAGCTGCAATGTTAGCAATGCCAGTTTTTAACACAGATCACAAAATGCATGCACAACAAAAGGACTGGTGCAAGGGGCAAAATAATGCTAAGAATTAGGCTAAATAAGCTGCTGATTTTAACAAAAGGCTTGTGATCACTATACAAAATATAAAATGTATTAAACACTACCATCCACAACAGTCTTTATTGTTGATTATATTTAAAAATTATTTGCGTAATTATATATTGAATCGCAAATGAGTATTATACACGAACCCCCTTTTGGAAGGCAATTCCTCGTTGCACTATAGAACATCTAATTACATTGCAAAAAGTATCCTTTTTTTGGCTACTGATAAAATAATTAATGATACTACTGTAAATACCAGGAAGGCTACAAAAAAAATAAAGAAATAAAATTTCTTTTTCGTCTTCAAAGTGCTTTTCATGCAGAGTGAAGCACTTGACTTGCTGAACTAAATGCACTACTGCAGGATGTCCTGGGCCAGAGAGAGCTCTTGGGTGATCAGATTCAGAGCAATCATGCAACCCTCTTATAGCTTGGAAGCCATCATGTCACACTTACCAAATCCTTCTTTCCAGAATGCCACTCAAAACACTTAAAAAATGATGAAACTTCTATGATAAATACACACAAAATGAAGACAAAAACTGCTATCGGACACTACTTACTGGTAGTGTCTGTGCTACATGAAAGCACCTTTAAAAAGAGCCTATGCGGCAAGAGATAAGTGTCTAAAGATTCAAAATGAATCAACAGTATTGGATAACAATATAATTCTCAACTCAGAAGCTGCCTCAAGATTAGGTGCATCTTCAGTTAATGTAACAGGAAAAAAAGGCCATGGGTTTAATTAATTGTATCCACTCACGAATCGACCTACGGTCACCAGATGTGTAGACACAATGAGATTTTTGTTGTTGTTTATAGTCTTTAATTGAAGTGATGATAAAGGAAATAGATCTATTTAAAAACAAAATCAAACAGCTACCTCTGCCTAGATTAAGAGGTGGCACCGGGCGTGGGGTTCACATTCTGAGTGGCCACTTGTGGTGCGACTTCGATGATCCGGGGTTTGTCTATGATTCTGGCGGTACGGTTGCCCTTCTCTACAATCCCAATAATCCATGCTTGGTGACCTTCACCATATTTGGGGGACTTTATCTCTGCACAGAACCGAGCTGCTTGCTCACGTGGTAAACAGATTAGAAGGCCTCCTGATAAAGGAATAAAGAGTGACCATTAGTTGTGACACTATAAGAGTACTTCCTTCCATCCTTCTTATGACACTTCTACCCATAGCCAAGTATAGCCAGGGGCTGCAGGCAGGCTGCACTGCCCATTTAGAATAATGTCCATTGGACAGCAGTTAAGCAATTCCTCTAAAACACATTTGCAACACATTTTAAAACTGGGAAATTAAGCAGTTTGTGACCCATGTAACACTATGTAGGAGTCAGGTGTCAGTACAGCCCCCTCGACAGCATGGGAGCTACCCTTAAGTAATTATAAACAAGAGCACGCCTCACCTTTCCAAGAATGCATTCTGGCATTTTTTAAAATTTAAGACTCACGAAAGAGTGCATATTTCAAAAGCATGAGAGTTCTGGTCCTGACCATCATTATAAGAGAAGTATCAAATACAATAAACAACCATGTTGCAATTTCCCATAATTAAATTAAAAAATCACATCTTTTAAAGTGGAAATAATATAATCAGGAAATATTTTATGCTACACTAAAGACTCTGCATTAATTCACCCCACACTTACTCAGTACCCCAAGGTGGCTAACACTGTCCTGGCTGGGAAACTGCCTTCCTGGAGCTTACCTGTGGAAACTAAGTGAAAGCTGAGGAGTCCTCTCTATGCAAAGGCTAGGTGAGGCCTAAAACAGTCCTGAAAAACTCAGCCACTACACAGGGCTGACAGGGCAGGCTCTGCTGTCTGAGAAACATGGTCCCTGCCTCTGGCTTCCAGTGGAATCCTCTGGAGACCCTAGGCACACCCAAGATCAATGCCCCACATATTCTCAGGGTTGGGTCCAATTACATTCTCTTGGCGTGGTAAAAAAATGAAAGTTACAGATGAAATAAAAAACAGGGCCACTTACATGTTTCATTATCATAATTTCAGATAAATAGCCCCAAAATACAGGTTGCTCCATTAACCTACAGGTAGTATAGTTTATTTTAAATGCTAAGTTTCCAGTGAAAATGCGGTAACAGCTGTTCTTCCCATACTCGCCTCTCCCACCCACCACCAGATTCTTGTGTCAAAAAGGAGAACACAGGTCACTCCAAATGCACACACAGGACGCTGAGGTCTGGAGGCCTGCAGCAGGAAGTGTGTTCATGGAAACCTGAGCTCACTCAGAGTGGTTCACACAGGACTGGGCCCACACCCTTGTACCTGATGTCTCCGGGCAGGTCCCATGCATGAGGCCAAACATGTTTCCACAGGCCTTGCTCACAGCAGCCATCTTAGCCAGCACAGGAAGGTTGTGAATCACAAATGACACCTCGTTCCTCTGCTGCTTGGCTAGGTTCTGTGCGTGGCCCAAAATCCCGAAGCCGGTGATGTCGGTGGCAGCATGGGCGTTGAATGTGTGCATGAGTCCTGCAGCTGAGAGAGCAGAGAGGTGACTGAGAAAAAGCACCTGCCTTTAACTCGCAATCTCACTGTTAATCAAAAAGCTCACCTTTGTGAGAGAGATGCCACACACAAATAATGAAAATGAAGCATTATAAAGTCAACAAAACCCCAGTGAGACTCTCAAAGCTGACTTACTACAACCTGAACCTCCTGGAATCCATCAGCAGCTTCAATTAGGAACAATGAGTTATACTGTAGTAAATTTAAAAACATCTAACCAGATTATGATTTCGGTGAAAGGTAAACCATGTGAAAGTCATCCTAAAACTAAGGAACAGGGCTTTAAGAATGTATGACATAAAATCAAGGTACTCGGGGCTGGCCTTATGACAGAGTGGATAAAACTGCTTGCAATGCCAGCATCCCATCTGAGTGCCAATTCAAGTCCTGGCTGCACTACTTCTGATCCAGCTCCTTGGTAAAGGGGTTGGGAAAGCAACAGAGGATGATCGATGTTCTTGGGCTCCTGTGCCCATGTGGGAGACCCAGAAGAAGCTGTAGGCTCCTGTCTTGAGCAGGGCACAGCTCCAGCCACTGAAACCATTCGGGGAGTAAACCAGAGGATGGAAGATCTCTGACTCTGCTTCTCTCTCTGTGAATCTGCCTTTTAAACAAACAAATAAACCTTAAAAACAAAAAAACCCAGGTCTTTCCCTGAAGATGAATTACCTGGAAGTTCAATTTCCTTCACACTGGAAAAAAAAAAAAGATTTATTTATTTTTATTGGAAAGGCAGATTTGCAGAGAGAAGGAGATACAGAGAAAAAGATCTTTCATTCGCTGATTCACTGCCCAAGTGATTGCCAGGGCTGGAGTTGTGCCGATCTGAAGCCAAGAGCCAGGAGCCTCTTCCAGGTCTCCCATGTGGGTCCAGGATCCCAAGGCTTTGGACCACTGTCTACTGCTTTCCCAGGCCACACGCAGGGAGCAGACTTCACTAAAGAAGGGGAGCGCTTTTGAGTTGAGAGAAAGTGGGTACAAAGTGTAGAGTGGCCATTAGTTTTAGCTGTGTCACCAACTGGCATCAGTGAGGTGTTAATCCTAGTACATTGCTATTCAAATCCAGCCTTTATAGCAGGGTTCACTCTTGGTGCTGGACTCTCGGTGTTCACCATCCTGCAGTGACATGTATCGAGCAACACAGTATCACACAGAATAATTTCACTGCCACTCACAATCCTGGTGCTCTGGATATCTTTACTGTCTCTGTAGCTTGTTTTTCTAGAATGTTGTAGTTAGAATCATACTGTATACAGCCTCTTTAGATGGCCTCCTTTCACTTACTAATATGATTTTAAGTTCCCTCCACATCCTTTCATGCTAGATGACTCATTTCTTTTTCTTCTCAGCAATCCATACAGATGTGACAGTTCCCTTGTCTGTTAAGTGACTGGAGGACATTCCTGTTACTCCCAGGTTTTGCTTTTCTTATCAGAAACTAGTTGATCATACTTGTATGAGTCTGTCTCTGGGTTTTCTACTCCTACTCTAAGCTTTCCATAAAAACAAAAACAAATAAACAAATAAAATAAAACAAAAAAATTAGGCTGGTGCAGTGAACTAATCCTCAGCCTGCAAGCACTAGCATCCCATATGGGCACCAGTTCATGTCCCAGCTGCTCTACTTCTGTTTTAGCTCTCTGCTTATGGTTTGGAAAGACAGCAGAGGATGGCCCAAAGTCCTGGACTCTGCCCCGACGTGGGAGACCTGGAGGAAGCTGTTGGCATCAGACCAACCCAACTCAGGCTGTTGCGATCATTTGGGGAATGAACCAGCAAATGGAAGACTTCTCTGTCTCTCCTCTTTCTGTAAATATCTTTCAAAAAAATAAGTAAATCTTTAAAAACAAAACAAGCAGACAAAAAAACCCCACAAAATTTTGATTTCAATACAAACTTCTGAGACACCAAGCTGAGACACTGCTTGGGGCACATGCAGCATCGTTTTACAGTATCTAGCTTTAAGTCCCAGCTCTGCTACTGATTCCAGGTTCCTGCTAAAGCACACACCCTCCTTCTCCCAGGAGGCAGAAGGGAATGGAATAAGTCCTTGGATTCCTGGAACTTGCCTCAGTTCCAGCTGCTATGGGGGCACTTGGGAGTTTAACAAGGAAACAGGAGAGCTTTGTCTCTATGCTTTCCAAATAAAATTATTTTTGGATGGTGTTCTCTCCCATTTTCTTACACAGTCCTACAATTTCCTCTCCTTCTCCCTGCCTGTGGCCTGGGAAAGCAGCAGAAGATGGCCCAAAGCCTTGGGACCCTGCACCCATGTGGGAGACCCATCACACCTTGCTGCATCCTTGTTTAAGGTTATCCACAGAATCTGTGTATATTCTCTTCTACTTATAAATATGACAAGTAGGTACAGGCATGGAGCTTCCTAATTTGTATTAGGAAATCTTGATTAGGACCTTGACTAAGTCTTGAAATCAATTTCTGATAGCTGGTTCAGGAAAAGCTCAAGAAATCAACTGAGGAAATTCTTTGTCTGAAGGGACAAGATTTCTAGATTTTATCTTCAATTGTCTTGAAGGTTCCTACAGGGATGTCATACAGCCTACACCCTCTGTTCATGGACACTATACATTATCCGTGTTTTTGCAAACTTCTTGTAAAACCCTTTGTAAATCATGCAATTAATGATAAGGGAGCAAACTATTACTCCCAGAACATAAACTATCTCAAACTGATTCTAAATGCAGATTTGTTTCCAAATCAGTCACACATGGCAGCCCCATCAACACTTTCCAGAAGCAGCTACCTTGGCAGTCAGAAGTTAGGACTTTGGGAGACGCATGAGAGGGGTTTCCTTCTTGTTTCTAGAATGGTCACTGCATTTCCTATACACACACAGATACCAGTAACAACTGTGAGCACGCGATGCTTTAGCTGCTCAATCAAGCAATCCTTGGAAAGCTTTTCTCTATGCCAATCACATAAAACACTCATCTGCACTGGGAGCACACAATGTATTTGCATTCCCACCAGAGATCCATAGAACTACAAGCAGGTATCAAGAGCAGATGTTCTTCAGACACAAGTCCAATCTGATCCTTGGCCAGGTTCTCAGTTGAGAATGTATCTTTATATGTTTAAAGAGTTGTGGAGGTAAAAAATGCCCCATTCGCACTTCAAAGAACACGTGGCCCACTGGAGGGCCCTGCCCATACCTGTTCTGTTGAGCCTGGCCATATTCATCATTGCTTCCTGGTAAGCCAGCTCCACATCTTCTTGGGTGACCACTAATTTAATTTTATTCCATTTTTCAGGCTAAACATACAAGCATAGGTGAGGAAGAACAGAGGGGAAAATGTGGTTACTTTTTGAGCCACTGACAAGAAGAGCCGCTATTTTCTGAGTCACTTATGCTGTGGTTTTTTATGTATCTTCTGTTTCACTCTATAAGGTGCCAGCAATATGGTGTGTGAGATGCTGGCTGCCAACTTCCTATTCTTTTGATGGACAAAAGCCTTGTCATTAGTAAACTGTCAAGTCCCCAGATTCTCCTCCCATCTCTTTCATTGAACTGATGGCTTTCATCACTTGTATTACACTTTCACTCATTGTGACTGAATTTTAGGATTAAGGTATATCTCCATGTACAAAATGTGAAAACAACTTCAACTGCATTTGCACTGAGGATATCTCTGGGTGAGCCAACTGACCACCAAAGAAGGAATTTTTGTTTTCTTCTTCAAACTTCAACACACTCAGCATCATGGTGCTGGGTCCCTGGCCCACACTCATTATGGTCCAACAGCTGCCCTCATTCATGCCTTTATTTATTCATCTCAACCCACCACACCAACACAGCAATGACTTCTAGCTACCCTCAGCCATTGCCGTTTCTCCTTTGGATAAAACAATTGTTCTCAAGTCTGCGTCTATCTTTCCAAACAGCATTCTGTGCTGCCTAAGCAATATGTTCTTTAGTTGTTTCTGTCTGTAATAAGGCCATTATGCAGTACAATCCTCAGAACTTGCCTTTTTTATCCAGTTCTCAGTATTTAAAAACCCTAGTCCCTTCATCTTTGCTATTCCCCCACCTTGCCTGCTAGATTACTCGGGCCTGGACAGTCCAACCCCGTGGATTATTGTCTGCAGTGGCCTTGTGGTCTGATTCACTTCTCTGCTCTGCTCAAGCTAAGATATACTCAGCTGATGAACAACAAAATTATTTATTATTCTTTTTCAACTGTTTCTCAGGACTGGTAATTTCAGTTGATAGTTGCACAAATTAAACACACTGATGTGAGAATATAATACCACCTTATTAAATTGAATTGTTACCATACAGTAATGAAAAAGATATTAAGTATGATAATAGCTCACTAGGAAAATGTCTCTGGAGACATATTCTATTCCAGATTTATTCTACATGCGAGAATTATTTATTTCAATGTTCAGTTACTAGACAATTTTAAAAAAGATAAATCTAAATCTATGACAAGACAACTTCTAACTCCATGGTTAAAACTGTTTTAGAATCCATGTGTTATCTGTACCCCAAATACCTCACTTTTCACAAAATCTTTTCTGTTTTTAGTGACGTTTAAGATGTAATAGATGACACTATTTCAGCCCCAGATAAAGAGATCCAACCTCCAACTCTTATATTCCTGTGGTAAAAATTTTGAAGCTTTAATCTCAACCTGGCCTGTACCTACTTGAAATCTTCAGTACATGAAGTATTTGTTTAATGAAGAATACAGGTAATTGGGAGGATCTGTTTAAGGGCTTGACTGATAGTAAAAAGATCCTCACATTCAAAAGCCCTCCAACAAATTACCATGATCCTGAAAACTTAACTGGCTCCCTCACTGCAAGCAGATTCACTCACAATGTCCAGCCACTGATGCACTGCGACAGCAACTTGTGTCCCCAGGGGTTTCGTTAACACCAACACATCTCCTGGCACTGCATTATCTGGCCTGAAAAAAGAAAAAGGGCATGTTCCAGTAAAGCTAATGAACAAGATCAACTCATTACTATTAAAATGAAAGAGAGAAGGGCCAGTTTTGTGGCATCATAGATTAAGCTGCCATCTATGATGCCAGCATCCCCTAAGAGTGCCAGTCTGAGCTCAGCCAATCCACTTCTGATATGGTTACCTACTAATACACTTGGGAAAGCAGCTAAAGACGGCCCTTGCCCTTGGGCCCCTGTCCCACATGGGAGACCTCAAAGAAGCTCTTGTCTTTGGATTGGCCCAGCTCCAACCATTATGGCTATTTGGGGAGTGAACCAGAGGATGGGAGATCACCCCCTCTGTAAAATTTGCTTTCCAAATAATATTTGAAGCAGGGCAAATCATTTAGCCTTCAAAAGTTCCACTGGACCCTTCAGCCACAGATCAACATGTAATTTTCATTACAGTCCCACCCATAATAAGCGAGAACACTTCCAAGGTTGACCAGGCAAGGATGAATACACAAAATGCATTATATTCCCTCAGCAGGCTACTCAGCCAGACAAGAGAAAGCAGTACTGATTCACATTGAAACGGATGAACCTTGAAGACATGCGAAGGAATCAGACATAAAATTCCACCTATCTCATGTCTAGAACAGACAAATCCCTGAGAGAAAAATATTCCTGTTTGCTAGAGGATGGGAAGGGGAGGAGGAGGAGTTGGCAGTGACTGCTAACTGATCCAACGATTCTTTTATTCAGAAGTGGTCAAAGGGGCAGACTTACAAATCTGCAAAAAACAAGACTATACTTTCAGGGATCATTTCTATAGTCTGTGATAAATCCGCAAAACAATGAAATGTTATATGAAATTGTGTTACACTTTGAGACCTGAAACTATGAGTCTACCAGAAAGAAACAGGGAAATACTTCAAGGTGTTGGCACAGGCAGGGGTCAGACCACAAAAGCACAGGCAACAAAAATGAAGACAGACAAATGGAATATCAAAGTAAGTATCTGACCAAGGATTAATACCTAATACATATGAAGATCTCTAAAAACTCAACAAAAGAAAATCCAATTAAGAAATATGCAAAAGATTTTAATTTCTCAGAAGAAAAGCAAATCATCAACTAAAATAGGAGAAAATGTTCAACATCACTAGTCATCAGGGGATTGCAGATCAAAACCACAATGAAGTATCACCCCACCCTGTTAGTATAGCTATTATGGAAAAGACAACTATCAAAAGGCAGGCCGCCAAGGATATAGAGAAAAGAGAACCTTAAACACTGTTGGTGGGAATGCAAATTCAGCTTTTGAGGGAACAATATAGAGGTTCCTTACAAAACTAAAAATAGATCTATCATAGTCCAGCTGTCACACTTTTGTGAATAAATTCAAAGGAAGTGAAGTCAGCACAGCACAGATGCCCGCCCTCCCACCTCAGTACTATTCACAGGAGCCAACATAAGGAACAATCCACATGTCCTTCAAAGAAGGAATCAATAAACTGCAGTACACATCCACAGTGGAGTATTATTCAGTCCCCAAAAAGAGCAGAATCCTGACTTTTGCAACAAAGTGGATGGAACTGGAGATCATTATGTTAAGTAAAATAAGCCAGTCACAGAAAGGCAAATAAAATGTTTTATTTGGTGAAGTGGAAAAAAATTCCTAGAGGCTAGGAAAGGTGGGATAGGGGAGAAATAGATTCTATTTTTTTTTTTTTGTAATGAAGATTTTATTTATTTTTGTTGGAAAGGCAGATTTACTGATAGAAGGAAAGACAAAGAAAGATCTTCCATTTGCTGGTTTACTTCCCAAGTGGTTGCATAAGCTGGAGCAGAGCTGAACAAGTCAGGAGCCAGGAGCTTCCTCTGGGTCTCCCATATGGGTACAAGGCTCCAATACTTGGGGACATCCTCTACTGCTTTCTCAGGCCATTAGTGGGGAGCTGGCACTTGCAGGCAGAGGAGTAGGCAGTTTAGTCATCGCATTGGCCTTGAGAGAGAAGTTCTAGTGTTCAAACAGAAGTGAGTAGCTGCACAGGACAGTGCATAGGACTGTCCTTCGCAATACTATCTTACGTACCAAAAGAAGAATTGGAAGAGAGGGGCTGATTGTAGGCTCCAAACATAAAGAAGTGCAAAGACAGGCTGCCTCACTTGAGAGTGGCTTATAGGGAAATACTGCATTGCAGCCCATAAAAATGGGCACTGTATGTGAATGAAGCATTTTAAATAGTAAAATATTTCCAACAAATAAGTAAAAAGCAGGATGGGAGGGATGAAAACACTTCAAAACTAAAAACCTACCCTGGTGGGTGCTGTTGAACTGCAGATAACACCAGGAGTATTGAAACATACACTTCAAATGGGTGTGTTGTACAGTGAGAGAGAGAAGGAAAACACCCAGATGGTGTGAAACAAAAACAAACTCACATGATAAATTCATTGGGCTGGCAGACAGTTGTAGCAACTCCTCCCAAAACGATCCAGGGGTTTAACACCGTTTGGCCACCTGTTACCGACGTTCCTGCTTCCTCTGCTGCATCTTTAAAGCCCTGTATAATTAGGGGGATCACTTTATCCCTTTCCTAGAGTTTAAAAGGATATAAAGGAGAAATCAATTTTATTTAAAACTCAGAAAACAGAGTTCTAAACTTACAGTCATAAAAAGGAACATAAAATACTAAAGGAAGTCTAAAAGTTTATAGACAGGGCACAGTATATGGCACAAAATGGCGAGCGAATATGCTGCATTTTATGTGCTGTATCAAAACCTGAACAATATTCTAGGTTATAACATAAAGGAAACCCAAACAACATAAGAGGAAAAGATGTCTGAATTGGTCCATAAGACTGGCCTTAAGCCTGGTGACAATTAGAAATCAGCTCTCTAAAGATCCTTTCCTAGGCGAGGACCATACATGTGTAACTGCCCCCAGGTGAGCTGATAGCTCAGCGAGGACTGCAGAGATGGGCTGTGGCTGAGACAGAACACCCACCCCATACCACAAAGGCCTTGCTGAGACCACCCATCGTGTACAACCAAAGACAAGAGGATACGAGGGCAAAAAGGAACTCACAGAAAACTCAAGGGCATGACAGGGTCTATGGTTGCTGTCAGCAGTTACTCAAAGTTTAGAACCTGTCCAACTAATCTAATTTGGTTCCAATTCAGAGAGCAGGTACACTGCCAGTTGACAACACAGTAGTGCAAGCACATGAACACACACTGGGGGGCCAGCCTCCTCACTGTCTTTATCGGGAAGAGCCCAGCCTGTGTGTCGCTGTGTATCTTGGGTGAGTAAGGGCAAGCCCAATTCACAGGCCTGGCTACAGTACTGCTATCATGGCCTAAATTTAATTAATTAAAATAACCACTCAAAAATGCCTTGGTTTTACTCTACCTGAAAGAAAGGCAGGCAGCAGGTGGCAAGAATGAAAAGATGAACCAGGCAACCTCTCATTCTAGTTTGGTGGCAACTGCTAAAAATCAGAGTGCCAGAAGGAACATGGAAGCAAAGTGGCCTGGGGCCCTGGCCTTCCTTATGTGAAACAACATGTACCCAAGATGATGGAAGCCAGCCTGGCTACTTACCCTGTCGGTCATTTTATTACTGACCCCGAGGAGCATCAGCATATTGTCACATTCCGTGACCCCCATGGCATAGAGGTCACTGAGGACATTGGCACATGCTATCCTGCCCTGGGGAGAGAGGAAAGAGGTGAGGACGCACACTGTGGATGTTCCATCTGAAGAAACTGAGCATGAGCCCGGAGTGGCTGCCAAGGGCAGGTAGGACGGTCTAGAATGGCAGCCAATGGGCCCTCTGCAGACCTGCTAGTAGCTACAGCCTCAGCACAGAGCCACTGCATGCCATGCCCACACAAGCCTTGACTCTAGCTCTGCTTTGTTCTGCACTTCTCTACCCTGTATATTAGAAGCAGGCCCACAAGTTATCTAGGGGAGAACACCCAGCAGGGAGGCATGTGAACTGAGGGTCTGGAAGACAGGGTTTGAAAAAAATCTGTCAACAGCTGTGTCCTTCCTGGGGCCTTGGAAATAGCCACCGATACTGAATGGAGACCACAAAATGTTGACATTATGGGTTGTGGAGGACATGGTTTATAAACATGTGGGTTATGTTTTGTAGCTTTTTCCAAAACTGTAAGAGACAAACAAGAAAAGTAACTTGGTTGAGGAAAAAAACAAACCAAAAAATAAAAAGAAAGAGTAACATCCAGGGCTTAAGTTAGTCTTCTAAAGAAAAAGAAGTATTTCCCAATATACTGTATCATCTTACTAGGAACTTTAACATAGTATTTAACAGAATTGAGACAATAAAACAATTTATTAAAAATTGCAAACAACAACAAAAATAAAGTGTTTTACTGCCTTAGGAGATTTTGTAAATGTAAGTAGCCATTGTCTATCATTATAATTTCATCTAGACAGGAGGTAAGTATGGAGGATCCAATCCCAGAGCAGTACTATCATTTGCAGTGGCTGCCCAACTGCAAGCTTTGTTTCCTCCTGGGTCCTGGCAAATGGCCATGCAGCTCAACAACCTCCTGCGGTCCCACTCTTATACCACCAAGCCTCCTCTGCATGACTGACAGGTAATCTACAACCAGAAAGGCCAAATCACAGGGCAGGATGGCAACCATCTACTGTCCCCTTCAGTTCTGGCTGCTTCTTTTCTCAAATGCTTTTAAGAGATGCTAGGGAAAAGAAAAATGCATTGTGGTTCTAGCTACTTATGTCATCTGGTCTGCTGGGACACCTGTAGTCTGATTTACCATCTCAGTCTGTGGAAGCATGGTTCTTGGGAACTGAGGAATGTGCAGGGGGCATACAGGCTTGTCACTGGCCTGCAATGTGGAACCTTCCTCCACTTAGTTACCTCATGGCCTAAGCTCCTAGACCTGCAGCTGGAGCCCAGGGTCCTTCCACACAGGAAGGACACCTAGCATTTTACAATACATGGAATAGTCTCAACATCTCTATTGATCCCTCTTAGCTGGCAGAGAGGAAGTGTTAAAGGTTGGGCAGATTAAAGGGTTCCTAGCTACAACCAAGCACTGAAGAATTGAGAAACATCTAAAGCAGAGTATAGTTAGTAGCTAACAAACTTTAATCCAATGAACAGCTGCATCTCACACACAGCAGCATGTGACACAGCAGTGGGCAGCAGTGTGAATGAACGGGCAGGAGGAAGTACCATGTATCTGAATCAGGGTTCAAGCCCAGCAATAAAGCTGCTTTATTTTTGGGAAGAAATACTGAGGATCAGCCCAATTACAGAGCATACACTAGCCTGAGCTTAGAAATTCCAAAAAATAAAAAAAAATTTTTAAAAATTTAAAAAAGGGAGGAGGGAAGGTACAAGTCAAGAAAGAAGAAAGTGACAAAAACTGTCACTCAAGAGACATGCCACTAAACCAGTAGGTGTTTTCACACACACACACACACACACACACACACACACACACACACACACACACACTCTCTCTCTCTCAAGTATGAGTGCAGTAGAGATCTCCCTGCCTCTCCCTTGTTTTACACATGGGGCCAGGTGTGAGGAAAGAAGGGGCCAGCTGCTGCCATACAGGAGGCAGTGCAGGGCTGGGGGCAGTGTAATTTGAACACAGCAGTATAAGAAACAACCAGAGGTGCAGGTACAAAGTCCAGTCACCATCAAAAGCAAAATTATAAGATTTCCAGTAACAAAAACCTGTTAGGTCGAACTTACCATCATGTAAGGGTCGTCTACGATAGGATAAATGTAATCCGTGGTCTGAACCAAGGAGAGCCCACCATGTCTCAAAGGAATGACACAAGTATCCATTCCAATGCCTGTGAAGATGGAAGTCATCAGCATCCACAAATAAACCAGGAGAGCCGTTCTCTTTCACTCTGGCAGTGTTGTGAACAGAAAGACCTCTGCCTAAGACACTTCAGGAAACCGCACATGCCAATGAAGCCATGTGTGTCCTATCAAGAACTGTAACTGAAAGAAATGTGAATTGTAACTAGCTTAAGAGAAACAGAAATTAAAATGTTAGTCATCAAGACGACTTCAATAGTGATATTTTTTTAAAATCTCTTTACTATAACCAATTTGATGAAAATTTTATTTATTGATTTCATCCACTATGTCATTCCCCTGCACTGACAACCCCAAATGCCTGAAATGGCTGGGTGACCCAGGCCAAAACAAGTAGCCACAACTTAGTCTCCCACACAGGTGGCAAGAACCAACCCACCTGAGCCATGACCACCAGAAAACAGCTTGTCAGGAGCTGCAGCTGGGTTAGCAACCCGACATACTCAGACAGCGGACAGTGTCCCAACCAGTGTCTTAACCATCAGGCCAACCATCCACCCCAGTAGGATTTCTAATGATGCCCAGAATAAAAGTTTTCTCTTACACTGTATCATCTTTTATTGGACTATGTTATCGCAATACTCTGTCACTTGGCATCGCAAAGAATTTCTTTGACTATGAAAATAGAGTATATGAGCTTAGGATATTTGAATCTGTGGTTAAAAACTTTGAGTACATCTTTAGATATTATTTCATTTTCTCAGCAGAAAATTCGTGAAGCATTTTACATAAAGCACTATCGTAACAAAAATCAAGGTGATTAAGGACAAAGCTAGACTTCATTTTTTTTTTAAAAGATTTATTTATTTTTTTATTGGAAAGTCAGATCTACAGAAAGGAAGAGAAACAGAGAGAAAGATCTTCTATCTGCTGGTTCATTCCCCAAGAAGCTGCAATGGATGGAATTGAGCTGATATGAAGCTAGGAGCCAGGAGCTTCTTCTGGGTTTCCCATGTGGGTGGAGGACTACAGGCTGTCCTCTACTGCTTTCCCAGGCTACAAGGAGGGAGCTAGATGGGAAGTAGAACAGTTAGAATATGAACTGGCGCCTATATGGGATCCCGGAGCTTGCAAGGTAAGGATTTAGTTACTGAGCTACCATGCCATGTCCCCAGGAATTTCTGGAAGAACTCTTACATAAACACTTAGTACCTATGTAATCTAACTGTTTTATAAGTTTTCAAAAGTACTTCTAAAGAGGAACTTTTAAAACTCCATGTTATTTGTGTAGTAAAAAGCTTACAAATGCCACCTTTAGTAGCTTATGATATGAAAGTCATGTGTCTGAAGTTTATCCTGTCCACTAAAATGAAAAAAACAAAAAGTGTGGCACAAGATAAAAATGAGTTCAGTGTATTAAAAATAATTTGACTATTTAGACAGAAGAGACAACCAGCAAATTACTCAGGGTTTCTATTTGCTAAACTCAATTTTGCAGTATTCAAGCCTAGTAACAGTGGATCAAATTTTTTTTCTTAAGAGAAAAAAGAAAAGATTTTATTTCTTTGAAACAGTTACTAAGAAGAGAGAGAGAGAGATGGCGAGAGAGTGTGCACTTCCATCTGTGGTTCACTCCCCAAAGGGCTGCACTGGCAGACCAATCCAGAGCCAGGAGCTTTATCGAGGACTCTCGCATGGGTGCAGGGGCCCAAGCACTTGGGCCATCCTCCATTATTTCCCCAGGCACATTAGCAGGCAATTGGATCAGAAGAGGAACAGTTAGGACTAGAAATGGTGCCCATTATGGGATGCTGGCACTGCAAGCAACAGCTTAACTTGCTATGCTATAGCACTGGCCCAGGTCACATTTCTTTAAACATCACTTGCAATGCAGCCACTTCAGATTTACAAAACTGCTCCTATTACATAAGGTGAATAGTGTTCCCATACTCCTTTTCAAAGGACACCCTTCTAACTGTATAATGAGTACTTCCACTTTATTGTCCAACACCAAAGTAGGAAAAGTACAGAAGGGAGCCAGAGGACTCTCCCCTGTAAATGTAGAATTCCAAATCGAACAAGAATGTATCTTATCAGAATCTCACTAAAACTGTCTTCTGTGTTTGTACAAAACTTCAACAGACCCAACCATGGCGGATCACAGAGGCCCCTCCTCTTGCTGGTGTTAAGTCCATTACCACCAATCAAGTTCAGTAACACACTACAGTGTGTGAAGACAGTGAAGACAGGATTGTGGTTTTGATGAACTCCCATGGGATCCAGCTGGGAGCAACAAATTTAATTTCAGAATGGCAAGTCTCAGAAATCTGAGGCAATGGGACCCTTCGGTAGTGATCAACTTTCATCTGTGACAGACAAGATCATGAGCAAAAATTCATTTCAAAGCCAGGTGCTCAGATTCACAAATTTCCCTCACAGTGCCCTTCTGCACCTATGTCAAAACAGGGCAAGAATCACATTCATTTGCATAGAATTTCCTTAAATTGACAATCACAGCTAGTTATGTTGAGCCAATCACCATTCAATTTGGAAAATGGAAAGATATCATCTTATTTCAGGTATCAATTTAAATTATAGGACTATAAGACAAAAAAGAAAATTAGCTGCTGAATATTGGTTTTAAATATTCCTAATGTGAGTCATTATAAATCTGATTCAAACATATGATTTGTAAAACTCTTCATTTCTATACCTGGCAAGTTCTTACATCAAAACAACTGGAGAGTCTTAAGCATGTTTCTGGGTTGAAAAACTTTCCCCTTTACTACGGTGACACCAGATCTACTTGAGGGAGGGGCTGCTGTCATTCAACATGGCTGCCAGGAGGTTACTGAGTTCTTGAAATGTGACTATTCCAAGTTGAGATGTGCTGTAAGTACAAACCAGACACCAGGTTTGAAACAGTACCAAAACCAGCATTTCATTTTGTCCTATGAGAGCATCTTCAAAAAGTTCATGAAAAATATATATTATAAAAATAATAATCTCTTTATCTCCTCTATAAATTTCCTTCCAAATACATTAAAACGGGGTTAGGGGAGGACTAGCGTGGTACCCTCACACAATAATCCTTCAAGCTGCAGCACCAGCATCACATACAGGACCAGTTCCAGTCCCAGCTGTTCCACTTCCCATCCAGCTTCCTACTCATCACCTGGGAGGGCAGCAGAGGATGGCCCAAGTCCTTGAGACCCTGCACCCACGAGGGAGACCTGGAAGAAGCCTCTGGTTCCGGTCACTGCAGCCATCTGGGGAGTGAACTGATAGATCCTCTCTGTCTCCCCTTCTTCTCTCTGTAAATCTGCATTTCAAATAATAAATAAATAAATAAATAAACTACATGGATTTCAAAAACATTTGCATCAAAACAGTTTATTTTTCTCACAGGCTTTTTTAAAAACAGATTTTTAAAATTAAGTTCAGTTAAACTTAATAAACCTCTTAAGTTTCAAGAGGGAAGAATGAGGTTGAGCTGGAGATGGATCACACATCTTGAAAATCAGTTTCAAACTGAAAGAAAGAGTGACAGTCTGGATAGAACACAAGCAGAAATGAAGATTCCACTGGTAGGGGAAGCCTTAAATATTAAATACATAAGGAGGAATAGAAAATTCTAGAAGCCTTCAGTAAGGCGCAAGCCCTCTAACTAAGAAGATATAACCTGGGGCGTACAGTTGACACACACTGCCTGGGATGCCTGCAGCACGTACCACAGGGCCTGGGCTCAAGTCCCAGCTTCACTCCCAATCCCAACTTCTTGTTCACGTGGCCCCTGCAAAGCAGCAAGTGAAGGATCAGGTAGCTGGGTCCCTGCGACCCAACAGTGACATGAACCGAGTTCCTGGCCCCCAGATATGTTGGGATGGAAGACTGGTCTCTCAATCTTTCTCTTGGCTCTCAAATAAAATAAATAAATAAGCAAAGAATACAAGACATTTTATCACTGCCAGCAGCTATCAACATCTGACAGTTTTTAAGTACCAGTCAACATCTGTACCAGTTTCTAAGACACACTGACATTTGTTCAGTTAGGATATATCTAGTAAGCATGCATACACACTCCAAAAGTGGGCTCATCATTCTATAGGAATTCAATCAGAAAAGATCTAAAGCAGATAAACATACATACATAGATACATGCATACATGTACATATATACATATACAAAGGCATGCCACAAAGGTCATGGAAAAAAATGGAAAAGATAAAGATTATTTGGTTAAAAAAAATTTTGAAATCCATGCATGTTTTTCTTTTTCTTTAAGATTCATTTATTTTTATTGGAAAGTCAGATTTACAGAGAGAAGGAGAGACAGAAAGATCTTCAATCTGTTGGTTCACTCCCCAAGTCATGCATGTTTTTCATGAAGTATTTGAACACCCTCCACACACACACACACACACACACACACACACACACAATTTTCTGGCAGCCACACAATTCCCAAATACTACTATGAGGCTGCTTTTTGTTTTTCAAGATAAATTTACTTGAAAGGCAGAGTTAGAGACAGACAGATATATACACACAGAGAAAGCTTTTCCTTCTCTTGGTTCACTCTCCAAATGGCTGCAAAAGCCAAGGCAAGACAGGCTGAAGCCAGGACCCCAGAACTCCACCCAGGCCAGGTCCAAGCACTCAGAGGCAGATCAGAAGCAGGGCAGCCAGGACTCAAAATGGCCTGTGACTTAACCTGCTGTGTCCTGTTTCACAGATGAACAAAGTGAGGCTCTCATAGGCTAAACAGTAAGCACAAAGCTGGGAGCAGTGACTATCGGTGGCAGGGTATGACTCTCAGCAGGATTCCAAGGCAAAGTCTTGTCATCAAAATAACCACTTCTGCATCAAGCCTAATACTTGCTCTATGCATCCCCTGGGGTCTATCCACCTAGCGAACACTGTGAGTGCAAAATGTAGGGAATGCACATTGCTGTGAGACAGGCTCACAGCTTCATTTTCTTCTCTAAAGCTGGGGATGGGGTGCAGGCTCCCCCAGGCCTATGTGTCCATCTACTTTTCCCTGCCTCCTTCACTGCCTTCAGAGAGCTGTCCCCTTTGGCACTGCGAGCAGTTAAGGCCAAAGCGGGTGACAAGTCAGAGATGGAAGATGTGGACTCCAGGTCCCTGCTCCTTCGAAATGCTGAGGAGTGTACACAGTGGGCCCAAGCATTCACCAACTTGCACAGGGAGGGCGATAAACAGCAATTACTGCTTCAGCAGGCCTTAAGTCATGTGTTTTTGATCATCAAGAAGCTTCTTTTCTTGACAGAGTTACCCAGAGCTTCCTTGGTACAGCCAACCCCCTGCACCCTGAGGCTCCTCATCAGTGTATCCAAACAACAGACAATCAAAATATTCAGAAGAAAAGCTGCGGCTGTGTCCAACAACAGTCTCTTCCTTTTCTCCGTCATCCCTAAGCAACGCAGTTAACACTATTTACACAGCATTAGGTAGTTTAAGTAATCCAGGGATGATTTTAAACATATAGGAAGCTCTATGTAGGTCATACACAAAAACACTATGCTATTTATGCAGGGAATTTAGCATCCTCAGACTCTGGTACTGTGGGCCGTGTGTGTGTGTGTGTGTGTGTGTGTGTGTGTGTGTGTGTGTGTCCTTCAAGGACACCAAGGAGCAACTGCATCTGCTTCCCTCTGCACTAGGAAGTGGCCACGGATTCCAACTCTGTCCTTCGTGCAGTGTTTCTCCAGTCTAGACCTCTGCTGGAAGACAGAAACTCTTTTGTGTGCGCATGTACGCATCCAAGTGCACATTTTCCTCCCTCCTACCCAAACCACATTTATCTGCTCTACCTGTGGGGAAAGCATGGAGTGCCCCGGACTGTACAACAAAATGGGCAAAAATAAACTAAAGACAAATTGTGCCATTACACTAACAAACAGCATGCCAAGAGCCTAACAGCAATCCCAAGCTCTGTGTTTGGGATAAAGCATGCACTGAAATCCAGGAAGGAAAAAACTGCCTTCAATTCCATGCTGGGGCAAGGACAGAGCCATCCAGTCCCCGCACCCCAGCTCTTCAGGAGATGCCCAGTTGCTGCCCAACCTCAGCACCTGCTCCCCACACACCATCCACGATGCTCTGAAGGCATTCCTTCCTGCGGCCTTCGAAGAGCACGCAAGCACTGCAGGGGTTACTTTAGGGAGGGGCAAACAGGAGTTTCTGCCTCTCCTCAGCAAACCAAAATATCATTTGATTATAGTTTAAAAAATGTTTTCAATATCATTGTCTCAGCTGCATAACTCATAGCTTTACAAGTCCTTCCAACAAGTTATGACATCATCCCGTTACCACTGGATTGCTCTTAGAATTCTTTTACAGAAACAAGAGGAAGAGCAACCTGGTTGACAAGTCTGTTTTTTTGACTCATGGACCAGGTTGCTCACTAGCAAAGAAACAATGGTTTACATACCAAGTCTTGGCATGACAGCTCCCAGAAACTGTTCATCTTCTTGGAAGTGGTTTTCTTGTAAAGATTCCAGCAACTTCTGTAGGACATCTTGGGGCACTTTGCAGCCTGTGCCCTTCAGTTCTGTGAATCTGGTTAGCCGGAAGCTCTTGTCCAATTCATAAGTCTCTGGGTTAAAGGTTTCCCGCGTAGACATGGTTCTTGGGTTCCAGCTCCTCAGAGTTCAACCCCTCCCTTCCCCCTCTCCTGGTGGGCTGGGTTCTTTATTACAGATCCACCTAGGTAGCACCAAAAATACAAAGACACCATTAAAAGAATTCCGACCAGCACATGTGCCTAGAATCAAGTGAATGTGTGCCAAGGAAAACCAAACCGGGTAGCGGAGGGGGAAAGAACTGCATCACAACACCTTGACCACTAGTTGTGCATCAGAGTTGAAAGGGACTGTCCGTATCATCACAGACAACTAGGGGAAACACCTGACATCTCCAGTGGGGGTGTAACTGTGGTCATGAGGCCACAGGCCAGCGAGGAACACCGCCCTGGAATTGGGAAGAACCTGCCAGCAGGCTCACATGACAACACCACCTTGAACTTTTAAGTCCCAAACATTCACTTCACCTGTCAACTGGCAGGCACACGTGGTTTACAAAGTAGAGGTCCTATGGAAACCTTTTACTCTCGCAGAGCTAAAAGGTCCAGGAAACACTGTGTAGTGAAAGAGGCATTGAAGCAAATGCATTTGACAAAATTCCTCTCCTCGTCAAGGTCCTCAGTTTCTAGAAAAACATGCTTTCCCTCTGTACCGCAAGTATACAACGTAATCCACAGCTAATGACTTTAAAAACACAGTCATGTTCAAGTTCAAAAGAGTCCTGGAAAACTTCCCTGATGTTTTAATGTAGTGTTGTTTCCTAGAAAGCAAGCATCCCGCCCAACAAGCTAGTACACACAGCACTGACAAACACCAGAATCTGCCACTGCTCATGACCATTTCATCGCAAGAACTGAAACGACAAGGGAAACCACGCTAATTATGAGCATTTCTGGCATTACAACTGAAGGTCTGAAGCAAGCCCCCAAGTCTGAAGCCTTTGGAGCTAACACACACGCACACACACCCCGAACATGTGCTCCTGAGGTTTGCAAACCCCCAGACTGATAACTTTATTGGGCATAGAATTACAGACACCCCAAATTTTAGGGTCAATTTCCTCTATAAAGTTTATGATTGAGAACATAATTCCCATTTATAGTTTCCCATACCCCGGGAAGCACATCGCTCATTTAAAATAAATCTCACACACCCTGAGTTTGGGCAGTAGTCCAAACTGTCCTTAGAAAAACATGTTTTTGGATGAGCGGTGACTTCAGCGGTAAACCTACCACTGTAGTCACAGCGGATCGTTCAAACACCATTCCAAGAAACCAACGTGCCCCCACCAGCAGGCCAGCCTGGCCCAGCACGCCAGCACACACGGGGGTTCCGAAGCCATTTTAGAGTCAGTACTTCGAAAGGCAACAAACCTGGCAAAATGCCTACTGCCACCCCACCTCAACCAGGAAAATCAAATTAAATAAATACACAGAGAGACATATGCAACTCACAGGGTGTGTGTTTCCTGGGAGGGGGAGGGATCCGATTCTTTTCCTACCTCCAATCCTCATCCTTCCCTCTCAAAGGTGGAAAGATTTGAAGGGGGGTGAGAGTTTTAAGCCCTTAAATGCAGAAGGCATTGTTCAGGAAGTTAAAAAAAAGACAAACAAACTCAAGGGCACTAGAAAACACATCACAGCCAGCCACACATCCCAAACCTAAAACACTAATAATAAATCCTGACATTTGGGAAGGGAATGCGAAGGGGATGAAGGGGTGGGCAGAGAGGGTGTCTGGGGAAGCTGGGATTCCTGGACGTGGGTCCGTCTGCATTACAACAGCCGGAGCACTGGGACCCCAAGACCACACGTTTACACCTTTAAAACAGTGACACGAATATGTAAAAATGACGTTTAACTCATTCCGTCCCGGGCCAACATTTTCCTTCCTTCGAAGTCACAGCTTGATGGACGCCGGGCGGCCAGCCCCGACCCCCTACCTACCTACCTACCCCCAAGCCCCCGAAGTGCGCGGCGGCGTGGGCGCGCCAGGGGCCCGGCACTCTCCATGAAGCTCCGCGTCCCCGGCAGCGGCGGCCCGCGACCGGACGACGGGCACGCGGGGCGACAAGCTTAAGTCTCAGGCCGCCGCCTTTAAAGGCGCAGCAGGCCCGGGCCGCGCTCTTTGTGCGGCGCCTCGCCGCGGGCAGGCGGACGGGCGGAGGGGGCCGCGCGGTGCCCCCGGCCGGGCCATGGCGGCCGCGGCGGGAGGACGAGGGGGTTGCGTGGGCTGGGGGAGACGGCAGGGGCGCCCCAAATCCCCGCAGCGTCCGCGGGGCTCGGAGGAGGAGCCCCTCGGAGGGGGAAAGCACCGGGGTGGGGAAGCCCGGGCAGGAGTCTCCCCGCCGCGCGCGCCCTAGCTCGCGCGGGGGACCCCCGGCCGCCGCCACACAAAAATGTCGGCGGGCGAAAAGATTAACCCCTGCGTGGCCGCCGCCACCCTCCCCCACCCCCCCCCCGACTCCTCCCCGTCCTCTCTTCCCTCCCTCCATCCCCGGCCCCGCGCAGCAGCAGCGGCGGCGGCGGCGGCGGCGGCGGCGCGGGCGGTGCTTCTCTTTTAAAGCGGCCCCAACCAAGCCCCGGCTCTGCCCCCTTCTCCTCCTGGCAGGGCCGGAGGTGCACGGCTCGGCGGCGGTCCCGGACGGCCCGGAGGGAGATTTACAACAGCCGCCGCGGGTCTGCGGACCCAGATTCCCCTTTAAGCCTGGGAGCCTCGCACACCACCCCCGCCCGCCCCTCGTCAGGCCCGCCGCTTACCGGCTCGCTCGGCGCCCTCCGCCTCCTCCCGAAAACGGGCCGCGGCCGCTCCCACAATGCACCGGGCGCGGCCGGGGCTCCCTTAAGCGTCGCCTGAATTTAAAAAAAAAAAAAAAAAAGCCGCTCCCGGCGGCCCGCGGCGGCGGCGGCGAGGACGGGGAGGCCGGGCCCGCGCCTGGGCGCCCGCCCGCCGGGGGCTCGGCCCTGAGGGGAAGCGGGCCGCCGCGCTGCCGCCGGCTGGGCGCGCGAGGGTTCCTTTAAGGCCGGCTACCTCCCTTTAAGAGGCGGCGGGCGGCCGCGTCCAGAAGCGGCTCGGTGGCTGCGAGCGGCCCCGGGAAAAAAAAAAAGGGGGCGGGGGCGCTGTGCAGGCCCCGAGCGCGGCAATGATTGGTCTCGGGGGAGGGGTGGGGGGTTGCAAGCGGTAGCATCCGTTGCCTGATGCAAAAAAAAAAAAAAAAAAAGGGATTGATTTCAAAAGTTGCGACTTGCCTTGGCAGCGGCCTTTGGCGCTCGGGCCACCTACTTTTTTTTTCTCTCCTCTCTCTCTCTCCTGACCCGCCGGAAGGGCCCGGGAACATTGTCCCTACTAGCTGACGAGGCCTGGGGACGCGCGCGATGCCTGGCCGGAGAGCGCTCGGAGACAATGCCCGTGGGAGACCCGTGTGTGGAATGGCGCGTGGAGGACCGGGACGCTCCCGCGGGACGCTGGGGCCGCGCGCAGCCTCCCGTGCCCGCAGCCTCCCTTTGTTCCCCACCCGCCCCGACGGCATTCATGAACAGAGGCGAATGTCCCGCCAAGTTCTTGGAACCTAGGCTCCGAAGGAAGCCTCGAAGCTTCCTTCCCCTCCTACCCCCCCCCCCCCCACGGGTTAGCATCATTTGTCAGTCAACACGAGTCCAAGTCAACATGGCAGCCCCCCGGTGGGCCAGGGCATGCTTGTGAGGAGAGAACTCCTGTTGTGGTTTTCAAATGCGTTGCTGATGGGATTAGAGTGCAAAGGCCTCAGGTGACAGACTTCTTCTAAGGGCTTTTCTTAAACCTGTATGCCCACTCGCTGACCAAACTTTTCTAGAATGGGCCAGCATTTTCCAAATTCCTTCGCATGATAGGGTTGGGAGTTGGTAGACATATTGTGGATAACCCAGCCAGGCTTTATGAGAGCACATCACTACTTGAACGCTAGGTGGATGCCCTATTCTTAATTTCTTTTTTTCTGTTGGCTAGTTCCCACCCTGGATTTCGAACAAGTTATGGGTACCCAGCGATAGCACCTGGATGCCTTTGTGTGCTGTCCACACACCTACAGTTTGTGGTAGGTTAAGTATTACTGAAGACCAGCCTGACTCCCCGGGGCTGGTAAACCCAGAGGCACAGCAGTTGTCCTCAGGCAGGGAAAGAGAAGAGAGACCTGAATTTCCTTTTTAGAAGTTTGGTGGTGGTGGGAGGTGGAGTGGCAGGAAGCTGGGAGTTGGAGAGCTAGGAAGAGTTTAAGAGTGGAAAAATAGAAAATAATCTGCGTGGCGGCGAAGGAAGGAGGGGGTTAATGTGTGTGTGTAACACACCAGGAGTGACCTGCAGTTTGCCACATTGAGGTTTTTATCTTTTTTTTAAAGATGTATTTATTTTTATTAAAAAGGCAGATATACATACAGGAGAGACAGAGAGGAAGCTCTTCTGTCCAATGGTTCACTCCCCAAGTGGCCGCAACGGTTGGAGCTGAGCCGATCCAAAGCCAGGAGCTTCCTCCAGGTCTCCCACGCGGGAGCAGGGTCCCAAGGCTTTGGGCCGTCCTTGACTGCTTTCCCAGGCCACAGGCAGGGAGCTGGATGAGAAGCATGTCTACCAGGATTAGAACCAGTACCCATATGAGATCCCAGTGCGTTCAAAGTGAGGACTTTAGCCGCTCCACTATCGCACCCGACCTGAAGTTTTTTTCTCTCTTTATAGCAAGCTGAATGCTGGTGACAGTGTTGGGATGCCGTGTCTCCCTATTGGGGTAAACTGAGACCTCGTTTATAAGGAAGAAGAGTCATCCCGGGTGACGGAGAGGATTTTCTGTGATTGGCAAACGTCAGAGAGCAGCAAAAAGAGAACTCCTTCCGGTCCCACGGAGATTTCTGGTTCAGGGGAAGTGGGGCCTCAGTGGACGGTGCTGCTGCTGATACTAGAACTACAGGAAAGCACAAGCAAAAAAGTTTTGGGGTGAGCTTGGCTTTAGAAATGTTAAATCTCTGGCCTGCCAGATAGCCTTTGGCAAAAGGTAATTGGGAACCAGCTCAAGAATGTGGGGGTGGGGCTGGCGCTGAGTTTGCAAGTCTGAATAGCACTCACCTCTTGACGCCTCTTACGGGGTGAGATCACCCTGAGAGCACCGAGGGAACCGGGAGACCTTGGACAGAGCTCTGCAGCCGGGCAGAGGGGCATCAGGCAGGCATCCTTAGACCAGTTCTCCCTTGCCCAGTTGCCCTGGCTGCACATCTTGGGTGGCTCCAGAACGGTTGTTGCTAACCAAGGTGGTTAGCCTCCTGACCAAGCCCTGGATGCATTGATTCGTCTGGAGCTGGCTCAGGATTGCATTACTCTCTGGTCAGAACCCTACCCTATGGTGCCCCCTGTCCTGGTTCTGTTGGCTCCATTTGTGATCCACTTCTCTTTGGCTTCATTACTACCTGGGACCTGCTAAAAATACCACTTGACCAGCCACACGTGAAAGGTTACACCTACTAGGCATAACAGTTCCCCCCCCCCCCCGAAAACATACGTGCAAATCTTGACCCCTGTACTGACGAATGTGGCCTCTTTAGGAAATAGGACCTGTTATGGTTTGGACTGTAGTTTGGGTGTACCCCAAGGTCCCTGTGCTGAGGGCTTGACTTCAAGAATTTTATGTGACTGGATTAAGGATGGAATGTGATTTTTCCCACAGGGGCCCCACTCCTTGAAGATGGAATTAAATCTGCTTATCACGTGGGTTTAAAATAGGGTGGTGAGAGCCACTTGGGGTGTCTGTACCCCATGTTGGAGTGCCTGGGTCCAAATCCTGGCTCTGTTCCGGGTTTCAACTTCCTGCTAATATGTATACTACGTGATGGCTCAACTAGTTCTGTCCCTGCTGCCCACCTGGGGGACTTGGGTTGAATTCCAGGTTCCTGGCTTTGGTCCCAGACTAACCCTAGATGTTGCAGGCATTTTGGGAGTGTTCCAATAGGTGGAAGAATCTCTCTCTCTCTCCCTTTCTCTCTCTCTCTCTCTTTCTTTCTCTCTCTCTCCCTTTCTCTCTCTCTTTCTTTCTCTCTCTTGTGTGTGTGTGTGTGCCTGTCTACCTCTCAAATAAGTTGAATAAGATAGTATATTATTTGGGTATGCTCAAGATAATTATAAGCCTCCTCCAATGTGAAAGAACCAGAAAAGTGGCAGCATGAGAGGGATTCAGCCCTACATTGCCAATTCAGATGGAGCCAGGGCTGTGAGCCAAGGGAAACAGGCACACTCTAGATTTGGAAGAGGCAAGAGGACAGATTTTTTTCCTAGCCCCATAAAATCTTCTGGCTCCCCAAACTGTCACATGGCTCAAGTAAGAAGTGTATAGTCAATTGTGACATTAACAAACTGATCCACTCCCTTAGGACTATACCAGCAGCAGAGGAGGGGCTGACTCTTCCCTCTTGCTGATAGAGTGTTGCCCCTAGGGTGTGCCCTGTCCTGCACTTCCTGTTGCTAGTCTAGGAAAGACTGAACTTCAGCCCTGCAGTGTCAGGTGGGCAGTAGGTACAGTAGAGCCTGCCACTGAGCCTATCTGCCTGGGCCAGAGTACTCTACTTCCAGGGCCTGAGACCTTTTTTTTTTTTAATTGTTTTAAAATTTTTATTGGATAGTCAGATATACACAGAGGAGAAGAGACAGGAAGATATTCTGTCCACTGGCTCACTCCCCAAGTGGCCACAATGGCCTGAGATGAGCTGATCTAAAGCTAGGACCAAGGAATCAGGAGCCTCTTCTGGGTCTCCCGTGCGGGTTGGGATCCCAAAGCCTTGGGTTGTCCTCGATTGCCTTCCCAGGCCACATACAGGGAGCTAGGTGGGAAGTGGACCAGCTGAGATTAGGATCGGCACCCATACGGGATCCTAGCACATGCAAGGCGAGGACTTTAGCCACTAGCCTACTGTGCTAGGCCCTGCTTTTTTAAACTCATGAAGTGATTCATTTGATTCTATAGAATACAGATGTTGTTTGTAGCCAGAATATCAAAGGCTACAAGTGATTGTGTTGCCCTTTCTCTTTTGTGGTATATGAAGGACAGCACTGCAGGGTTATTTTTCGTGGCGTTTCCACGCCCCTTCCTCCTGCCTCTTCTCCTTACAAGTCTTACATTTCAGGAACTACCAAGACCCCACCCTTCCAAATCCCAACACATCAGCATGCCTGTACTACTGACTACCACACGAGTCCTTCATGCACACCTCCATCCCTCTCTTTAGGAGCAAAGCTGTTTCTTCCAATCAGACTTCCCATCCCAATCAAGCCCTATCGTTTTCCACTTCTGTCCTCCAGACCTCCTGCAGTGTGATAGAGGGAGGATCCTTCACCACCCTGGTTCGTGTGTATTCCTTTACAGTTTCTGTATTAAACACAATTGCCTCCTTCGTTCCAGCACTTAGGACCATCCCCACAAAGTCTGATTACAGTAAATGGTGATTGTTAGATACCAATCTTTGTCCTAGTATTTGGTGAGGGGAGAGTAGAGGAAGAAATGAGGCAAGTAGAGATGCAGGGAAGACACAAGAAAGGAGATTTCTGAAAGTTCTTGAAAAATATGGGATTAAAAATCTACTTCTTTGGGGGCCAGTGTTGTGGCACAGTACATTAAGCTACCGCTAGCCACAGTGACATCCCCTGTGATCACTGCTTCAAGTTCTGGCTGTTCCACTTCCTGTCCAGCTCCCTGCCAATATACCTGGGAAAGCAGTGGAGGATGGTCCAAGTGCTTGGGTCCTGCCACCCACATGGAAGACCCAGGATGGAGCTCCTGGCTGGCCTGGCCCAACCATGGCTGTTGCAGTCATTTGGAGAATGAACCAGCAGAGGAAAGATCCTTCTAGCTGTCTCTCTTTGCCAGTCTAAGTTGATTAGTCACATTCTTTGTTTCTAACATTTAATTTGTGGCAAACTTTACACTTAGCCTCAAATCAGAGGACATTTGGAAAAACAGTAAGAAGTTAATTCCTCCTACCTGTTTGATGCAAAGAACTTTGACTCCATATATAGTTTTTTTTTAAGTACACATTTTTCATTTTGAAGATCCCTCATATGCATGGATTTCAACACTTCCTTGCACTAAAATAAACATATTTTTAAACCATCTGTTAATTAATTAATTTCATCTCATTCAGAAGACAGAAAGAGATCTTCTATCCACTCATTCACTGTCCAGATGCCTACAACATCTGGGACAAGGGCAGACACAAGCCAGGAGGCTAGAATTCTGTGTGGATCTCCTCTGTGGGTGGCAAGGATCCAAGTGTGTGAGCCATCATCTACTGCTGATGCTTCATGTGCATTAGCCCGAAGTTAGATTGGAAGTGGCGGAGCTGGGACTTGAACCATGCACTGTGGTACTGTTGCCCCCCAGAGCCTTCCCGTAACCTTATCTTTTCATCCCGGGAACTTCATGAAGTACCCTCACATTTGTGGGTGTTTGTGTCAGGATGATGATTCCCTGGTCTAAGATGCCATCAAATAAAAATTGGCCCCAGAACTAAGTCATACCTAGAATTCTCCATTCTTCAAGCAGAGGAGCTGCTGGTGGTTGTCATCTTGTTCGTTGCCGGTGTTTAATGCATGGCAGACTTTAGCCTTTGCCCCAGGGTATGCCATCTTCCTTAATTGCCTCCCGTGGTCAGAGGGCACTGTGCTTGGGAAAGCAGAGCAAAGGAACTTCCTCTCCATCTACAGCATGCTAGGCCCTATGGTGACCATAGTTCAGGATTACACCTTGTCCTCTAGACTGGAAATTGCACAGAAAGGTGCTAAGAGGAGGATAGAAAATCATAATGGCAGAGACAAAGGGTCTTGTTTCAACTGTCTCGCAGTACCTACGTGTGGAACACAGGCACAATTTCTGGTTCTGGAGGGCATTTGGGTTTGGCCTCCTTGGCTGGGGTTTCTCTGAGCACAATCGACCCTCGCTTGCCCTTGACAGTGCCCTACCTTTCTGTCTCCTCTCCTCTCCTCTCCTCTCCTCTCCTCTCCTCTCCTCTCCTCTCCTCTCCTCTCCTCTCCTCTCCTCTCCTCTTCTCTCCTCTCCTCTCCTCCTTCCTTTCTCTGTCTTTCCCTCTTTTTCTTTTTTTTTCCTATTCCTTCTTCAAGATTTATTTACTTGAAAGGCAGTTAGAGAGAGAATGTCTTCCATCCATTGGTTCGCTCCCAAATAGACACAATGATCACGGCTTGGCTAAGCCCAAACTAGGAGCCCAGAATTCCATCTGAGTCTCCCACGTGGGTAAAGGATCCGAGCATGTGGGCCATATATGCTGCATTCCCAGGCTCATTAGCAGGGAGCTGGGTCAGAAGTGTAGTAGCCAGAGCAGTTGTCACAGGCAGAGTCTTAAACTTCTGTGCCACAACACACCCCTAGCCCCTATTTCCAATCCCTTATACTTTGTTTTCTTAACTGAGTGGAGACAATGTGTCTAGAGCAGGGAGCTTGGCTGCCAAGAGCAGAGAGCCACTGGTTTGTCTTGGGGAAGAGAAAGAAGAAGGTATCAAGGGAGGGGAAGGATATTCAGAGAAGGGAGACGCTAGAAGCTTTAGAAGTGCTGTGATTTCATCAGTGGAAGCTGTTCCCAGACAGACTGCTGAGGCAGAACATGGACATCTTCTAGTGTTTTAGGTGGGAAAAGACAGAAATGTATATAGGGCCAAGAAAAGAGAAAAATGAGTCCAAGGCTGGTGCAGGGCAGTGCAAAAGGCTCCTTGGGAGGTGCTGCTTGTAACTGCAAGGGGTACCTAAGGTGTACACCTCTGAGAACAAAGGGGACAACCTTGGTTGTAATCTGTTGTTTGTTGTTTGCATGACCTAAAATGGTCTGTCATTCTTGGGACTACAAATACCTCAAAAAGAGTCTTCCCCTGCTTGCCTTAGGAAAGAGCCTCTGTTAATGAGGCTTAAAAACACCGAATTGTAGTCTTCTGGATTTTGTGCA